TTTCCTTAGCACGTCAGAACAGTCAGCGGCGAGCCGTGAATAATGATCGATATCGATATGTCACCGCTTGAAGCTTTGGTAAGGAATAGATTTTAAAGTTGTTCGTTGCGACCACCCTGTCTATCCATCCTTTTCCATAGGTTTAAATAGACTTCTTTTTGCAATTTGGAACTATAAATTCTAGCCCGGTTTAAAAACAACGTATGTGCCATTAGTTTCCCTATGCACATAAATGTTTTTCCAAAAGAGCCATAATTTATAGTTCCAAATTGCGAAATGCAGTCCAATGACAGACCGATAAATAAATCGCAAAGCACGCTGCGCAACAGGTAGTATTTGTGGTTGTACAAATTAACCAGGTGACAGGTGAGATAGAAAACAATGATGTAGGAGAAATCATAAAAGAAAATTTAGTGAGAGGAATAAGAGGAGTCTGCGTATCACTATCATTGATGTTTTAAGTCTAGCTATTGGTGTTGTGGAAGGTTGAGACGTTCGTATTGGTACCGTCGCCTTGTTTGGTAGTCTTAAAATTAGCACTCGGAGATGTGGTCGGAAAAACGAAAAGGGAAAGAGGCACGTCGACATTTCCAGGCGACGCTTCGAACGAGATCTTGCCTTTTATGCTCATAGACTCGGAGAGTTCGGCCAGTAAATTATTCAAATTCAAAGATACTGTGGAGAAAAACGTCGAAGTATCTCTTATTCAACGCCTCACGCATCTGAGCATGATTGATTTTCGCGTATTACCAATTATTTCCATCACCATTGGTATTGTGTACCAATTATTTCACGTCATAACAAAGTAAAAAAAGCAGTAACAGTTGTAAGTATTACACTGGAAAAACGTTACGAGCTATGCAGACATACTTACCGTCCGTTCCGGGCGGAGGAGCCGTATGAACATTCGAGGGTTGCCGAACTTCCTCCGATAAAGTGTCCGTTTTGAGAAAAGTTATGAGTATTTTTCCTTGAAATTTTCCGATTTTTTACATCCAACTACGAACGGAATCCCGTGAAAATTGGAGATAGAAACATCCACAGATTTTCCTGAAAATTCGTGATTTGTCGAAGGAAATTTGGCACTCCCTGACGGCTCATACGGCGTTCTTTCTTAGCACAACGGATTTCCTCCGTGGAGATACTCCAACCTAGCCGCCATTACTGCTTTTGTCGGTCACTAATTCCGCTCCTCTCGCCAAGTGTAGAGTCCCTTTACACTGAGAGTTAAGACTATACCCCCTCATGGAGTCGCAAACGGGATTAAAGATTACACAAATTGAAAGTTTTTCATAATCATTGATCGGCCCATTCTCAAATTCCTCCCTCCGTTCCTGCTCTCATTCCGTTTGTTCCTTGTCGAATCTGTGATCTCTCGGTCCGTTCCAGATTATAATCTTTGCAATTGGTGAAACAGTAATTTTTATCACCGTTTGTGCCACTGTGGAGGCCTAAAATACGGGAACCAATCTGAAATGGATTCACATTGTCGTAACTCCCAGTGTAAAGGGACTCTACTCTAGCCTAGAGTCCCTTTATACTGGGAGTCACAAACGGGAATAAAGATCACAGAAATTGAACGTTTTTCGTAATCTTTGATCGGCTCATTCTTAAATTCCTTTCTCCGTTCCTTCCTTCATTCCGTTTGTTCCTTGTCGAACCCGAAATTCCTCGGTCCATTCCAGATTATAATCTTTGCAATTGGTGAAAATGTAATCTTTATTCCCGTTTGTGACACTGTGAAGGCCTAAAATCCGGTTAACCAATCAGAAATGGATTCGCATTGTCGTAACTCTCAGTATAAAGGGACTCTACTCTAGCCAAGTGCGGCATCACGGGTAAAAAGCGGCACGCCCTCTATGTCAGGGGCCCGGGCCCTTGCCGTTTGCGCCCAACGCGAGTATCGTCTCGCGAGCGGCGAGTCGGCGACACGGTGTCCCCGCCGCGGCCGCCGCGCCCAAATCGCGCATCTATCCACGGGAAACCCGTGTTGATCTGCTGTTTCTGCACCGCCGCGCGCTCTCGCCAATATTTGATATGGAAAGGAATAATGGAAGTGCTTCCCACATTACAAGTATCCGCGATCCGATACCTCCGGACTGGCGCACCGCTTCAGCTTTTGCTCGTCGAGTGGGCCGCGCGGGTCAAGGAAAATCGGACCCACTCGCGCGCCTACCAGAGTTGCCAGACTGTCCTGGAGAGTTGGCGCTTCCCCCCAATTCAAACCTATGTGAAATATGCACATTATAATGCACAATCTGGCAACCACTGCCAGTCGCGGCAGCGCTTCCCAATCTCGGTCGCGAAAAACATCTGCGGCAGAGATTTGTGAGATCGGTCCGAACTAGAGTCCCTTTACAATGAGAGTTGAGACAATATGTATCAATTTCTGATTGGTTCTCATATTTTAGGCGTCCACAATGTCACAAACGGGAATTAAGATTATATTTTCACCAATTGTAAGGATTATAATCTGGAGTGGACCGGGGAATTACGGGTTCGGCAAGGAACAAACAGAATGAGAGGAAGACAGGAGAAAAGAATTTTAGAGTGGGCCGATCAGAAATTACGAAAAACTATCAATTCGCGTAATCTTTATTCCCGTTTGTGACTCCATGAGAGGGGGTTGTTTAACTCTCAGTATAAAGGGACTCAAGTGAGAACCCGAGAGGTGCGTCTCGTAGACGCTACGCCAGGGGCGCAAATAGGGACATTCGGCCGAATGTTTCACGCAGAAGGGACAGCTGCCCCCAGCGACACAGGGGAGGCAAATTCTGATTCCCTAAAAGGAGGGGCAAAAAATTGGCGTATACACCGCAATCAATTTGCTGAATGTGGCTTGAATGTGGAAGTCATCGGCCCGATGCCTGAATTTTGCGCGTGACGCGCAAAATTCAGCAACGATTCTCAGCAACCATCGGACCAATTTGAATTTGTCTGAACTATTCGAGTAGATTTGATACACATCTGGATGAAAATAACTCGAATTTGCTAAATTTCAGCCGTTGGGCGATGACTGTTGACTTCCACATTCAGGTGCTAAATTCAGCGTCTGATTGCGGCATAAGAAGAAAATTGGGCACAGAAAACTTGGTGTCATTCAATAGAAAATGAGTTGTTGTCTCCAACGTAATCAAGATCAACCTGCCTCAGTGCAAAATTACTCGTACAGAGAGAACTTTCGATACAGAAGTTTGATTAATACGAGAAGCAAAACACGAAATAAGCCTAGCCTTCATTTGACAGTTTCAAAAGAAAATGTCAGCTAGTTTTCTTGAAGAAATTTGGACTGCCGTTTGCAATTTGGAACTATAAATTCTGGCTCTTCTGGAAAAACACTTATGTGCATAGGTAAACCAATGGCACATACGTTGTTTTTAAACCGGGCTAGAATTTATACCTCGAGTTAGGTTATTAGGTTACCTCGAGTACACCTATAGTATTCAAGACTTTGTCAATTCTTTGACAAAGTCTTGAATACTTTTTGTGACGGAGGAGGGAGGTCTGAATGTCGGGGATTTGAAATTTGAGGTAATTTTCACCTGAGACGGGCCGCGGCGCGGACTTGAACGGAACCTTGAAGAGAGAAGGTTACCCCACGCATTCAAACGTGTACATCAAAACTACCTCTCAACCTCGCTGTAATTCGCTCATGTTTCAGTCGTCCAAGCAAAACCAATCTTTGTGCTGGTCTTGGGGTTTTTTACTCATCTCAATTAGACGTATTCATGCTAAAAGGAACTACGTGGAAGTAGAAAGATGGTATGTGCTTGTGGAAGCTTGATAAGAAACAATGTAAAAGTAGATGTAGTTCTTTTTGAGGAAATGGAAAAGCGGGATTTTCAATTAAATCAAGAAGAACTAAGCGCTCAGGGGTGGACATTTTACCATCCTTCCACAATTTCGCGCGATAAGCTTTTCCTCTTCCACAAAAACCACATTTGAAATAATACAACACTAGAAACAAATGGATCTCTTCCACAATATTTTGGTCCAAATTGTGGAAACCCATCCACAATATTTCGGTAAAAATTGTGGAAACCCTTCCACAATAATTTGGTAAAAAATGTGGAAACTGTTCCCGAAGATTTTGGTGAAGATTGTGAAAACCCTTCCACAATGTTTCGGTAAAAATATGAGATTCAAAGTGAAGAGCGAGAAAAGAAACGAAACGAAAAGAAAGAAAGAAAGAAATAAAGAAAGAACAAAAAATTTCCACAAAATTTGGGACGCTTCCACATTTTCACGCGATAAATTATCGCGTGATCTAGTATATTGTGCACCCCTGGCCCAGTCTCGATCGTTGCCGCTGACGTCACTGGCGCTTTTAAATTCCCATTCATTCTTGTGGACCTCAACTAACGAGCACACCCCATCTTTCCACTTGCACATAGTTCCATTGTGCATAAATACGTACAATTTAAAATTGAAATAAAATAAAGATATCTTGCCTTCGTCCGTATTTTTGTTGTTTAGTAGTTCAGGGAATGCACCTCAAGTCCATCATCAGCGTCACAGCGTCGATTGCCATTGAATGAACATGGGACTATCACAGATTTTGTCAAAATTGTATATTAATGCGTATTAATATTCGTGAAACGTGAAGTAATAAAAATAAGAACAATTAAAAAGTCGAGAACACCAAATCTCAACGGATAAAATTGTCACCAAAGGCAAGGCGCTTTATGGAAACCTTACAAAATTCGGCGGGTATTTAAACTAGTCCATACCAATTTCGTCCGATAGAATACGTCCAGTAAATTGTGATATTTCCATGTCAATGTCATGGTAATTGGTGCTGATGATGGACTCGCTTGTTTGAAAACGGCAGTCATAGAACTATGAAAGCAAAACATGCGTGTAAAGCAAGATCCATTCATTTTTTTTTTCAATTTCAGTCTTATCAATAGCACGCGAAATGTGCTATTTCAATTTTTCCACCTTTCCTCTTTTTTATCAATCGAATAAGCCACTAAGTTATGAATTTAATTTTGTTTCAGGCAAAACAAAGGGCTACCGTCAAATGGCTTCTCTCCAAAGCATTCAACAACAAAGTGCCAGAAAACCTCAGGGAACCTTTCTATCGTAATCATGAGGTAAGAGACAGTGATCTTATTGCTGACGCAAACATGAGTCGGTGTTCTAAGAAGAATATTCCATTTAATGTTTCCCGGGAAATAAATTAGTTTTAAATCAAGTTCATAACTTCTTTATCTCCTTTTAAAACAACTGGAATTCGGTGTTTTGCAAGAAAAATTCAACGGAGGTTTTTTCTGAAGCTGAAAGACATGTTTCTCAGTGTGCCGTATCAGAACATTTTAATTCGATCAATTCCGAACTCTTTTCGTCATGAGCTGAGTGATAGTTTTTCTTAGTGAATCTAAGATCGTTTATCATGATGACCCCTTGTGTCTTTGTTATAACACGCCACGCCATAAGGGCCCCAGATTTTATTTTTTCATAACTGGGCCTCGCGAATATTATTCTACAACATACCTTTAATAGTACGTAATATCAATTAAATCGCCTCTCGCAAAAACTGTTGATGTCCATTTAGTCTAATTTTGAGAAAACGCTAAAAACCCGTTTAAGCCTCTCAGTTATAAAATCAATGAGGGTCCAAAAACCAACCACAGAATTTGCAAAACCTACCACTTAACTCTCAAACATTTCAAATGAAATCTCCAAATCAAGCGTCTTCAAAGCCAAAAAAATGAAATTGAATAAAAGGGATATCACAGGTTTGCCGGCGGTCTGGAAAACCGGGAAAGTCAGTGAATTTCAGGGTTGCCACAGTTAGGGGAAACCGGGAAACGTCGGGGAATTTTAATAAGTCAGGGAAAACCGGGAAATGTCAGGGAAAATTTGTTAAATCACTTTCATTTGTTTTCTAGAATAGGTTTGAGATTTTGCCTTCTTAACCATCCGTCACATCTTCAATTGTCAGGGAATTTCACCAAAATGTGTCAGGGGAATCAGGGAAATGTCAGGGAATTTCATTTTCTAAATTCTGTGGCAACCCTGGAATTTGCGGCAGCCGGGAAAAGTCAGGGAATTTTGCGAGGATTGTTTAGCATAAGCGAGTGTAATTTAAAAGGAAAAAATCGAATGGGGAGTTAAATTCGAATGTCAGGGAATCCGAAAATTTTGGAGTCAGGGAAAAGCCAAAGTAGTCAGGGAATTTGATGGTGAAGATATTATTACAGCCCTGTATTAGCTGTTCTCCCGTCCAAGCCTATTCAATTCCGGAGAAAAATTTCTCATGTTTGCCTTCAGTTTTGTAAGGCAAATTATGGAGCGCGGCAGAATAAATGTTTTAAAAAGGAGGTTGTCAAAGAGAGCGAAGGAAAACATGGAGGAAGGAAACTGGGGCTGAAAAGCGAAACCAATCGACAGATGAGAGAGCATGCACCCATTGATCGATAGTCGGTATTTATATATGTTACCGTGCTAGGACCACACTGGTTCTCGTGCTTAGCTCAGTACTTTGCCTTGATCTCAAATCCGATGTCTAGACAGGGTCAACTGAAAACCGCGCAATAATTCTGATGGGACAACGGGACGGCGATGGGTGGCGGGGGGTGGAACATCCTCGTAAAGAGTTCCCAGCGGCGTGGAAAACGTCAAATTGTCCGCGGAAGTGTGTTGAAATTGAGGCGTAGGGTGCGGAGAAGGCATATCTTGGTTGCGGTGTTTCAGAATCTTCAGTGGTAATTTTTACGTTAGATAGGAAACTATCGTGTGAATTAATGAAATCCAACGTTTTCAGCACTGTAAAGTCATCAAAGATATTCAGTAAAAGTTACAACAAATTACATACATTCGCTTTAATCATAAAGGATGAAATGTTAGCGGAGATTTTGAGACAATGCAACGAAGAAATTCTCTTTCTGCATCCAGCGCGTCAACTGTCCGAAAGTAAAAATACAAGAAATCGCAAATTTTGTCCAAAACAGTCCTCGGCTAATTTTTTTCTTAAATTTGTCGCGACCGTCATACCGCATAAGATATTTTGTGTGTAAAAAGAAGGAGGGAAATGATAAAAAAAAAGGTACTTGCATTAAATTTTTAAGCTTGATACTATATACTTGGCCAGGAAAACAAACCCTTGATCCAAATAATCAAGTTGAACCTTGAGTGTTTTTAGGTCAAATTGGACAATTTCCGTAGAATTGCCCATATGCGTTTCACGCCGACCAGCAACCGCACTACATTTGGCGCAATGTGTGAAGTATTCTTGCAGTCTTGCAGGCGTGGGTATGTTTCTCACACCAACCAGAGACCGCACTGCGTCAGGCGCAATGCGTGAGGTATTCCTGCAGTCTTGAAGGCGCTGTTTCGCGCCGAGCCAGTATTTGAATCCACAGGCGCCATGCGCCGTATACGCCTAAATAATTAAATTCACAGGCAAATCAGCGCGTAAACAAACATGCGTGGGTATCACAAATGTTCCTCAATGGACCACTAGACAAGGTACGAATTTCAGCATTCTGATACATGTTTTTCAACCAAAATTTCACGTAGAACACGATACGCACAACGAAAATTACCAAAATCAACTCCTGACAAAGATATTTAATGATTCTTGATGCGTGAATTCAAACCACCCGCTCATGAAAACTCAATGCTCTACGTGATTCACATCGCGCGCTAAATGTTTATCATGACAGTCTCTGCGATGTAAAAATCTTCAACTTCAATCTTGACACTTTGGCTCAGCTATAGCAAATTACCAATAGTTCGAACAACACATGGTGGAAAATGAACATTGCCCGATTGAGAAGCTTGCTGAAACCGTTGTAGTGCGCGATTTGACTCGCGTAGAGCTTTGAGTTTCGTGTGAGCGGACAGTTTAAATTCCTCGTAATCAATGCGAAATAAAAACGTTAATATCTTCGTTAGAAGTTGATTTAGGTAATTTTCGTAGTGTGAATCGTGTTTTACGTGAAATTCTGGTTAAGAAACATGTATCAGATTGCTTAAATTCGTACCTTGTCTAGTGGTCCATTGTGCGATTGCGATTGGCAGAAATCCGATCCTGCCTAGTCGCGATAAATGAAGCAGCTCCATCATTCCGAGTGATTCCGTAACGAAAATCCTAATTTCTCAGAAAAAAAGGAAAAACCATTTTGGCTCCTAAATTTTCAACGTGCTAGCCACGATGGCTCCTAAAGATTTTGACCAGGGTTACCACAGTCCGGGAATACCGGGAAAATCGGGAAATGTCAGGGAATTTTAAAAAATCAGGGAAATCCTGGGAAGTATCAGGGGAAATGACGGAAGTAGTGTCAGGGAAAAATTGTATATTTTCCTTCATTAGCTTTTTAGAGTGGATTTGACGATTAAAACAGCAAATTTCGCCTGAAAACGATTTCAAATTATGTCTTTTTTGCCATCTTGAATGTTTCATTTGTCAAGGAATTTTACTCAAATGTGTCAGGGAAATGTCAGCGAATTTCATTTTCCAGATTATGTGGCAACCCTGTTTGATACGATTTAAGCACTGTTCAGGACCATGCTCACTGGCTGAGAGTGGTTCTTTTTAGTACTGCGCCCCGCTGAGGGGTAATGAGGGATTTTTAGGACTAGGCCCAGTTGGATATAGGCATCTACCTCTGACGTCATGGAGGCCTACGTTGATGCCGCCGAGACATCTGTTTATGACGCCACGGTGGCTTCCTTCGATGACGTCATCAGAGCTTTCGTTGGTGACGTCATCGGGAAACCTGTGAACGGGTCCGCGGCACAGCCGTCGCGCAGTGGATTGAGTCAATTAGGGGGGTCGGACATGAAATTTCTAACTAAAACTGCAAATTTTGATGCTTAATTTGTCACAATTTAAATTTTAAGCGGTGCTTTCGAATGAAAATTTCACGAGGAAACCAATGGAAACACTTTCAAGACCTCAAAGTTCTGTATAAACGGAGTTGTAAGCGCTTAAAGTTTCCAAATTTTGTCCGACCTCTCCGTCATAGCCAGAGTTGGCTCTATGCTGCTGCGGGCCGATTATTGAAATTGATAGACAAAGCTATAGACAAAGAAGACATAGGGAGTATGGAGCGATCCTATTGGTTGAAATGGGTGGTTCCTATAGACAAAGGGAGAAAATGATAGACTAACTGTCGGGTCTCTCGTGGGTTGCCGTTAGTTAGTCTATCACCTACCTCCTTTGTCCATTGCAACCACCCGCTTCCACCAATAGAATCTCTCCATATCTCCTTTGTCTATAGCTTTGTCTATCAATTTCAATAATCGGCCCGCTGGTTATCCTATCGACTCGATCCATTGTGCGTCGTGGGTAACGCCATCGGAGCCACATCTTAAATACCACAGTCTTCATTATTGAAAGGAATCCTTCTGTCAAACACATTCGGACCGATTCCTGCTGAAGAGAACTGTAGACGAGTGCAAAAAATGGGGTGCGCGCTGAAAAGCTTGATAAGAAATGATGTAAAAGTGGGCGTGATGCCCTTCGGCGAGATGGAAAAGCGGGTTTTTACATTCTTCAAAACGGAACTAAGCGCCAACTCTATGGGCCACTCATAGTCGTTTCCTTGACGAAAAGAACGTAACTTTATTTGAATGTTGTCAGATTTCCCCTCGGCAATTGCATATTAACCAGGAGAATTTTAAGCGTTTCTATCTGAAAACTTGACTGATTTCTCTTCAGATTTCATGCAAAAATCAGGCAAATTTTGGATGAAAATTGCGAAGATATATTTTTGTTTTATAGATTAATTGTTTGAGTCGGTTTGGCAACCTTGGAATGATGTTACGTTCTTTCGTCCGGGAGATGACGTCATGAGCCGTGGGCATAGGAATAGAGCGTTGTAGACAGGGCTCATGAGTTAATGCGGACCACGGGCGACCGCGGCGGCAGACTCACGCTGACGTCACCGGTGCTTCACAATTCCCATTCAATCTTACGGCCCTCGACTAAAGAGCACACCCCTTCTTTCCCACCGATCTCCGGTTCCGTTTAGCAGGAATACGCCCATTCATGCTTCAACAGTTGAAGTGTGAACTCGTTTTATTTATCGTCGATGTGACAACTGGGTTGTTAAAGTCAATGGCAATAACGATTATCCGAGTTATGCGCGTCGACAGTAGGTCAGGAATTTGTTCTTTGTTATTTAAAAGCGTGCGTTGTCCGACCTGCTCCTCGCTCGGCCGGCGCGCGGCGGCGCGGCGGCCACCGCACCGGCCACCGGCCCGCCCGGGTAGGTATTTACTCTATCAGAGATGTAACTTTCTTTCAAAAGAAATTCGCTTTGGATCGGTCTCCACGTGCGATGCCATTGTTGCGCCAGAAAATCCGGACTTTTCCCCCGTTTAAATTCATGTAAAATATCCCCATTTTATCGCGAAACCCAGCAATCTTGGCATCGTTGCCAGATTGTGATAAAAAATCAGCATTTTCCTCCTTTAAACCAACGTGAAATAGAGTACCTATATCAGGGTTGCCACAGTCAGTGAAAACCGGGAAATGTCAGGGAAAATGACGAAAATGTCAGGGAAAATTTGTTAAATCACCTTCATTTGCTTTCTAAAATGGGTTTGAGATTTTGAACAAGAAATTTTAACTGAAAACTATTTTCAATTATGCTTTCTTAACCATCCGTCAGATCTTCAGTTGTCAGGGAATTTCACCAAAATGTGTCCGGGAAATGAGGGAAATGTCAGGCCCATAATATTAATATCATTTTCTAAATTCTGTGGCAACCCTGTATATAGGGAGAGTACGGACTGTCGAATTATGGAGCTCTTTGGGCCTAAAATAACAGCCAACCTTTGAAAATGAAAAATATCACTGCCAAAAAAACTTCAGATTCCAATGTCGAACCAAAACGACTAAGAGTGTTCATGAGCATTCTCCCGCAAAAATGAGTAAAGTTATGCGAACACTAAGTCAGATACGTGCTTCACTGTCGACGAATCGTAACAATTGTAATAATAAATCACTCTGGATAGTTTGAATTCATAGATGGGCTGCCTTTTCGGGCCTACCTAACCTCAAAATTACCGACATATCCATGCTCTCCCCAGCAGATAGATACTCCAATGTGAAATGGACGCATTTCCGTAAACGGAACTATGTGCATTATGACGTGAGCCCTATTATGCATGTATTGTTCAGAGTTTCAGGGCTCATGTCTTAGTGCACATAGTTCCATACGGAAACGGAACTATATGTGCATTATGACGTGAGCCTTGTTATGCATATATTGTTCATAGTTTCAGGGCTCACGTCTTAGTGCACATAGTTCCGTTTGGCAGAAATACGTCCAAAAATCGATATTTTATCGCAAAACCTGGCTAATTGTAAGCTGCGCGGGATGCGGCGCGACGAGTTTTTAACATGAGGAAAAACGTCGCACGAACACACGTTCAAAGCTAAATTTCTTCTGATAAAGTACACATTTCCCCGAGAAACTTCCATTTGCTTTCTTCTAAATTTTTCCGAGGATTTTAATCGCAATTAACCAGTTTGTTTGAAAATCGTACGCCAAAATTCGCAGAACCTTTTTTGAAAGTGAATATTTGTATCTTATCAGAAGAAGTAAGGCAAGTTTGAATGCGTTCTTCCTCAGTCCAGCACTGCCGTGCCAAGGAAGAACGCCGTATGAGTCTTCAGACGTTGCCAAATTTCCATTTCTAAAACACGAATTTCCTGGTAAATTTATAAATATTTTCCTTCCCATTTTCCAGATAATGTCGTTTGCAATATCACCTAAAGTTCCTGAAAATTTCAAGAAAAAATATTCATAACTTTCCTCAAGAATAACCATTTTATTGAAGGAAATTTGGCAACTCTCGAATGTTCATGCGGCGTTCTTCCTTAGCGCTAGCGCTTTTTGGTGCAATCAGTCTGAGATGTCGTTTGAAATCTCACGTGAAAAATCAAGAAGTTTTTTGAAAATTTCATGAAGAATAGCCTGGAATTTCAAAGTCTTATTTTTCATGAAATTTTGCATCTCAGGCTCTTACCTATTATTCACATTCACGAAGTATACTCAATGTATAAATATTCATATCTTACTCTTTAATATAAAATGCGATGAACCTAATATTGCCACCAAAATTCTGAAACTCTTCACCTCTCTTAATTTAAAAATCTAAATTTTCGTTTATACTCCTATATATTTTCAAAATTACCTGTAAAGACGTTAATAGCCTGAGTCGCTGAATGTCTCTAAATTATAATAACTAACTAACTAAAATTATAAAACAGACGCCTAACGCCTGAGACACGAAGCGCTTTGGGGGGCTGGACTGTGAAGCGGTCAGGGGGCGTTGTCCCCCAGTATACGGTATATATCGATGGTGTAAGTCGGCAATCATACAACTCGGTTTGCGGCGTCGCAGACTTCCTGTTATATTTAATTTCTTAAACGGAAAACCACTCAACGACAATAATTCTTCAGAACTGCCGTGAGTTTTCTCCTATGTGGGAAGAAAATTCTGCAAAAACTTAAAGGAATGATCTCAATTTGTTCTCCTTTAAAAAAATAACATAGAGGCGGAGATTTTCAGACACCGCAAACGAGTTCTGTGAATGCCGACTTACACCATCGATATGTATCATTTAATATTGAATTTCTACTGAATTATATCACGTTCCAGCGAATCCTCATCGTCGGGCTCCAAATTTCGCCGGTTTCACCTTTTTTCCCATTATTTTATTTTCAAAGTATGTGGTCGGTTCTCAATGCAAGCACCTTCACGGTTCGTTTCAGAGGAAGGTAAATGAAATTGTGTTGCCCACTCAAAATTCCTTCGGGATCTTGAAGTAGGATGCATACACAGTCATTTAAGCCTAAAATGAAAATATTCTGTTGAGCTCTTCGAAAATAAAATGAATTTTTGTGTTTTTGGCGCTAAAATGGCCTTCAAAGACGATCGATGATTCAATTCCGATGGGTTGTGCATATGTAAAATGTTACATGTGTGATGGACTCTACGTATTTTTGGACCAGGAATCGATTGAGCAGGGTCCTGAATCGGTCCGAAGCTTCATTGACTGAAAAATGGGCCTTTTTTGGATTTTAGGGGTGTTTTGGGCCCATTTCCCCCCAATTTGGCGTGAAAAAACCTGTGCCATCATGGGTAATGATTATCGGGTCATTTCGGGCGGACCATCGAATGTACTTGGTCCCGAGACACTCCGGGGCTTCCGGAGTGATACAGGGTTTTCGAGATACAGGGGATCAAAGTCCCCGATTTTCACTCAATTCTGCAGGTATTTTAATGTTCAATTCCGACTATAAATTGATTTCTGATTTAGATATCGAAGCGCATTTTGCGGTGGTTGATTCAGCTACGTGTGGTGGATTTTTCTACATATTTCACAAACCCTCACTAGCTGAATCAACCACCGCAAAATGCGCTTCGATATCTAAATCAGAAATCAATTTATAGTCGGAATTGAACATTAAAATACCTGCAGAATTGAGTGAAAATCGGGGACTTTGATCCCCTGTATCTCGAAAACCCTGTATCACTCCGGAAGCCCCGGAGTGTCTCGGGACCAAGTACATTCGATGGTCCGCCCGAAATGACCCGATAATCATTACCCATGATGGCACAGGTTTTTTCACGCCAAATTGGGGGGAAATGGGCCCAAAACACCCCTAAAATCCAAAAAAGGCCCATTTTTCAGTCAATGAAGCTTCGGACCGATTCAGGACCCTGCTCAATCGATTCCTGGTCCAAAAATACGTAGAGTCCATCACACATGTAACATTTTACATATGCACAACCCATCGGAATTGAATCATCGATCGTCTTTGAAGGCCATTTTAGCGCCAAAAACACAAAAATTCATTTTATTTTCGAAGAGCTCGACAGAATATTTTCATTTTAGGCTTAAATGACTGTGTATGCATCCTACTTCAAGATCCCGAAGGAATTTTGAGTGGGCAACACAATTTCATTTACCTCCCTCTGAAACGAACCGTGCCTTGCTTTTATACCTTCTCATTTTTTCCCCTTTTACTTTGTTTCAGAATCAAGAACACTTGAAGCCTCAAGTGGTGCACGCTCTAGCAAATGCTGAATTATACTGCCTAGCTCTAGGAAACATTTATTCAGATCCAAATTACCATAATTTAAACCATTGGGGTGTTCTCCAAGCTCTAAATAGGAAAAACATTTCCATCACCGATCCTCACCTGACTGAAACTGTGCTCATTCAAACAAATCCTTTGAAAATGGTAAGTACTCAGCTTCATTCAAGTCAATAGTCCTGAGACCGAAGCAATTCAGTGATAGTACCTATGATGCAATCGTTTAGAGATCAGCGGTGAAACTAAAAATGCATATCTCGCCGCCAATTTTTTAAAATCTACGCTCCTAATTTATTTTTTAAGACAATGAAAAAACCAATATCATGATTTGAAATTGCTACAGAATATCCTTCACACAAAGAAGGAATGTCGCCGAAGTTTTTCAGAAAAAAAATTGAGTCGTTTTCCTATTAGAAAATAAATTATGAAGGGAAGTCTACGACGCCGCAAACCGATTAACGCGTTGCTGCAGTTTCACCGTCGAAATGTCTATTGAGCAAGTAATTTATTAACCTTAAGTTTGAAGGTTTAGTTTGGGATGTTTACACACTCCTCAATCCAATTTTGTTAATAATTATTTATTTTTTAATGTCAGGAAGTTTCATCTCGTAAAATAAGTGAAAAGGAAAGTCTTTTTGAAGTCTCAACAAAAAGCGAAATTCATGAAATAAAACATATTTTTTAAATCTTTTCAACCAGTGTTGAAATTACTCTAATCAATATTCATTTATGGTTTAATTTTTAGAGTGCTCACATGACTGTGATGGAAGCAGTAATGACTTTGTATACTAAAGAAGTGGCTACCCCGGATCGAGTTCTGGCAGCTGTGAGGAGGTTTTCTCATAATTCTACCATTAGTGAAGAACCTCCGGATCATGAAAGTGCTTTGGTAATGTGGATTAATGAAGCAGTCAAAGCTCTGAGACAAAGGATATGTCAAGAAGTAGGGCAGGTTCGTATATACTTTATTCATATATACTTTATTTTCGTATATTCTCATTTATTTCCCTTGCTCTCTTTGCACAGATATGAGAGGCGCATGTTCTCTTTTGCATTTTATTCAAATTTTATTTTTAAATTAGAGTCTCACAACTAGAGCCAAATGATGATTTTCTTTCTTTCATTCAATAGTTACTGCTGCTATTGATGTCAAAGATAAAAATTAATTTTGGATTGATAACTTACAAAAAATAATCACATTAATTATGCAAATTCGTCGTTTCCTGAACGAAGGAACTTAATTTCGTTCCGAGGTTGTAAAACTGACACAAACAATTCTTTTTTTATTAGAATGTGCCAGTTCAATTTTTGTTCAAAGTTTTTCTGCTTTTTTAATGAAATCAGAAGAAATATCAGTGAAATTTTTAGTTAGAAATGCCTAAGATTCTCCTCATAAAAATTTTAAAGGGGAAATGTGACAACATTAAAATTCAGTCATATTCTTTTGTGAGGGGACGACGAATTGTTGACACATACTACTTACAAACTGATTGCGGTAAACGCACGGGTCATAAGACAACATGTTGAAGTTTTTTGCCAACGTGTGTTAAAAATTCAGCATAAAGCTAAAAATCTCAATACTGAGGGAACAGTTTATATGAGCACAGTCTTCCCTCAAACAGATACGTTGTTTGGAACAATACTAGTTACGTCCATTCAGGAGGGCAACTGGAGACGCCTTTTGGCCTTGTTGGGCCAATCCTAGTGCAGTGCAGCCTCCCGAATTTTCTGCTACCAAGCTCGAGAGGTTGTGAAAACCAGCGCGAGACGTGGGCAAGCGGACGTTGGCGGCAAGTAAACTTGCGCCATCTAGTGAGTGATTATTCAAATAGCTCTGCTTAAGCCTTGGCAAGGCAGTTTTACAAACTGATTGTGGTGGACTTACGGGTAGTAAGACAGTATGTTGGAGTTTGTTGCCAACGTGTGTTAAAATACTACATCGACGGTGTAAGTCGGCAATCACATCATTCGACGGTGTTTGAAAATCTCCGCCTCTTTGTTATTTTTTAAAGGAGAACAAAGTGACATAATTCTTTGAAGTTATTGCAGAATTTTCTTTGCACAGAGAAGACAAATCACGGCAGTTTTACAGAATTGCCGTTGAGTAGTTTTCCGTTTAAAAAATAAAGTATGACAGGAAGTCTGCGACGTCGCAAACCGAGTTATGTGATTGCCGACTTACACCGTCGACATACTACTTCCATGAATGAATCTTGTACATTTCTTCTTAGCTCATATAGAGATAATTAGCCTCATGAATTATGTTACTCCGGAGAGAACCCTCTACCTTGCCTCCATCTCAAATTTCCTCTGTTTTCCTCCTTCCTCTTTCATTTTCATTTATCTTCTTGACCACAAGTATGTATTTTGAATTACTGATCATCATCTGGAATGTCTATTGCGTTTGTTCGTAAAACACTCATCTAGCAGGTTTTTTTTCTTGGAGAGTATAATTTGATTCTCTCAGCCTTTTTGAAAAGTTAAAATTTCAAACTGACTTCTAACTAATTTCAAACTAATGATGTGCTTTGGTATTCAGTACATTTTTTCACCAACTTTGCGGAGATTGGGGGAAAATGTGTCAAAAAGAGTTTAATAAGTTTGTTAATAATTTATCTTATTCATTCCTATGACCAATCAAGGCCAGAGTGATAATTTTATTTTTCCTTTGGAATAATCCTGTTTTATTTATTTAGATCAAGTCCAATAAATGGTGTGTTGCGCCTTCTGTTCTAGGGAGATCAAAATCGCATTCCAGATATCCCTGTAATCACTGATGTCCTAGAGTTATGTGATGGTATAGGTCTTGCAGCTTTAGTGTCATTTTATTGCCCTGATGATTTACCCTGGAGGAAAATTTTAGTCAACAAAGTTCCAACAATATCAGATTGTGTTCGAAACCTTTTACTAGTCCATGATTTTTGTCAACAAAGTCTACCTTATTCAATTTTTCATATGATGCCAGAAGATGTCTCATATCTTAGAGGGTAAGTTTGTGCCTTACTATCTAGTTTTTCTAAAAAAATGGAAAGAATAAGCTTTCTTTGTCGATTCAGATGCACCTAAAAGTGTGTGACCTAAGCGTACATTGCTTTTTCATGCCATTACTTTTACAAATCACTTAACCTCAACTTTGGCGAATAATCTTCCAAAATAAATTGAAGCAAAGGTATGCGATAAAGGTTGGCATTGCAAAGCTCTCATCTCCCTTTAGGAAACTATAAATTGAGTGTATAATAGATGTCATTCTAACCTGAGTTGAATCTCGGTAACTCAATACTGTTTATGAAGTTACAGACTTCCTTTCATGCTTCTTTTTTAAGTGAAAAACAAACCAACCTATCCTTATAAAAATGTCTGTGATTATTCTTCTCTTTTTGTAAAATTTTCAAGCAACAATGGTCGCTCTTTTCCCCTTGAAAAAGTGAAGGAAGAGCAAACGTTTTGAACCTTTGAAATTGATATGTGGCTGCGTGAAGTCGAGCCATCGTGAAGTCGAGCCATCATGAAGTTTTAAAACAATAGCAGCCTGATTGTTGAAATTTTTTGTTTGTCGGGACGACAAAGATGACATAGGTTAAAAGGCGGAGCGTGATTGGTCGGCTATGTCTTATCGCTGCTTTGTCGTGTCTGTGTCGGGTTGACCTCTCGACAAGCTAACGAGACCTCTTAAGTCTCCGACAGTATGTCGATCATCCCACCCGACAAAGGCACGACAAAGCAACGATAAGACATAGTCGACCAATCACACTCCGCCTTTTAACCTATGTCATTTATGTCGTCCCGACAAACAAAAAATTTCAACAGTCAGGCTGCAGTTTAAGGTTTTCAAACTACCGGACCTTATATCTCGTTTCATTCCTTGAATTTTTCAAAGAGTCTTCTCCATACAGAGAAGGAACTTCACGGAATTTTTCGAAAATTGACGTAGAGTAGTTTTCCATTTAAAAAATAAAGTATGACAAGAAGTCTGCAACGTCACAAACTGAGATACATGGTCTGGTAGTTTCACGTTCAACATGCATTGCATGTATATATGTAGTAAATAGTGATTGACTCAGGCGGTCGGAATGTCCTCCGGGAAAGCAGTCTCTTTTTTTTTCCTTTTTTGAGGAGCATGTGAAAGGACTGCCACCAGGTGTTAATGATCCTAAAATAAATATTTTATAAAGCAGATCAATATCATTGATGAAATTTTTCCTGTTTTTCAGATCAATGCGATCAAATTTAATAGTATTTCTAGCAGATTTGTTTAATGTTTTGGAGATTCACCCTGCAAAATGTGTACGCTTTGATCATGCTGCCTCTAGCCTTACTGAAGGTAAGTTAATTCCATGCCAAACTGTTTTTCACTTTGGTTTTAACAGGTTTCTACAAGATTTCAGTGCATTTAAATGTCAATATTTCCAAATCCTAATTGATTTCTTGCTCAAGAAAATTCCTCGTGTATACTTATTTTCAACAAAAGTTGACCATGTATAAGCTGGTCAGGGGGCCAATGTGACAGGCGATATTTCTAAACATTGCATGTTCCTTCATGTACACCATGATCACGTGATATGAATATCCCCTGTTGTAACATTTTAAAATGAAAAACCTCTAATTCTTTGCCTTGCTTCTATTTAACAATATTTTATGGTGGATGTTCTGGAATCATGCTTTATTTAATGGTATTTTTTTTGTCTTTCTTCATGAGATTTGTACAAAAATAACAATATTATAACCTATGGGTGTTTGGTTTTTGATAATTTAACCTTCAGTACTTTCTTATGACCAAATATAACAGCTGTCATCAGCTTCTTATTTCATTTTCTGTCGTATCAGATCAAAGCCTGAATGCATTTTTGCCACGTCAAATATAATAAAAATTAAAGAAGAAAGGAGCATGCTCTCAAATTTTCAATAATGATCATAGCTAGTAAGTTCAAATAGACTCATTTTTTCAAATTTAGTGAAAGCTGTTATTTTCCTCTATCGCCCCCAATTCTACATCAGGTTCTATTCTCTCAATTGTTTACAATCAACACATAATCAGTTCTTTGCCTTTGCCCCAAGCTTTTTGTTTTTTATGTAGTCAATATCTGAGCTCAAAATTTTAAAAAAATAGATTGGAATAGGGCACTGTTTCTTAAGTCGAATGAACTGGAACAATAATTTTCTGCTCCAAAAATTATTTTGTTGGCAACTACAAACAGAAAGCTACTCTGTCTTTTATGTGATGGAAAAGTCCTAATTATTGATGGAAGAATGCAAATAGCTGTTGAATTTCAGCAAGTGATCCCTACGACAGAAAGAAGTATGAAGTAGTTCTCCGAGTACAAATTTATCCTCTGGTCCATGTAACGACTTTTTCATGAGGAACTCTTTCCCTTTCTCCTTGAAGCAACTTCCGATTACGCTCCAATTTCTGGGCATTGATTTATGATAAAAGTTATTTTATCGTGAAAATAAATACTTAAGTCTTTCTTAATTGAAGAAAGTGGGCTATGTCTTGATTCCTATGTATATATTTTCTTCCTGGTCCTATTAGCTTATCCGCGGAATAGCCACGGAGTGGCTCATAAACGGTGTTTGCCTCTGACTGTATCTGCTATCCCTGATCTTCGCAGTAATCTGGATACTCATTCAACAGGTTTCACAGGTACTTGTCAAATGACATCCTCATTCCTCCACTCAGTGTGTGTTTTATCAGCAAAATAACCCACCTCGGTTATTTTTTTATCCCTCTTTCTTCTTGACTCTCCTCTTATTTTACTTTTGTCTAGCATTCCCTGGTTAAGAACCCTGCCTGAAAAACATCATGTCTGGGGGAAAAAAGCCCTTTTGTAGCAATTGCATTTTCCGATTTTGTCTTTATCTTTATCAGTTTTTGTTCATGTTTTTTCTTTTCCTTCTTTTCCCTTGCATTGCTTCTTTTTTCTACCCCCTGATACCATTAATATTTATCAGCTCGCTGTTTTTTATTTTACCCTGAGAAATCTCAAATCAGGGTTGCCACAGTCAGGGAAAACTGGGAAATGTCAGGGAATTTTAAAGAGTCAGGGAAAATCCGGAAATGTCAGGGAGATTGATGAAAGTGCCAGGGAAAACCTGGAAATGTCAGGGAGATTGATGAAAGTGTCAGGGAAACATTTTTGATTCAACTTTATTTGCTTTCTAGAAAGGGGTTGACGTTTTGAACAACAAAGTTTGCCTGAAACTGTTTCAAATTATGTGTTTTCAGCCGTCTGGCATGTCTTCAATTTTTAGGGGATTTTACTCAAGGGTGTCAGGAAAATGTCAGGGAATTTCATTTTCCAAATTCTGTAGCAATCCTGTCTAATGATTTGCGCATTTTCCACAAAACAAGTCTCTCTTGTCACGCCAGTCATTCTTTTCATTTTTCTTGTCAACGTTTAAACCTTGCCATCACTTTTATCTTTCAAACCGGGTAATCACCATTACGATGTGGTTCTGTCTTTCACGAAGTCCTAATATCACAATCCTCCATGTTCCTTAACAATATCATTGTTTCACTAAGATAACGCTAAGGTTATTTTTTTGTTATTAGGTTTTATGGTGTTTTTTTCTTTCTTACTTCTTTTTACTGTCCAGTAGTTTGGTTTGCTATGATTTTTCTTGTTTTGTGTTGCCTTATTATTGTTCTGGTTTTCTGTAATTTGTAAGACGTCAATATAAGTTTGATTCATGTAGAATTGCTAATGTCAACTTAACAATGCATGTACTCCCACAACCCATTCTTTAGACATCGTATTATGCTTCAAATGAGCGATTGTGCCCTGCATTCTATCGGCATGTATTTAAAGCCTCTGCAATCATGAATATTGAGAGCTAAGGAACAATACGGCTTAACTGTCGATTTTGGTGGAAATTCAACTTTCAAATTTGCACCTTATCCAGTGGTTCATTATCCTCAAAAAAGAGGAAGAACATCTTTAGGTCCCACATTTTTATGGCGTTTGCACTCTTTCTCCCCATTCTTCTGTGACTGACCTGTCTCGTGCACTTTTTTCTTCATCTCCCTCTTTTTCATCTAACTCTGAGAGGAAAAAAAAATATAGTTCCATAAAATTTAACTGTGATCAAGTCCATGAAATGTTAAAAGTACTATGAGAGATCACCAATCTGTTAAAATTTGTTACCTACTTGCATGAAAACAAAAATCATGTTTCATAAACACATGTATGAACCATGTGTGTTAATATTTCCAATGTGCATTGAAGCGTTTATTCTCAAAAAAGAAAGTAAAGATAAGTATTAAAAATAAAAATTTACGCTTATAATTTTTGATTGCTCTTCTATCCAATGGTAATCATGATACAGACACACAGAATTTAGGTCTTTTTTCTTTCTGTGAGTGGGTTTGAAATTTTTATGGTGATGTGAAGAGAATTATTTTCTTTGGTCCTCCTCAAAATTCACCCTCATTTGTTAAATTATAAGCTAATGATGTTTTGTTTCTTTTGTATGGTGTTTAGGATCAGTCTCCAGCCCAGTATTCACCAAAAAGTCTAACACCAATCAGGAAAATTCAAATGATGATAGGTAAAATCATCAATTATATTTTGGCTAATTTCTATGGTTAATTAAGTGTATTCTATTCCAAGCTAGTACAACAAAGCTGAGGGATTTTACCAAGTATTAGAAATTAAAGTATCAAAAAAATAATTATTTTTTCAGTCCATGCATCAATAGGAAAGAAAGTGTCTTACCTCTGACATTTCATAGAATGTGCCTTTTTGTGTTTTTCTTTTTTTCTTCAGGGGTAAGAATGTATCTCATTGAAAAAGCTCAAAAAACTATTTCATAATTTCCACAGAATTTTGGAAAGAATCCTGTGGAGGAAACCAAGAAGTTTGGCGCTGTTTAAACTTTTTATCATTTGATATAATGTGCTTCATAATTTTCTTAGCTTCATGAATTTGATAATCAAACTTCCCATGTGCAGAGTGTCTAGCGACGGGGAAAACCGGAAAAGTCAGGGAAAGTCAGGAAGATGAAATTGGTCAGGGAAAGTCAGGAAAGAAAAACGCAAAACCGGGAGGGTAGCGAACTCCCGTCGAAGATTGCGATTTTTTGCATAACTTTATGGCGCTTCAATATTTAGCCGTGCAGCGCTCTCTCCTGGTCTGAGGTGCCATCTGAACCGTTAGTGCTGACATAGAATAAAGAGAACACGTAGCATTTTCTCTTTATTCTGTGGTGCTGACTAGTGGTGCTTTCTCTCTCTATCGCTTTGTTGCGTCCGCAACGCCTCTTTTAGCGTCCGCGACACCTCTGGAAGTGTCCGTGACACCTCTGGAAGTGTCCGTGACGCCTGTGGAAGCGTCCGCGATAAGTTTTAGGCGTCCGCGACACCTCTTGAAGTGTCCGCGACGCCTTTTGAAGCGTCCACGACGCCATTAAAGCGTCCGCAGCGCCACCTTTAGCGTCCGCCACACCTCTAGAAGTGTCCGCAACGTCTTTTATAGCGTCCACGACGCCTTTAAAGCATCCGCAACGCCTCCTTTAGCGTCCACGACACCTCTGAAAGGGTACTATTTCTTCCTCTATTTATTTAATTCTCGAAGTTGCAAATTTCTATAAAGTTTTTTGAAGTAACAAGCAAAGATCTTCCAAAGCATTACTACTAAGTACAAATTATGATGTAATAGTAGAAGAAAGAAAAGAATCTTTTTTACGAGAGTCTCCGTCGACACCCAAAGACCGCAGAAAGGTTTTTATTCTTGAATTGTAATCCATTGCTTTGAAGGGTGAAAAACATCGTACAGACTGAAAGCAAATCTTGGTTAAAGGTCATGGAAAGTCAGGGAGAAAGAAAAGTCAATAGGTCAGGGAAAACCTTGAAAGTCAGGGAGAATGAAAAGAAAAATTTGCTAGGCACCCTGATATGCCAGTTTTGATAAAAGCAGAGTTGGAAAGTGAATTTATGAACATTTTTACTCACTTTTCATAGAAGAGATATCAGTGCTTAGCAATTAATAAGTCTGAATTATTTGTATCTGATGAGCCCAGTAACAAATCTATTCGGAGTGCAGTTTCTCATACTTAATATCCCACTCTTTTCTAGGCGAAATACTGAGGAGTTTGTTGTTCATCGAGGTCGCTCTGTCCCAACTCTGAGCTCTGTGGTGCACAATAATGTAGCTGAACGTAGTCCAATTAGTAATGATGTTGCTGCGGGTAGACCGAGTAATTGGGAAGAAAGTAGAAGACCATCTTACGCTGGTAGAAGATCAAGGCGAAACTCTCTATCAGAAGACTCGCAGGTAATTAGCAAATGCACTAATTTCCTCTGCTTGTAAAATTTCATGCCTTTTCTATTTCCTCTTTGTACTCTTCCTCTAAGTACTGCCAACTGCTCTTATTCCATTATCCGAAAATGTTGAATGTAGGTCTTAAAGATATTAACGCAATTCACTCATCTTAGCTGTATCCATATTAATTTCAAACTGAGTACTGGTTGCAATGCACCACATGAGATACATCAAAAATGGAATGTGAAATTCTTATCCTTTGGTCAGCTTATATCCCCGATATCATGGAGAATCAACTATTGCCTCTCATTTCGCCAATTTTTACTCCGGTAATTTTTCTAACTAAGCCAAAGTTTCCTTTCATTCATTGCCTTTTTCCACTTTTGACAATGTATTGTCAAATGTGATTTTATTTCCACTTGTTCATCAAAATGCTTTTCTCTTGAAATTTTTCTTGATGAGTAATTTTTATTTCATGATCCTTTGTATCATAAATAGTGTTTTTGAACCCTTCAATTTTTATAAGTCGTATCATTTTATACTCTCTCTTCAACAAAATGTTCTATCTTTTCAGTTAACAATAGAAAATTTTGGTGGATCCCAGGAGAACCTCCATCTTCTTGGTAAAAATCCAGACAAAGAGCCGGCAGTTCACATAGGAAGGAAGGACCCCTCGCCATCTCCAAAAATTAGCGCACAAGAGAATAGGAATAGCAATGCCTTACATTCAGTTTTGCAGAGTGATACACACATTGATTCAAGTAAGCCAATTTTAAGATTGAAAACGCTTAACAGATTGTATATAATTAACCTTAGACGCTGGAGTGGTCTTTATTTTGCTTTTTCAAAAATTATCACACCAAAATGGATTCTTAAAATAAATCTCAAACCAGATCTCCTTGATTGTAAAGATGCAAGCACTGAGATTAGATCAGATATCAAACAATTTCGAATCATCTTTACAACCTCTTATTAATAAGAAAATGTTATGCTACACCAATACTAACTCTGCCACCCCTTTTTCCTTTCATAATTGAGGCACTGGATGCGAAAAGAGCACTTCTCAGTTGCAGTGTTTCAGAGTCTTCTCTAATATATCATTTATTGCAAGGAAAGTAAATGCATCCATTTCATTAACAAATTTTACCAAATATTTCTTATGATTCTACAATTTCCTATGGAAAGAATTCTGGAAAAATCACCCATCAAATTCTTCTCCCAAGGATTAATTAGCAACTGACATTCTGAAACATCGCAATCAAGAAGTGCCCTTTTCGCATCCAGTGCCTCAATTTTATATTGAAAATTTGCCCAAGTAAGTAGGGGCACACAAATTTTGTCCTGTAAAATGACCTTTTTTTTGTCGTAAAACAAAACTTTGTGCAGGTCTCTAACTGGAAAGTTATCAAAGGTACTTTAAAAATAACTTTCATACCCAAACCTTAATACCTTACCTTACCTTTCATATCTTAATTGATCCAATGGTTTTTTCCGCATTTATGTAATTAATAAAGATCAAGGCAGGGAGCGAAAAATCATAATTATTTTCTCTTTTCCAGCTGAACCACCTCAGAGAATATCACTATCCCGACAGTCGTCTCTTAGGAGTAAATCTTCGAATCATGCAGAAACCATGAGTAGTGCTGGTCTACAAAACTCATTGTTCGATCCAGAAGAAGAAGTGATCATTAATAAACGTAATTCTGAAGTGCCTACAGAGAAGAAAGTAACTTCCTTTGCCGCATTACCATCCAACACTACAACTTGGCAGCAGCAGAGAGATATAAATTCTCACTCACAGCCAGATAGAGGTACCATCAAGGAAATTTGCTTTTTTTTTAGTACAGTGAAACCTCGCTAAGTCGGTTTTCATCGGGACCGAGGAAATTTACCGAGTTAAGCGGGTTACCGACTTACGCGGACTGCCACTTTTTCTGCCGCGCTTTTTCAAATTTCGCGCCCTAAATTGGACAAACGCAAACGTGCGTGTAGAGTGACTTGTAGGAGTGTTCAGGAGAGCCATTTGATCGAAGAAAATGGTACTAAAGAGTAAAATTTCATGAGATGCACTTGAAATTGCGTGTTGTAAGTGTCAGGGCATCATGAAATTATCGGGTTAATCGTTTGTTGGGGTGCCGCGGCACCCCATCGCGTATCACCCCCCGCGCACCCCCCGCGCACCCCACGCGGCATGCCGCGCGGTGATGCGCCGCGGCCGCCCGCTATGGCGGGTCGTTGCACTGAAAATGCAACGTATCAATACTCGCTAAAATTCCCGAAAAACTCTACGGAAGATTCCTGGGGGGAGCGGGGAAGGGGAATGCAAGATGGTAGGGGGAGAGGGGCCGGTCCCGACTGGACCTGTCAACTCATCGATGCGTGAAATTGCTTAATTATGCATGCGTGTTTTCACACGCGCGATAAGATAACACGCGGTATCAGATATCCTATTCTCTACTGTTCTCATCTTTCGTGTTGTTATCGCGTGTTTTTGATTCCTTATCTCTCTATTTCCGATGTCGTTTCTCGCACTGCGCTGCGCTCTCTCGGAGATTCGCTCACCCTTCGTGGCGTAACTTGACCCGACCCGCACCGCGCACGGAAACACTATCTACGCTTGATCTCGGGTGACGATCGAAGAAAAACAGGTCGAGATGGAAAAATTTCACCGAGTTAAGCGGGTTCAGAATCTGACCAAACCGAGATACCGAGACTTATTTAGCATTGTGTTATATGGGTGATAAACGGGACCGGGCGATTCTACCGACTAAAGCGGGTTACCGGCTTATCCGGAAACCGACTTAGCGAGGTTTCACTGTATCATTGTTCTAAAGTCCATCATAGTATTCTATTAAGGAAGACTGACAAAAGTTTAAATTACGCTTGAAATTGTATGTCTCCTATCATTTTGGATTTTTTACCATTATTTTTTCGATTCCGGCCAGTGTATAAAACCTATGATATTCAACGATGGAACCCAGTGATTTTTTTGTTGAAAATTGAGCCTTTAATTATTTGATCATGATGAAATTAGTCCTTTTTCCTATTTTTACCCAACTGACAAGTAGTGAATTTCGAGTGAGGTAAGCAAAAAAACACTCATCCAATTCATCTGTTTTACCCCTACTACTACTAACTACTATTTTGTTGCAGAAGAAACAGAGACGGAGACTGAAGTAATGGGTTCACAGTTACTAAACATACGCTTGAAATTAGAAGAAAAAAGACGCTTGATTGAAAGTGAAAAACGCAGAATGGAAGCGGTTTTCAACAAGCAACGACAGCAGTTTGGGAAAGCAGCTTTTTTCCAAGCTGTCACCAAGGTATTTTTCTCTATTATATCTTTATTGATTAGTTGTCTCCAAAGGAATAATTTTACCTCGTAATTAGTAGTTTTATTCTCCTCATTCAACATTTTTTCCCCTAAAAATCTCAGTTTTATGGAGAAAATATGTTTTATTAGAACAGCATGCCCTTGATTTTAATAATGAGTGTGCTGAGTGATGATTCGTAGACTTAATCTCTCTGAAATTTGTTTCTACCTTTATCGTTTATTTTTACTCTCTAAATATTCAAGTGCTGTTTATATTCTTTGAATCTTTTAAATGTTGCTGAGAAAGGGTACGTTAACTTCAATATTACTGTGAATTTAATTTTACTCTCATACCTTGTCGATCAAGTGTTCTTTTCGTTCTGTCCTAAATCCTTTCTTACGATTGCACCAGTGATATTCACCAATATTCAGACAAAGATCATCAATCTGTCTACCCTGAATATCCAGCTCCAGCAAACTTATACTTTAGGCATTAATACTTTCCCAAAAACAGCAAAGAAAAGGAGACTCCAGATGTTAAATGAATAAAGCACCTCTGATGCTTTATTTTATTCTTGGCTGCATATTTTGAATCAGCCTCTTGAATTCCTCCCCTGTGTACTTCTCGGTAGAATATTTCTGTCATACTGCAATTGCTGTCGAAACATAAGCCAAAATTGTAATATCATTTTCCATGGAAAAGTCATTCAATTTAAAAGGCACTTTGTTGTAGGAAATAAGAAAAGTATTAATTTTTCCTTTGTTTTATCTCTGGTGTGTGGTGTCTGTTTCTTAATGGATTGCAAGTCCTTTTGGGGCATGTGGTGTACTAATTTGTTTGTTCCCTCTGAAATCTTATCAGGGCAAGTCAGGTGAAAAGACGAGTTGTAACACGCCTGACTCCGACCCTGGCCAACAGGTGTCTAACAGCAAAACTGCTTCCCCAAAATCTGATAAACCACAACGTCCTTTTTCACTTCAGGTACCTATGTCTCTTTATCTTTTGCTTTGCTCACTTCTCAAGTTGTATCTCTTGAATTTAGTTTATAGGTCACGCTTATCTGCAAAGGAACCCTCCTAAATCACATGACAACCGCAAAATAACAACAATCTTAGTCGGTCTTCTGAAAGCTGTTATACTGAGGTTTTACTGCCTATGAATTTTAAAGTATAATTTATGTCACACTCGGACTGTAGTAAGAAAGAAAGAGGGGTGGGAAAATTTGTGAGAGTTGAAAAAAGTTATTAATTGGGGAGTAAGCTAGGGAAACTATTTCCCTTCTCCCATCGGCATCTTTTTTCTGTTTTGATCAAAATAGGATGTTTTTTAATTATTCTGAAAGTTTCTTCCCCCTCCCCAGTGAAATTTTGCCTTTTTAAGGTTTTACTGAAATAATGCCTCTTGAATCATAGGTAGTTTTAAACTGATATTGCAAGGTTTATTTTCATCCGGCCTGTGTGTGATACATCTTTTGTTGCTTCTGAATTTCCTCTTGCCTCAGGTGTTTTCTGTTAAGCATGAGTTTGGGTTTCATGTGATCATGCCAATTTGTTCTTTTTGAAGCCACAACTTGTCTCAACCATTCTGAGGCCTTGTCTCGACGGTACATTTCATGGAATTTGTCCTAGAGGAAAATCCCACATGCTAAGTTGAGAAAAATATTGAGTTGGTCAACATTTTTCCCAGTACCAAGTATGGTCCTTGTACCCCTAAGACCAACTGAGAGAGGAAGAAGAAATGAAAGCAAACTGTGCGATATTTTGTTGTTTACTCGACTGTTCGTGTGTGTATACTTAAAATAATTTGTGTAACTGTTAATCTCGTCAAATCATTATCTTAATCCTGGTTAGATACTCGATTTTTACTTATTTATCTTCCCGCGCAAACTTTTCGCTGGAGCGTGGGACCGCTTCCGGTGGAGACATATACAGGGTGTCTCACGAAAAACGAGCCACCTTGAATATCTGCCGAACGCGTCGGAATTTCGAAAAACGGTAAAAGACGTGTTCGTTTATATTGAAGGGGACACCTTTTGGCGTATTTGACATTTTCCCAAACCTCGGGAGGGGCGCGGGGCGGGGGGTGCCCCACCCGTAAGTCGAACTTTTCAAATGGCACCCCTACTTTTTTATTTCAGAAATCAATTCTACGCAAAAAAACAAGCCACCCTGTCCAAACCGAATGTAAATCGGACAATTTTTCAGTGATTGACAGAGTTTGAAACATTTTTTTCATGCTCTTTTCAAAAATTTCCCACGCCCAATGGAATTGCTGTATCAAACCAAACTCTCCGCCAAAAAATTCTTAAACATTGCACTTTCGATAAAAAAATCAAAAAAATCTGCTGCACTCGAAATCTGGAGCTCGCGGAGCCCTTCTTTGCGACATTAAAATTCGTTATACCGAACATTTCCGATGGGCGCTCATCGGGAGGGTGTAGTAAGTTTTAGACAAGAATTATTAATCTTTTTTCTGAAGCATAAGAAACCGTGCCCCTGAAGAGGCAGTTAAGTAGAAAAACAACGCACCGCGGAAAAATAGCGTCCTCAGAAGTATCAAGGTCCGGCTCAAATCATTGAAACCCCCCCCCCCCCCAAAAAAAAAAAAAAGCTAATCTATTTGTTTTTCTACTTACCTGCTTCTTCATGGACACGGTTTCTTATGCTTCAGAAAAAAGATTAATAAATCTTGTCTAAAACTTACTACACCCTCCCGATGAGCACCCCTCGGAAATGTTCGGTATAACGAATTTTAATGTCGCAAAGAAGGGCTCCGCGTGCTCCAGATTTCGAGTGTAGCAGATTTTTTTGATTTTTTTATCGAAAGTGCAATGTTTAGGAATTTTTTGGCGGAGAGTTTGGTTTGATACAGCAATTCCACTGGGCGTGGGAAATTTTTGAAAAGAGCATGAAAAAAATGTTTCAAACTCTGTCAATCATTGAAAAATTGTCCGATTTACATTCGGTTTGGACAGGGTGGCTTGCTTTTTTGCGTAGAGTTGATTTTTGAAATAAAAAAGTAGGGGTGCCATTTGAAAAGTTCGACTTACGGGTGGGGCACCCCCCGCCCCGCGCCCCTCCCGCGGTTTGGGAAAATGTCGAATACGCCAAAAGATGTCCCCCTCGATATAAACGAACACGTCTTTTACCGTTTTTCGAAATTCCGACGCATTCGGCAGATATTCAAGGTGGCTCGTTTTTCGTGAGACACCCTGTATAATCCCAGAAGTTTCATCCCTGTGATTCGGAAACTGGGACAAATCTCATGAAAACGTCCCTTGGAGACAAGGCCTCAAATACTATCTTTTACAATTTCAATACCTACAATAATATTCATGTCTAGTAGTTTATATTTTCTTCCCTACTTTCCATTCTGTCAGAATATCTAAGTTGTTGGGGGAGGGAGGGGAAGGGGGGTCTACTGAAGAAAGGAAGGGTGGGAGCGGTTATATTTGGCCTCCTTCCACAATCAAATCATTTTGAGACACATGCATTAAAGGTTACAACATATTGCAATTCATGATAAAATTATGCCTTCATCTGTCTTACCACAAACTTGCCTCATTCTGAAGATGCCCTCAGATATTTTTATTTGTTTATTGATTTAATTCACTGTATCACCGAAAAGTTTCATATCTAGAGCCATCCAACCAAGTGAGTTTGTGTTTCCATCACTCCATTTTATTTCTGTTAACAATAACTTGAACCAAGAAAATGAACATGCTTGAATTTTATCCCCTGTATTCAAGCTTAAGAGGTCAAAGAGAGAAGTGAAATGGACCTTTCATTCAAAGTCGTAACCGTTGTTTGCTTATTAAACTTTCACCAGCAGTTTAGTTTGAGCATTTTGTCCATGAGACTCTCAATTGTTTTTACCTGCATTGCATTACTATTTTATGAACCCACTTGATAGTTATTATATAATATAATTTATAATAATCTTAATGGAGTATGAAAAATACATGTTTAGACTATTTCATGATAATGGAAATAGTAGTGTCGCATCGCTAGTTTGGTTTTTTCGAGTTTTCAGATACTTAGAAGAATTAAATTGGTGAGTACAACTGTAGTTGAAAATCGTTTAAAGTTGTGACCTTTCAATGATTCATAGATTCAAATATGAGAAATCATTGCTGCTATGAGTTGTAAACCGAAAAATGGGGTATTGGTTAAGTAAATGACAGGACATTTTTTCTCTGTTAGTTATGTAACGAACATACCATTTCATGGTCTAAAACTCTTAAAGATGATAATTTTTTGCATAAATTATGTACAAGGTCATAAATAAGGCGATTTCTGATAGCAGTAATTTTCTTTTTCAATGAATTTGTCTCATGACCTTGAAAGTATTCAGAAATGAGACTAGCGACACTACTATTCTGTGTGCCAAGGAAGAACATCTTTTGAACTCCTGAGAGTTATCAAATTTCCTCTGATTAAATGTTAATGTTTGAGGAGTGTTTTGGATATTTTCTTTGGAAATTTTCAAATAATTTAGATTTGATTACAAATAAAATTCCCTCAATAAATTCGAAAAAAAATATTAACAAATTTCCTCGAAATTAATATTTTATTGAAGGAAATTTGGCATGGTCTGAAGGCTCATACAGCGTTTTCCTTTAGCACAGCAGTGTTCCGGTCATCATAAAATTACTCATGTATTCTTGCATCCAGCATCCTAAATGAATCAAATTTCTTGCTATTTTTTTTATTCTTCTTGGATTTGAAATGACTGTCTTTCATCAGTCAGCTGTCGAAGCATGTTCCTCTCATTCTGAATTCCTAAGAGAAAATGCTAATCCTCACTGGTTCTCTTTTCTTCCTCTCATACTTCTCTCTTCTCTACTTCTCTTTTCTGGTTGTCATACTTCCTCTTCCCTCCTTTTTTCCTGAGCACCCATCTTAATGTAATTTTTCTCATTCTTAGGATATCTCTGAGGTGGAACAAAAGTGGTTAGATGGGAACAATCAAACCCTTGTATTTCTTGAGGACAAGAAAACTCCAGACTACGATAATATGGACCTTGAACAGTATCAAAAATCAATGTCTCAGTAAGGAAATTCTTTTGCTTATATTTTTAAATTTAAGCATTTAAGCTTAATAGCCATGGTCCGCCATTTCTCTCCTCAACATTTCCTCCTAAGAAAGGTCCAAATCATTTTTGAGCAGACTTTTATGAAATTCTATCCGGAAAAAAAAAATAAGAAAAAAAGAATTCCATTTAGAAAATTATCACCTCAAATCTTGACCATAACATTAACTATAGTTAAGTTTGTATTTTTGTTATATTGCCTTCCATTTCAATTCTAGTAATTTACGGTTCAGTCAATTTTTAGGAGGTTCCTGACAGTAATTCCCGATTGGAGGAGAGAGTAGGAGGCATACATTATTTTCTTTGTCATGAAAGCTTAAAAAAAATGGGGTGTTTATAACCCACAGAGGTTTACAATACCTTGGCAAATATCTCAACATGACTCTCAAAACCTTTTACTCTTCATTATTTCTGTTTTCTGTCAGTATGTCTTATTTTATTTTATTTTTAGGATGAACTCGAGCTTGCATGAGATCCAGGAAGATTTGCAGCGTTTAACTTTACAGCAAAAACAAATCCGACAAGATGAGAATGCCCCTCCTCAAATGCAAAGTTTCGCCAGTCTTAGCCAGAACAAACCCACTATGCAATCGTTTGTCGTCAATAACCATCAGACTAGTTTATCTGTTAACCAGCAGCAAAGCCTGTACAACCAACCCGGGAATCCAATGAACCATTTGAACAATTGCGCTCCAAACGAACAACAGTGGCACAGTTTACAGCAACCACAGCTGATGAACTCGTTTGCGAATCATCAGCCCATGCTAATTAACCAGCAACCAATTAATAGCTATATTAGTCAACCCTCAGTTAATAACTATGTAAATAATAGGCAGCCTATCTCTAATTATCTTCAGCAGCAGTCGCAACCAGTCAACAATTATATTTCTCAGCAACAAACATTAAATAATAGTTATGTAAATCAGTCTCCTAATAGTTATTCTAGTTCTCACTTACCAGTCAATAGTTATGGCAAAGAGTCAGTCAGTAACTTCAGTTCTCCCCAGCGGCAGATGCATAGTTTAGTAAACAATCACCCTCAGTCACAAATCAATACGAACACATACTCAGTAAACCAACAGAACTTGCAGTATCGAAGTTTTGTATCAACGAACAATTCAAATCAACAGCAGGTGCTCAATCAACAACAGCAACAAGTCAATCAGTTAATTCGAAATAGTCAAGAGCCGTCTGATCAGTCAGCACCATCCTCACAATTTTTCCTACATGATCAACCAACACAAAGGAAGACCTGGCAACAGTCAACTCCTATTACCATTTCAACTGAACCGCGCAACACCTGGGTCAACAAGTAAGTTCATGCACTCTTCATTTGCTCTTAGCGTTTTTATTTATTTGTTTTCAATGCTCTTTGAAAAGCAGAATAGTATGTATTTTTTTCCCTCACAAGGAATACAAACCAAAGTTTTCCTAATTGGTTTTGTCACTGGTTCTCTCTACGAGTTTGAAATCATTATCAGGGCCATAACCAATAGCATAATTGGCACAAATACATTTTTAAGCGATCAAAATGAAAATTTGTTTGAAATATCAAATGAGTAAAGTTCTTATAATCAGCTCCAACTGAGATATCAGCTTACAAGTTTCCCGTGCTAGGATAAAATAAATTAGGCAAGAAATTATTTTTTGGAAAAATTAGAAAATAAAATCCACTCAGCTGGTATCAGGAATTGTTCCAACAAGGTTTCTGGCAGTCCGGAAAGCCTGGAAAGTCAAAGAATCCTGGGCTGAAACTATTTTCACTACGTGCAGTTTTTTCACTCCAAGGTCACACAGCAAAATATTTTTACCACTTCGTTTTTTATCCTATGTTTTTAGAATGAATAAACAGAGTCAACCATCATCATTAAGCAGTTCTCCTTCTAATGCTGGGTTTACTCTTCATCATAATGGAAACTCAGATCATTCAGCGCCGACTCCTCCACCGAGACGAAATTCCAGCTCTTCAATCACCCATGCACCTGTTCCAACTCCCTCAGTTGATGATATGGAGCCTCAAAGCATATCTTTTATAGGTAAGGATTTGTATCAGTGACGTGGCAGATTTCTTCAAGATACTCTATTTACTGCTACCTATCTACTCCAATATTGCCGATTATTTGTGGTAATTTTACCACAAATGTATAGATGTCCAAGTTTTGCCCATCGCTCCTTTTCTCTTTCATTACTTCTAATTTCATACTTGAATTTTATTCACAGCTTGCTTTTCAGGTATATTTCTTGTGTCCCTCTATGCCTAAAATCTTGATGCAATTGTTTCTTCTTTTTTCAGTGAAATCCAATGAAAAAATAACAGATGAAGAGGAGTTTTCTGAAGGTCTAAGTCGTTTACAAATTACGAGCGGAAACCGAACTTACAGGATACCCTCACCCACCCGTGCCCATGCTAGGATAAATCAAGGAAATATGCAACCCCAAAATCAGCCAGAAAAAGGGTTTTATATTTCGTTTGATGATGATTCACCACCTAAAAGGCCCAAGCCTCCGTTACGGGTGAAAAGGGGCTCCCCCAAAAAGGTATGTAAGAAACTTGATTCGATCACTAATCTAGACTAATCGACAGGCCGAGACATTGACACAATGGTAGAATAATCCTTCATAGATAATACAAACTTGTCTATAATAGTATGAAAAGACATTCTTTTGCACTACTTATCGTCCTCTTCTTGCTTCATTGCAACAAAGACTAGACTCAATTTTCCTCCCATGTTATGTTGCCATGTTTCAGACGGTGCAATTTTGTTTCCCAGTAAAGTCAGAATTTTCCTCATTTTCCTTCTCTCCAAGATGAAAATTCAAGTAACCTCTATTTCCCATTCTCATTAATGAAAAAAATAATTTTTATTTACTGTATCTCCTGATAAAAAAAATTTATGCCACAAAATGGACATTCCAATCTCTTGCATTTATCGAGATGCAGTTTGAGTTTACGCCATTCCCGCACTCGTTTCTCTTTGAAGTCATATTGAAGCCAGCCTTCTAATTCTTGATGACTTCAGCCTCTTGAACCACTTAAGCTTAAAACCTGCTGGGTAAAGGGTCTGCACATGGCTTAAAAAAAAGCGCAACAACACATGATACGGAAGAAATTATTGGAAATACGGAGTCGAAGGTAAACGGATTTTATGACTGCATGCAACAACTATTACAGCAAAACAAAATAAGTGGAAAGGAGTGGAGGAGAGCTCATCTAGTCTGCCGCAGATTAGTGCCTTGAGACACTGCAAGTTCACTCGACAGTCATCGGCCAGCAAAGATCCACTAGTATTTCGTTGCAGGTTGCATCCAGGGCAATACCCTTGTCTAGGACGTTTTTCCATCACTAGAACTGAAATTATTTTAAACCAAAAAAAAGTGTATCTTATACTCAAGCAAATAATACTAACAATACTTCTGATACTACAAGAACTGATTTTATTTTTTTTTTTCTAATTCTTTTTGCAGGATCGAGGGCTAACCCAAGTCGTAGAACCTACTTTAAACAATGTTAATCATGATCCCATTCCTTTTGCACAAGATGACTATAGCCCCTCTCCAAACCGAGCAGAACGCTCACCTCCAAAACGTACTATCTTTTCCCCAACTTCAAATGAAGCTTCTAGTGTGCCAGACTGTTCTTCCAGTGCCAAACCGAGACCGACAACAAATGTTGGTCTCATAATAGATAATGAACTTAATAACTGTGATCCCGTAAGTATCTTAATTCTCTTTTTTTGCGCTCTCTTCAAGATGCAAATCACTTCAAACATCTAAATCTGTATTTGGATATCTTTACCTGAATTTTAAGGAAGGATAGTGAAGCTCCCAAACCTAGCATGTCATTTGCGGTGTTTTAAAATCACTGCTCCCAATTTTTTGAACAGTATGTTGGAGTTTTTAGCCAACGTGCGTTAATAATTCAGCATAAAGCTGAAAATCTCAATGTAGAGGGAAAAAGCTTGTTCGAGCATAGTTTTCCCTCAAAGAGATATGCTGTTTGAGGGAAAACTGTGCTCATATGAGCTTTTTCCCTCTGTATTGAGATTTTCAGCTTTAAGCTGAATTTTTAATGCATGTTGGCTAAAAACTCCAACATACTGTCGTACGAGTACGTCTACCGCAATCAGTTTGTGCAATTTTGAAGAAGACCAAGAAGCATTGAAGAAGACCAAATTAGCATCACTCTTGGAAGTTTACAAATTTTCTTTGCTCAAAGAAGAAAAATAGCAGAAGTTTTAAAGAATTGACGTTGAGCAGTCATCCGTTAAAAAAATCAAGTATGACAAAATATCTGCAGTATCACAAATGGAAATATGTGGTTTGGAAGTTTCACTCTTGATATTTTTCAAGTTTGCTAAAAGAAGGAATAAAAGCTCCTATTATGTTCTCAAGGTCTCATCTCTTAAGACTTCAGCACCATGAAACTTATTTTTCAAAACGTGAAAAAGCTCAAACTTGGCTTGTATGAATGTACATAAATTCCAAGTAATTCTAAAAAATCAAAAAAGAAAAAAAATAAATGATGAAATTTAAAAGTGAAATAAAAATAACAAATGAATTGCTTCTTGTTATTAAAGTAAAAATTTGTCGGGTTGTTTACAGATTCTGAGGGAAGTTATCTAATAGCTTAGTAAATTTATGTTTGCCTTTTATAATTTGGTTGCTGTTTTATTTACAGTGTTAATTGTCTTTGTGTTTTGCTTTTAGTCTACTATTGATGAAATGGAACGAAAGAAAGAGCGTATTCTTTTGTTATCATTACAAAGGCGTCAACAGCAAGAGGAGCTTAAAGCTAGGAAAGAATTAGAAGCCCACCAAAGGCGAGAGAAAGAAAAACAAAAAGAAGAAGACCGAGCAAGGAAAAAAGAAGAAGATAAAGCTCGACGTGCTGCCATATTAGAACAATATAAGTTAAAGAAAGCTTTTGAAGAAGCAGAGAGAGAGGTCAGTGCTTGTTAATAATTTTTTTTTAAATTGCCATGATCAAAGATCAAAATCACTAAGTTAAGATTAGGGTCACCTTTTTTTCTCAATTTTGATTTGATGTTTCAACCATTTGTGGTCATGCTGCTCTGCATATTGTGAATACTTGTGAAATCTTGCTGTGTCAAATCACAAAGATAAAATGTTGTAAAAGAAGTTTATGATGACATATCTGTATTTTTGATGTCAGTACAGAAGTAAGAGCTTCAGAATGTGTGGCTCTTAATGTCCTTCGATGATTTGTTGAAAGCAAAGAGATGTTTGAATATTCACGCAATTTCAAATAGATCATAGAAAAATGTACGAAAGTTACTATATCGCAAAAAATTTACAGAGCAAGCTGAGTTGACTCCCTTCCCACTAGGTCGTAAGGCTTGGGCAGCCTTAAAGCCAGTATCCCTCTGACTTGTGAGAACACAGGGGAAGGTTTAGCCCACCAGGTTTACCTGGGGCCTCCAAGGGTTGGTATCTGTGTGGTTCCGAGTGAAGGCGGGTTAGCTCGGGGTAGGGGTAAGAGCCGGAGAGAAGGCTCTCGCCCCTACCGGTGGTATTAGGCCAATTCGCTCAAGGCCAGGGACTAAGTCCCGATGTCGGAGGACGTTAAACTACCCTGGAGCCTCGGAAACGAGGAATTCTTGCAAATGGCATAGGCAGCCTAAAGTGTCAGGTGTTTGGATGACACCGACCGCCAGCTGATGCGGACCAGGGAGCCTTCTGCAAACTGGTAAAATCAAGCAGAGCAGATAGTAAGCCAACTACTCCCACCGGCGCAAGCCAGAGTTAGGCGCCCACCGAACGTATCGGTACCGAACTGGGGCAAGTCCAATCCCAAGGAGGCGCGCAGAAGACGCGTAAAAATCTTTTCGACAGGAAGGGTAGACCCCCCGTGTCCGAGTGAGACTGATCTTCCCGTCAGTCAGGTATCGGCACGATAAATGCAAAACATTGTTGTTGTTGTTAACTTGTGAGAATATTTAATAGTGAAGCTATTTTGGTCACTCTTTCCCAATGGCTCTCATATTTCTTTTCCAGGGAAAGACAATAGATAAAGATCTGCAAAATTCCCTAAAACTAAATAACATAGGGAATCGAGGACCACCAAGATTGCGCAAACAAAACACTAGGCCTCGCCCAAAAACTATACACATTGATCACGATCATGCTGATGGAATGCTGACTCCTTCTCAAGGGAAAAAAGGCTCCACCTCTAACCTTTCAGGTATCTATTCTGTTTCATTTTTCATGTTTCTCCGTGGTTTTTGTCGCCTGATACTCAGCTTTCTGAAATTATTTTTTAAGATCCTAATAGTGGAAGCAAATTTCGCTAAAAGACAACTCAGTAACTTCAAAAATCCAGCCAAGTGTATATTTAAGCACCGTCGGGTGCTACTGTTGGTATTATGCTCAAAAGGTGCTCATGACTGTATTTGTCTTCGGGTCACTACAGTTAAAGTAATTTTGAGTCAAGAAACAATCTCAAATCAATTGGTGAATATATGATTTATGCTAAGCAAGAAACTCAATGTCTCCAAAATTAGCAGAACCTAATAATAATAATAAAAAAAAAAAAAAAAAAAAAAAAAAAAAAAAAAAACGAATATTTCAAAATATACCTATTTTCACATATTTTCATTTTCTGCACTCCTACTCCCCTATTCTTTCCGATCATTTTTTTTAAAATTAATAATATGCCTTTTCAGTAAGAATTTATGAATAGCTATTCTTCGAAGGAAGAATATTTTACGGCTTACCATAGAAAAGGAAAGTATTAAAAAAGCTCATGTATCCACTCACATCTTTAAATTCAGCAATTTTGATGCTTGTAGCACCTATCTGTCACTTTACTATTTTTTTTTTTTTGTTTTAATTGTTGTTCGTATAGTCTTAAGTTCGCCTATGCGAAGAGATTATTACCGAGGTTCTCAGGACTGTCTCGCTGAAACAAGGCGAACTTCAGTATCTGGAGCGTCCCTCTACTCAGGTAAGCTGAACGTATTATTTACAAAATTTCTGGCTCATTATTGGAATAAGAATCTCAACCTTTTAAAAGGATAAAACTCCTAATTAAATTACTCTTTATTTTAATTTCACATTTTATTCAGGAGCAATAATTTTTTGGGAATGTTTCATGAGTCATCCAAACTTTTAACTGGTCAAAATTATATTTTTATTAAGAATAACTTTAAAGTTTAGTAAGTAACTTCTCATTGAGGGAACGGCAGTAGCTGGCAGGTTTAGAATAAACTCAGTTTCCATCTCTACTCTTTTCCACAGATGCAGGGTCTACTGCCCTTGATTTTAGTGGACTATTTGTGTATTACCTCTTGTATATTATAGTCATTTAAGTGTGAGAGATCTTCTGTTGACCTAACTTTCTTTGAATGCGATCTTATTTAAGAACTCTTCACTCTTGTTTTCTATTAAATCAATCAGTCTTCCAAAATGTGTTAATATTCTATAGATGTTACTCTTGTTTGACATGCCTCAAATCAAAAACTTTTCAAGTGTGATGTTTTTTATATTTTTATTAGCTTCAAACTTTTTATTTTGAAGTAGCTATCTTTTGATTTATTACCTGCATCTTTTTTGCATCCTTTTTCTTTCCTAATATGTCATCTGCATTCATAAAATTTATCCTTTCATCTCCTTTGCACAAAAATCATCTGTCTAGAGATTTATGTATGTGGCAAGTTCCCATCTGAAATGCTGTCCAACACGCCTTGTTTGTTTTATCAGAGAAGGCACCTCTTGTCAGTCATTCATTCCCCTTGAGGACTTAATTTTAAAAACTTCCAGTTGCTAGTTTTGTTCGGTTGTTCCTCCAAAAGCACACCAACTTGTTTTATTTTTTTGTACGGAAAACTTCTATTAAGGTAGTTTTAGTGTAACAGGAGGACAGCACCCCTACCCAAAAACAGGAAAATGCTCCTACCTTTAAGGGGTAGATACACGTTTGAGCTAGATACGCGTCTTGAGTGGCGAGTATGCCTTCGGCCGTGTTCGGCAATCTTCGTAGCCAATCAGGTCGCAACTCGTAACTCGCTCAAAGTAGGATCGGATCCCACTTTTTGGGTCCAGATGTGCGTGTAGCGCGCAGGTGTATCTGGCTCTTTAACCTTACCACTTACTGCATCTACTCTGTTGTTGCTTTGATCCCCATATGTGTGTTTGCAAATCTGTGTATGTATGTGAAGCTCACTTGTGACAGGGGAATGAAGCAGTCAAAATAGACATGTATCAGTGAGCCTGAGTATACTTTCTCTTTAGTACTTATTTAGGTAACATGTTGAATCTAGAAATTATAGATTGAATATATATTTGCAAAGTTATCATGGAAGAAAACTGCAACATTCAATTGATAGACCTATATACTTGACCCTCATCTCGAGCAAGAGCTACCCTCTCCTTGCCATCCGTTTCACCCTCATCACCCTCCTCTCACCTGCCTATTCAAGACAGTTTGTCTCATTATTGTTTTATCTTGATGATGATCTTGGATTGTAACATGTAACTGGTACCTCGTTTCACTTTGATTTTCCACCCTTATTTGCTGATGTTGGAAAATTGAAGCTATGAAATATAGGGGAAGGGAATATAGAATCAAGTTAAAATCTTCAAGAATAACCATTTGAGAACGTCAGTTTTTCTTTACGCTCTATGCTCTTTCTACTTGGAATGGGTCACTAAATCTTGTGTCTTTCATTTATTATTTTGAAATTGCCCTGTGAATAGAACATGCTGTAATTTATTGCGTGTTTTGGAGCCAAAATTCCCGGTAAAACTGCTTTTAAAAAGTCTAAAAACTCCCAGGAATTTCAAACGCACCAGCATAGCGAGAAAATTATTGCAGTTAAATCGCTATCTCCTCTCACTCTCCACTATTGTTGGTTAAAATGAAAAGCATTTTGATCTGGAATTGTTGTCCGATTGCTACAGACAATGTGAATGAGATTCGATTTTTTGATTCTGAAGATATAGTTTCAACTTACCTATTGTTTTCATCTGCAAGGAGTAAAAAGGTATTCAACAGAAATCATAGAGGCCCCCGCTCATTTCTGATTGATGCCGGATGACATTATCTAGTCCAGCGTAAAATGGGAGCGTCTTTAATTTGCAGAAATGTTACGCATTTTGAACTGCGTCTTTCTTGGTTTCAGGGTTACTTTCTCGCGTTTTATCGCGTGCATCTTTTATATGCGTTATTTGTTGTAAAAAAAATATATTTGCAAGTGAAAGCTGGCTCAAGGTTTAGTGTCCCAATTTTTTATTGAATTGTCGCAAGATCCGCAGTGTATATTATTTAGCTTTTTCTCATGTGTTTGTATTGGGAGCTTGTTATGTTGATGCATGCCTTTTGTGTCATTAGTACGTATTTTATGATTTTCAGACTTTGGAGAGGACAGTCGCGGGGCCTCCCCCGGGCGCTCTCTGGGCCGCCGTAGCTCATACAAAACTTCCAGAGGTCAGTCTTGATCCTTTCTTATTATCATTATCCATTTTTTCCTCACAAAGCTCGCACTTTAGTATCTGTGCAGCCAAGTTTACATTCCTTAGACCTTGAGCATCAAGTGCTATAAGATATCGTTCATTTGTGTTCAATGCATGGTGTCTAGAAATGGAAATAACCGGGATTCATCAGGTGATGATAAATTCCAGGGAAAATCCAGGAAAAGTTAGGGAATCTGTTTCAGAAATCGGAAATCTCTTCTTCCACCACAAAGAGTGTACACTTGCATCTAGACCATCATTTTTGACCTCTTGAATGAAATGTTTAAATCTTAAAGTCATCAGAGTAATAGAGAAACTACTAACCAAAACATTAGGAATGCTTTTGAAATGAACATTTGAATGTGCGTCAAAGAAATAGCTAAGAGATGAAAGTAATCGAATTTCATATTGGAACTCTGGTGCATCATGTAGATTTTCAGAAGCAAACCCGGGGAGTCGGAAAAAATGTTGGTTTTCCATCAGAAAATGAGCTCCTCAAAATCAGGGCAACATTAGGGTATGAGCATGGTTAAGAATTCTAGACACCATGCATCAAGTGCTGCAAGATATCGTTAATTTTTGTGAAATGTAATCTTTCCTCTCTCAAATTTCACATTTCCAATACTAATAAAGAAATAATTTTAATCTCAAGGTATATGCAAGTCTCCCCTACTTTATGAAGTAGTTAGTGGTCGCAGAAGTTTTACACTGCTGCATTATAGTGACAACAATAACAACAACCTTTGAACGTCATTTCGGTTAAATTTATCAACATAATTAGGTTCTCCGACTTTTATTGTAAAAGATTAATACTGTGGAGCATGAATAGAGATTGTGGCCCTAACAAAGAGGCTATTGGTGATGATTAATTTAACCTGCGAATATAATCCACCATGACTTTTCCATATCTTCTGTATCAGTTTACTTTTCACTGATTATGTGTTTGCCCTTCTTTCATTTGGAAGTGAGGGGAAAAAAATATCAAATTATGATAATTCATATGCCAAAAAGTCTCACCTAACTGCAAGCAACCCAAACCTGTATTTCTTGGTTTTCATCCCAAAATTTTCTATAGGATTTCGTAGTTTTGATTATCGATAGCTTCTGAAAAATTCCCGCGAGAAGACGTTTACTTAGATATTTCCTAGAAGTTTCATAATTTCAATTGATTTTTCTGGGAAAAGCTAGCTTATATTCTCTTGTATGGTTTTTAATTTTGGTTTTGATGTTCTATGTATGAGCTTTCTTTTATTTCTTGTAGTTGTAGAAACCCATCACAAGCTTACTTGTTTTCAGATCCTTCACCTGAGGGGAGGCATTCAAACTCTAAATTCAACACTTATCACACGCGTCGCAAATCCAATTCTTTGATGAATTTAAGTGGTAAGAGCTCTCAAGCCGAACTGTTTTGAAATAATCCGGTGTTGGTTTGTTGATTTGTGACCGGTAACCAGAATGTCGATTGCTGAGTGTACATCAGTTGCCAAGACAATTCTTCCGGAATTAACACTCCCTCCCTTTTGCTCCTTGAAACTAACATGCGACTTTTATTTCTGTATTACAATCCATTTTCTCATAGATTGTTGTTATTGAAAATTGATCCCTGGCAAATGAAATGCAGAGCTCAGTGAAACATAAATCATCTGAATTGAGTAGGAAATTTGGGGCGAGTCGCTAAGTAATGCTCTTAGAGCCTGTGGTAGCTCCTGTAAATGGCCTCCTCCTCCCTTTATAATCCAAACACAGCATTAAAATGTAGTTTTATATGCAGAATGTGGCATGGCTATAAAGAAATAAAAGGTTTTCAATGAATTATTGAGTTATTAATAATGAATTAATTGACCCAATTTTCATTGTCTCTAGCAAAAAGTTAGGGTGCGATCAGGTCACACAGTTTTTTTACTATACATATATTTATTTGTCAAGGATAATTGCAATAGAATGAACATGAAAATAATTAGGTGATGTTTTTTGCTGTGGCAGGTAAGAAAAAAAGAAAAGATCAGAAACAGCTATTTTCAGCTAATTATTATTATCTTGTCAGCTCGTGAATTTTAAAGAATGTGCATGAATACAGCTTATAGATAGCATGAAGCTTGAAGAATGTTAGTTGCTCTTTTCAAAAATCTTGCACTGATTGTTCTCTTCATCTTTCATCTTTTCAAATTACCCCCTCCCCCTTCTCAACGGACTGAAAAACTTTAACTTTCCTGTTTTTCAGCTGATACTGTTCTCCCTCTCCATCGGAAAATCCTGATTTTCGTGGTTCATTTACCTAAATTTTATTGTGTTCTCGAACATTTCCGCAGACCAATTTGGTATCTTTGTTTTTCAATGCGTATCGTAATTGAATTTTGTCGCTTCGAAAAAGCCAGGCAAAATGAACAATATCAAAACTTCCAATTATTTTGGCTGAAACTTCTTATATATTGATGTCAAGGATTTATCCACTGAATTCGTCAGTCTATGCTTTCAATTATGATTTGTAAAAGGAGAGAGAAAGTTTTTGCAATTAACGGAGAGTTTTACGACCTGATTAATACAATTGAAAGAAAAAAGGAAAAAATGGTTTTCTTAAAAAATAAAGATGAAACTTCTCACAGAATCAAATAAATAATTTTGAATCAATTCCAAGGAAGTCTAGAATCTAGTCAATTTCCAGTAATGTGACAAAAATAGTATTTTTGATCAATTTGAATGGAAACCAAACCATTATCTGAGCTGCATCAACCAATTTGAATCTTGAAAGAGAGGTAGTTACCCCAAAACTAGAGATATGTAGTTCTACTTTTTACTCAGTGAAGAGATGTAGGAAGGATTGAATCAAATGATTCACAGAATTCAAGAGACCAAGTTGTCTGTATCAAACCTCGTTGGGATGTCGATCAGTATCACAGTGAGAACAGTTTCAACCTCCTCCATAGTTGGAAAAAGAATAATTTGAAGGAAAACACTTTTTTGCTTTAGCTCTTAGGAAGCTTAAATTATGCACTCTATACCCAGTAGAATTTCCCTCTCAAAAAGTGTCACTATCTATAGGAATGGGGACCCAAGTGTGGAAGAATTCGAAAGTAAGCCTGTCTGCTTAAAGGAGTCTTGAATAGCAATATAGCTTAAAAATAGTTAAACCAAATTGACGTTATGATGGCTTGAAATCCAAAATTGATGAAAAGGTAATTTTGAAGAATAGTTCTAAAGTTTTGACTTTCCATGTCAGCCGCTCAAAATTTGAGGATTTAGAAATGCAATTTGATGCTCTCTTTTTGCGCGAGAGTTAAGTGAACTGCTTTTTTCTTGTTACATATTTTAGATCATGCTGTCTAGTTTTTTAAAAACGGGGATTCATCAAGGAATGAAAATTTACCGGGAAAATCAGGGAATCTGTTCCAAAAACCGGGAATCTCTTTCATTGACTAGATAGTATCAACATCAGGAACATTTTTTTAATTAAAGTTTTGAATGTGCGCTAAATAAATGGCTGTAAGATCAATTAAAATCGATATTCATACCTGAGACTCTGGAAAAGTATATTCTTTTATCCAAGGAAATCCCAGGAAAGTGGGAGAAAACTTCGGTTTCTCATCAGGGAATGAGTTCCTTAAAATCAGGTTAAAAATCAGGGAATGAGCTTTGCCAAGGAAACTAGACACCATGTTTTAGATACTATCCAGTGCTCGCCAATTACAATTTGCCGATCCAACTTAACATAAAGAGCTCCCCCAGGAACACCTCCTTTTGCCTCTATTTGTCACCCTCCTGACTTAAGGACGTAACTACATCTTGCAATAAACCCTGCTGTCCAAGTAACTCAATGCTTTTCTGGGTTCACTCTTAAGTGTAGTTATCCTCTTCTGTCAGGCAAGGAGCATCCTCACTAAGATCCCATTTTCCCGGGTTACATGTATTGCTAGCTCATGATACCCCCCCCCCCCCTTGCTATCTGACTGGCCACAGTTCGGTTAATGCGAATACTCACATGGATTCTATTTTCTTTTGTGGATATTTTTTCTCCATTTCTTTTGGAGGTAAGAATTGCCGAGTAATTCCTTTTTTCCTTTTGATTTCAGGGTCGAGCTGTGAGCAAGACTCCCTTTTGTACAGGTATGGTGACACAGATTCTGGTCTTGGTCGTGCAACACCTCCAAGAAGAGCACCCTCGCCTGGTCACCCTCCTTCCCCTTCAGGACCTGGCTCTCTTCCTGCTAGGCGGCGTTACAATGATGATACTGCCAGTGAAAGTGGGGGCAGTGAATACAGCGGTCCTCGGTGAGACTCAAATTTTTATGTAGTGTGAATTTACGATCCATGGTCAAATTTTATCTCATTAATATTTATAAGATCCAATTATAATTAAGAATGGGTCAGTTGCACTGGTCATCGAATGTGTTTTGATGCTTGATTCTCGTAGATTAGCTAAAATAAAATCTTTACAAGTAGCAACTTTCTATGTTCAATATTGACAGAGATATTGCCTTTTGAAAAATTTGGCTTATGACGTCATCCACCACAGTAGTGATACCCTTGGTTTCTTTCACCTTGCTTTCATCCGAGTTTTACATTGAGTAAGCAGTGCAATGGGCCTGTTGCAAACTTTTGCTAGAGCAAAAATAAGAGTTGTTTCTTCTAGATAATGCCTCAAAAATCACGATGAGCGCATCGGCAAAGTCTGAAATGCACTCATAACTTCACAGTCTGCGTAAGAAATTTGCGGTTTTTTGAGCTTCCCGCTTCAAAAGCGATACTACGGCACAGGTGAACATTTTGTAAAAGGAGTCGTTCCATCGTCGGCAATACTCATCATGGCCGACACCAATCCGCCAAAACACGTGTGATGGGACGAGGTAATACCTGAACTGGATTACACCAGATAACAATCGGCGTGTTTTAACGTTCATGTCTTCCACGCCCGAATTGATTGACCTTGAACTCTCCTCGAATTACGCGCGGAACTGCGCGCAAGCGTCGGCCATGATGAATATCGCCGACGATGGAGCGACTCCTCTAACAAAATGTTCACTTGTGCCGTAGTATCGTTTTTGAAGCGGGAAGCTTAACAAAACGCAAATTTCTTACGCAGATTGTGAAGTTATGAGTGCATTTCAGACTTTGCCGATGCGCTCATCGTGATTTTTGAGGCATTATCTATAAGAAACAACTCTTATTTTTGCTCTAGCAAAAGTTTGCAACAGGCCCATTGTGTGTCTTGCTGACTGATTAAAGCAAAAAGGAGGAAACCAAGGGTGTTAATACCGCAGTGGATGACCTTATAAACTAAATTTTTCAAAGCGCAATGTATCCGTTAATACTGAACAAAGATAGTTGCTGTTTGAGCAGATCTCATTATTTTTAGTAGAACTACAAGAATCAAGCATCCAAACACAATTCTGGGACCAGTGCAACTGACCCATTCTCATTTATTCCAAGAGAAACAAGAATTCTGTGTTGATTTCTCCTTTTCTTTCAACTTCTCTTCCATGTCAATTTTTCCTATTGCTAATGCAGATAATTTAATTTTTCTAAACTCCTCATCACTTGATAACTCAAGGTCTAAATTTTAATGCCCTCGTAGCAGCTGGACAATGGTTTGATCAAGTGTGAAAAAAAGTGAAAAGAGTTTTTCACAGCTTAAGTAAGATTCAAAGTAATGGATCATTCGTCACCTCCTACCCATAGGAATGTATCTCAATTTGGCTGTTTCAGTATTCCTTTCTGACATTTTATTTCTTCTTAGGATAGTTGTCACACAAATTTGCCTGAAATTCCCTTTGATTTTTCTTTAAGCTTGTAAGGAAGACACCAAAATTTTCAGCAAAATGAATGCGATGGTGCTCCCATGAAGAAATTAAATGTTCATATAAATACTAAAACAACAGCAACTGTCAAGATATGTTTCTTTGTTTGGAAGATGAGAAGTTATGTTTTTAAATTAACAAAAACAGAAAGTTCCAAAAGCTGAGGATATTTTTCCCATCAATGTATTCACAATTTAACCATGATAACTCTTACAGTGAAAAATCAGAAAATTTTGGCATTCAGTTCAAAAGTAAAAAAGTTGGAAAACTGGAAATTATATGTGTCCTATTTAGGTACCCTGTAAAAATTAATTTTAAATATGCAACTGTGGAGAAAAATGGGAGAACCTCAACTCTTGAGTGTGAAAAATGTCTGCATGTTGGTGCCTCTCTTCATCAATTTTATTTTTTCACATTGTTTATAATTGAAGCTTGTGCTATATTTCTTTCTTTGCAGATTGTACAAACAACCAGCAACAAAATCGAACCGTGGTATCATTTTGAATGCGGTCGAGTATTGTGTTTTTCCGGGTGTTGTAAATAGGGATGCTAAACGAAGAGTTTTGGATGAAATCAATCGCTCAGAAGCCAAACACTTCTTAATCCTCTTCCGAGATGCTGGCTGTCAATTTCGGGCTCTATATTCATATTGTCCTGAAACAGAAGAGGTTGCAAAATTGTACGGAACTGGACCAAAACTAGTCACAGATAGAATGTTCGACAAATTTTTCAAGTAAGATATTGCAGTAACTCTTACACACATTCATAAAATAGTTATCATATTATTCAATTTTAGATCATCTGAACAGATGAAAGCAAGACAAAAAAATATAAAAACTTTGGAGGACTGCTTGGAACCAAAACTTGGCGACTCTTTTAGGTCATTTAAATAGTATTCATTGAGCTTACTTTTTAATGTAGAGATTGCCATTTTATTCACTCACTCTGTGTAAACAGGCATCAGCCTCTTTTGCAAAATGAAACAATATAATCAAGAATGTCTGAAACTCCGGTTACTGAAGTAATCTGGTAAATAAAAATAATCGGCTTTTTTGTAGCAATCATTCAAAATTAGTGTAATTATTTTATTTATATATTTATCTATTTATTTATTTTATAGCATTTACTTGGAGCATGTCGGGTGGGAAACTTTAAAGTAAGGGTAGAGATAGTAAGAATTTAACTACATGACAACAGTTCTGGCCCATTTTTTTTATTTTTTAAATTTTTTTTCTAAATGGGAAGACTATAATTAGTTCAAGCTAAAAACATTTTCCATTTGTGCGTTAGACTTAATTTTTGTTCAAAATTCTCCCTGTTATTTGTTATCTTCCAGCTAACTCACTTTTTGTTTTTCATTCTGCAGGTATAACTCTGGTGGCAAATGCTTTTCACAAGTTCATACAAAACATTTAACAGTAACAATAGATGCATTCACAATACACAATAGTTTATGGCAAGGGAAGAAAATGGTAAATCTTCTTAGTAAACGTGATATGGCTCTAGTTATTTAGTAACATTTATTTTACTAATGTTAATGTTTTCATATTTGTAGCATTTTTTAAACAGATCAATGTGATACGACCCCCTTTATTTATTTTTACTCACCACTAATTCTTCTTCCTCTTAATTTAAATGTTTTTAACTTAAATCGGCTCCTTTAAGAGGCCCGATCATTCACTACTCCTCTAAAATGAACCTAAATTTATCAAAACTTCTGTGCGACTACCATCATTGTTATTATTTGAGTGGGAACATGCATATGCAAAACTAGATTTGTTTGATATTTTGTAAGTAGCCTTGAATTCATGTTATTTTGTTAAATTAATGTATTTTAATTGCAATGACCTCTGTTTTATCTTTTAATACTCTAAAAAGGTAGAATTGAAGACTGGATAAAAATCAAAAAAGTTTTTCTTGAAACTGAGTGCTGCATTGATATCAGCTTTTGAAAATATCTTAAAATATAATTCCCACTTAATTCAGCTTCATTCCGATGCTTTTAATCTCTTTCGTGTCGTGTGCACATATTATTAATTAAATACAGAAGTACCTATTTTTCCTAACAAATGTGTTCTATTGTCTGTCTCCCTTAAAAACACTTTTACAATGAATTTCCTTTTCTCTTCATTTTCGTAGTCAAGATCTAAAGTAATATTGAAAGTCGGAAAAAAAGGGGAGACGCATCTAGTTGGTTTAACCACTATTATTTATTAAATTCAATGCGTAATCAAAGTTAATCAAAACACATGCAAAATCGTCTTATTCATGCCATCATTTATTTCTCACTTAATAATTAGAGATGTGAAGTACATAAATCTTAGATTATTTTTAATTTTCTTGCAAAATTGTGTTAATTTTTGCTTCAACTTTCCTCTCCTTAGCTCTTTTCCTTAGCCCATTTGTATACTTACAATGATTCCCCTATCTCCCTTGTTACATAACTTTCCATGCCATTCATGAGGTCTGTATCATTCATACTGTTTTAGAAAATAATTCTAAGAGACTTTTGCCGTCTGCTACCATTTTTTGTACCAGTGTTGCCTTCCTGGAAAAAATAAGTTTAAAAAAACCCCTTCTGGATGGCCTTCAAAACAATACTTTCGGTGCTCTTTATCAAAAACCCAATGAAAACGATGGTCTAAACAACCTCAAAAGTTGATTTGTCAGTACCTACACATTTTGGCAATAGATCTACTCTGAATGGTCTGGCCAGAATTTTGCCGGCACTTTCACACGGAAGTGTAATATTCACCGATATTCCAAACCGCACCACCGGCCAATCAGAGACACTAGGACAAACTTGAATGTAGTCGTGACTTGTCTTAAATTTTCTTAAGTACTGGTGAAGGACCAACAAAATTCAGCCCCTGCAAAATAGTATTAATGATATTGTTTCTCAGAAAGTGGGACTGACACAAGCAACTCTTGAGTCAACTCTGTCCCAGCATCAATCCCAGGACAGCACTGACTAGTTAAAGTACCAGTATGCGAATGGGTTAAAGAACTTTACAGTACCCTCATGGGTTTTGACTTTCGGCAGAATTTAATAGTTCAATACTCTCCATATCTTCCTGTAATGTCAAAGCACCATTGAGCACTCACTCGGAACTGTAATTGCTGGCTCATTTGTAAAAACACATGTGTGCATAGGAAATCAAGTGGCACATACGTTGTTTCTAAACTGAGCCAGAGATTGTAGCTCCTAATTGCAAAATTAAGTTCATATCGGCGTTAAAAAACAAGTGAAGAGGATAACAGAGTTAATTGTTCGATGAAGGGAACTGTAGCAAGTCAAGTATAAAATGAGAAAAAATGAGAGCACATCAGAAGAAAATGCTAATCCCTGAAAGAAATATCACCAGTCCAAGAATTGATGGGATTTTTGATTGACTAATTAACTTGAATGGTTTTTTTATTTTTTTTTTTATTGTATATTTACTCCCTCTGCTTTTGCTATGAATAACCTGATTTGACTCGGCCAACATCCAGAAAACTCCCTATGGAATTTATAATGGCTGTTAATCAGGACATTTGTAAGGAATGCGAAGTATGTTAACTTCATTAAATTTTCTTGGAAGATGATTCCAAAAAGGGTATGAAGAGATCTTTCTATCCAACTTCAAACATATTTTTAAAATGATTATAGTCTCCTCCCCCAACTGTTCCAATTCATTATTTTAGCATTATTTTGAGGCTTTCTTCGCCCAAGGCGCAGGATTTAAAAAAATATTTTCCAAAAAAATTATGTCTGTGATTACAGTGTAGGTGTATTTTTAAGTAGTTAGATTTTCAAACGATTGCAAGAAAAAATCAGTGTCCTTCATCTCGCAATATTTTAGTAAACTCTTAAAGTGTTTTGAGAAGTAACAAGTTGTTTCTATTTACATCTGCTGATGATTTGGCAAATATACTTACTTGGATTTGAGATTACCTGCTGTTTTAAGTCTAATTTCACTTTTAAGTTTACTACATATATAAATGTATGTTCTGATACTCTCTGGTCCAAACACCTGAAGTCTGTCAACCTTTTTAGTATCCTGAAGGACCTTCGTTAGCTTTACTTCCCCCCTCTAGAATTTTGAGCTTCAATTGAAAGATATGTGCAGTTATAATACAGTACATTTTTTTATAACAAATCGGTAGCAGACCGGAAGATTTTTCGTTTTGGAGAAATTTTCATTTTAAAGAGAAAGAGCGACAATCAGCAAAAATAAGAGGCATGCAATACAATTTTCCACTTTTTTGCTGCATGTTGTCAACATAGGTATCATGCGTAAAACCTCTTAATAATTTAAATTATGCGTAGAGTTTTAAATGAAAGAGAAGATCAGTTTCACTGAGGTTGATAATAGGATTTGTCGGTTTTATCATTCATTTCTTGTAAAGAATCTGTACTATTGAGGGGTTCATGTTACGTTCGAATTTGTAAAAAGAATTCCAAATGAACCAAGTTGAGTCCATGAGTTTCAAATGGGGCCTGACATTTTTAATAGAAGATTACCTGTTTTTATCACAATCTCAATCATACACTTTAGATCTACTCTAGTTTGAATTTCTCCATTTTTTAATGAATTTCCGAGGTAGTCTAGATTTTTGCCAAGTATTTATTTTATTCTTTGAAGAAAAATTCCATTAGAATTGCTATACAAATCTCAGGAATGACTGATCCTAGTAGATGAAAAATCCAGAGCTGAAGATAGCAACCATTAGCGTCTGTTAGTTTATTCATTCCTAATTTAACCAGTGCGCATATTATCTCAACAACATGCCGAGATGCTGTGGAGGCTAATATCTCGGTGTATCTCTCCTCATCATTCAAAGTGAAAAATCAATATATTTGTTTGAATTTATACAAGGTTGATAGACAGGTCAGTCTACTAGAGAAGTTGGGCGCTACAAGATTTGTCAAATAGCAGTTAGTCTGTCCTGCATACCCAGAAGTCTCCCTTAATTGCCCCCATTTGCGAGTTTCCAATTTTGATCATACTCATGTAATTGGAATTGGGAAACTGTGGAAACAAATAATTGAGAAAAAAAAAAAAAATTTAAAAAAATGGGGAACTGCAATCGTGGAAACTTAGTATAAGATCAAGGAATTCCTAATGTCCTCTCGTTACCAGACTAACTTGAGTCCATCGACCTTGAAATGCATCATGTCCTTATTCTTGAACCAGATTCTAAAGTTATCACAAATCTTTAAGACATAGATCACATCACATTTATTTATAACAGTTGAGAATGCGAAAGATAATGCAATATCTTAAAATTCTATCCTTCAGAAAGTCTGTTTGACTGAAGAAGTGCCTCAGAGAAATACATGTGGAACAAATTCTTTCCTCTAAAAACAGGATACAAATTTTGAAAAATCGTTTTTCTCTCAATCTTATCAAGCACTATTCTGAAGCCTCCCCCCTCCCAATTTTAGAAAGGAAAAACTGGGAGTTGCCTGTAATTTTTTCAATGTTTAAATCTCTGACTTCCCAATGATTACTTGATCTCTTTATTAACGTTTAACCTAATTTCAAGCTGATAACTTAAGTTTTGTGAGCAATTATCGTGATAGGTTCATGTATTTCCTTACTTGATGCGGTCACCATGCAGCATGATCAAGTGCATATCGATGGCCGAAGTGCAAAATCGTGTAGGTATCTCTGTTTGCGGTTTTTTAGACTCCCTGCTATACTTCATTTTTTCCTTGGAAAACTAGTCAACATAATTCCTCGAAAACCTCCGTGATTCTTCTTCTCTGTTATCAATACATTCTGGAAAAATTTCGAGTTATTAAGTAAGTCGCCTTGTTTCTCCTTTAAAAAAAACAACAAAATTAGAGCATACATTTCGAAACACTCAATGTAGATACGCATTTTGCACTTTAATCATCGATATTTTCATACAATGGAACATTTTCACTGTCTTTGTTTCAAGACCACAAATCACAATTGCTGGAAGAGTTTTAAAATTTTGTATCCGTACTGTGACTCTTCCAACTATTTTCCAAGAGGTTAATCTCAGAAACTTTTATACATGCTTCCTTTTGAATACCACCTCAATAGGCAGTATTCTTCTCATAACCCTTACCAATATCCTCATACTAATCATAACAACTTACTGATTAGATATGTTACAGTGATACAATGTTTCTTAGTTGATCCTAGGTTTAAGGAGTTTTTTTGTCAAACAATGGTTCAAGGGATGTTCCTGTCAACCCTAATTGTAGCTGAACAGACTGGAAAAAATTTTATGAATGTAGCTGAAGGTAGGTTCAGCAATTTTTGTTGGTAGCCCAGTTTTCATTGAAAAAAGTGAGCCCTACTGAGGTGATCAAACTCAGACCTTTGTTATTAAAGTGTTTGGTAAATTTGCATCAATACCCACGGTTCGTGGTAGTGTAATATTGAATAACGGAGGGTATCCAAACTTAGTACTTTAATTATTTGTATTATCAATGGACTGTTAGCCACCGCTGTGTTTTTTCAGGGGATTTCTCACACTTTTGCGTATACATTTTTGGTCCTATGGTTTAGTATGATGGTCTATCGAAAGGTATGCAGACGATAGAGACAATAATACATCAAAACAATGCACTATTTTCATGTCTAGCAACTTAAAAAATTAAAAAGAAATCGAAAATAATTTACTACTTATCCAGAGAGTAGATTTCAAGCTCATTACTTCATTTAATCAAGTCAGTCCAAAGATTGACCTGAGACCGAAATCTTTGTCCAAATTTTGGAGGGATTGTTAGGATATTTTTATAGCTTTCAATCTGAAGTAAGACTACAATCAACAATGAAATAGGAACGAAACTTTTTTTTTTTTTTTTTGTTTCTGTGGAAAATGTATGCTTGATAATCACCTGCTGGAGACAGATTGCTTGAAAAATTCCGTGAAGGTTGAACCTAGAAATGTATGAAAATAATACTGTGAAGTTTCAAAGTTTCCTTATTTTTTCTTCGTTGATTTATTCCATTGTTTATTTAATTTTTTTATACTTCTACACATAGAAATATATACAGGAGGATTTTAAAATTTGGGGATAAGCACAAGCATTAATGTCAATGCAGAAGTTAATATCAAAACTAAACTTAAGCTACTTAAAAACTATTAGAATATAGTCATTGAAGACAATATGATGATAAGAATTTTGAAAAATGAAATATCTAAGTCATTTCTTCAAATAAATAACTTTTGTACAATAACTACCCAATATTATTATTTGCCAGTTATAAGAGCAGAAAATTATGACTAGGTAGAAATTCCCTTTTTTCCTCTGAAATTTAATTTTGTTTTACTTGTATTTGTATTATATGTATAACATTGAATATTTAATGTAATTATTAAGTTATTGAATTTTAATGAATCATTTATTTATATAATGCTTATTTTTGTTTTGTATACAATTTATAATAGTTGACCGCAGGGCAACTATCTTAGTGTTAGTATCCAATAAAAATACATGAGATTTACTTTGAGTATGAAGCTACAAACTTCACTCGCCTTGCCTCTAGCCTAGCGAAGAATCCAACCGATCTGTTCTTTTACAAATTTGAAGTCAATCGTTCTTTCTGCACCTTTCATTTTTCTACGCGTTAGAATTCTGTCTCTTTATTGTCATCCCATTTACTCTTATCCTCAAATGTTTCGTGGAGTTTATTTTGATGATTTTTTTTCCTGATTACATCAGATTCGTAATAGCAGCTATAAATCACTGAGCTCCCCAACAGTTTAGAAACGGCTTGATCTAATTGGATAACCATCTATCAGTAGTTTGGGGACTTTGTAAATAGCTCTCCTTATGGCCAAGACTCATAGCAGGATTCTAACACCCTAAAATAAATCCTCAATTAGACAATTTGCTCTTTTTTTTCTGCATTTCGACTGTAAACGTATCAGACTACACATCTTGTTTGTGGTGTTTCAAAATCATTCCTCCATGTTATTTCATCCATGTTATTTTTTTGAAAAAGAACAAATCAATAACATCCCTTGAAATTTTCACAGAGTTTTCTTTGCATGTTCAAGGAAAATCATGGAAGGTTTCCAGAACTGACGTTGAGTAGTTTTCTGTTTAAAAAATAGAGTATGACAGGAAGTCTACAATGTTGCAAACCGAGATATGTGGTCTGGTAGTTTTATCGTCGATATTCTACCAGTCACCATCAGTTGGACCTCATTGCTAGCTGGTGATGCCCAAATGAAGGATGGCGCTTTAGCCTTAAAACATGATGTCATTAATAGCCCATAATTGGCGAAAAATTTATAAGTTGGGATTAACTTTTTTTAACGGGATTTAACTTTAATGGTCGCAAGATTTGTCGAAAGACAAAATATAAGTGCGTCATAATTTTGACATAAGACACACATTGTCAGTAAAATTGAAAACGTCCTGAGAAGCAGCAGGTTAATATTGGTAGTGGCTGTCAGTACTGATAGAGTGACTAAACCAGACAATCGGGCTCCTCAGGTCATTTTACCGGGAAGTAGCTTGAATTCGGCCCGTTTGAAAAACCTCGTTTTTGATCCCAAAATTTTAGTCCATGTAATCCCTCCCGATTTTTATGAGAAAGAAAATTTCGAGATAAGCAACTGTTACTGCATGGCTTGAGCGTAATATCAATTGCGTATGGTTCCGAGGCCCCTTGGAATTTCCTGAGTCAAGAACGAGTTTCCCTAACAAACTCGAAAAATTCAGCTTTCTTAACCACAACACATATGTTTAGAATTTTTGGCCAGGGATTTTTTCCTCATTCTTTTTGTGTCTTTTTACAACTTTCGAGCTCTAGCCATTTACAAGTTTCCAAAAAAAAATCTGGCCGACCCTATGCCACAAAACTTTGTCAATATGAATTCACTTTCATAAAAAAATCTTGAGACAGCGTATTTATTGGCATGGAGGGCATTACTGTAACTAAGTTATGCTCTAAAAGTGTCACCAAGGCAGCGTTGTTTCTCATAAAAGGATTTTGTTTTGTAATGCACACTGTTCCACTCCAGTACGTAATAATACAATTGGGTATGAAGGCTTGAAAAATAAAAGACAAGGAATAAAAGAGGGCTCCATTATTATTTTCTTTAATTACTGAGGTCCAAAGACTACAAATTTATTTAAATAAAATTATCTGTAACAATAACAAAACATATATAAGAAATCGATTAATACAATAATAATTATAAAATTCAAAACAAAAATTAAAAGCAAAGAATAAAAAAACAGCACTGAGGAATGCACAAACGGGAGCGTTGCAGAATAAATTATCTTTGATCATAAAAACCCTACTCCCAAGGGAAAAATGGTAACCGTGCAACAATTTTAACGGTACAATTATGGTTATGGTATATTCACTTCTCATTTCACCCCACGTTGTTGAAAAACTTTGCTCTCATCAGAAATGGATGAAGCAGTATAGATATGGAGGTTCATAAAACTCAGTTTTCTGTATTTTTACATAAAATCTCTTTGGGAATGAGGTTGGGGGAAGAAAATGAAAGGTCTCCCTTGCCAAATGAGGGAAGACATCTACCTACATTTTAATCAAACTTAAGGTGCTCTTGATGTCTGCATGAATTCTCATAGATCATACAACTTTTGACACAAAATTTCCCGTTCATAAGGTATTATTTATCACAAAGAATAAATTTTACTTGAACATTTGATTTTTTGCTGAATAATAGAACTACAAGTATATCCTGGCACACGGGCATTTATATTATTTTGCTAACAGTCTTTTGATATAAATGTACAGTACATTAGAATATGAGATAAATGAACTATCACATTTTTAAACATTTTAAGAATAAGTTGCTTACTGAGCCTTGTAAAGCAAAAATAGATAAAAAATATTGACTAATACAATTACTGATGTGTGTTCCTTTCAAATTACTACTGAAACCACATATATTGTAAGCTTATGCAGTGTTCTTTTATGAGAAGAATCAAAATAATGATGTGACAGTTGATTTATCTTTGTACGGAGAGGAAAAAAAGGGAACTCTTTCAATAATTAGCAGAAACCGCACATACACACACAAATGTTACACTCCCACATTTACAAGACATGACACAGCATCTTGAGAAATGCATCTACCAGGAACAACAGGACTTCATATATGGCTAGAAGTAGCTATTTACTTATATATTGTGAATATTTGTTCGTATTCAAACTGTTATTGGATGTATTTCTATCAAACGAAACTATGTGCATTAAGACATGAGCCCTGAGATTCATAAGAATATGTGCATAACAGAGCTTGCGTCATAATGCACATAGTTCCGTAGTTCTGTTGTAGATACGTCCAATTAACATTCACGCTATTTATCCAAAATCGACAACAAAACGCCCAGACCACTTATCTTGTTTACCAAGTTTCAAAATCTCTGCTCCTCTTTCATTTCTTTATAATATGACCGAACCAACATCATGGCTTGAGATTTTCACAGAATATTCCTCACACAGAGAGGACAAATCATGGAGAGTCCCTTGAGTTGACGTTGAATGGTTTCCTATTTAAAGAGTAAAGTATGACAGGAAGTCTGCAACATTGCAAACGGAGATAAATGGTTTGGGAGTTTCACCATCGAAATGCATCGTCCTGAGCTGCCGCAGAACAACGGAAAACAAAAAATTCGGCATACATATTTCTACTGGTAAGCAAAATTGCCAAGATGATTAATCATTCCTTAAAATTGCAGAAAGAATTCCATTCTAATCTTTCCTCCAAATTTAAGAAAAGAAAAGATCAATTTTTTCTCCAGTTACTCTTAAATTTCCCTTTTCTCTCAATTTACTTTCTTACATAAATACTTGTCCTACATACTATTTGTTTTGCCCAAGTGAAAAGTTGTTGATGAAATTCGGATTTGGACTAGACGAAGCATGAATTACCCACTGGAAAAAAGGCACTATCAATCGTAAATAAGCCATCCAAGGGCTGCAGCAGCTTGCGCTCGAACATTCAAATCATTGTCCCGCAGAAGCATCATTAATTTTGCAGAAATTGAGTCAATCGACACTCTACCGGCAGAGTTAGAATCTAGACATCTAAAAATTAATCCTGTAAAAAAAAAAAAAACGGTGAAATTTAGCATTGAAATAAGTGTACCAAACAGTTGACAGAAACTTGTATTTTGGAAGTTTTGCAACATGGCAGTCTAGTGTTCCTAACTTAAAGCTGTAGTCATGTTCATTCAAAAGAAAGAGAGTTTCCCTCTTGGAACTGAACAATCAAGTTAAGATATAAAACAAAATAAAATTACCCGAGTATCAGGGGTGCAGAGACTTCCGTACCATGGGACCGGCCAGTCACGGCCCAGTCCCGTGAAATGGAAGAACCCATGTGAGAACGAGAAAAATGGGGGAGAAGAAATTCGGAAAGAGAGAGCTTTTTTTTTGTAGCAAGGTGGGAAGCAAACCATTCAAGCGAGCTGTTTTGAGGGAACGAAACTGTCGACTGCATTACTTTATGTGTCAGGCAAAATTCTGCGGAAACTTGACTTGATTGAACATAAAATTATTTTGTAGAAACCCTTAGAAGTTTCTGCACCCCTACCAAGTGCCTTGTGGTATCCAGGCATGTTTGGAGCGTGTTAAGCGAGAGGTGTACCGATCCTTACACACAACTGACAAGAATTATCTTGTACTTACCAATAAAGAGTGCTGCACTTGCTCTGATGGATGGCCAAACACTTTTGCAATACATTAAAGCTGTCATGACGAACATTGGCATTGACTCTGGCATGCTCTTCACCTGAAATGAATAAAAAAAAAATTAAGGAATCTTCGAAATAACATTTTGACCGGATGTGAATGTCCCTAAGCAGGAAAGGACCGTAGTTCACGAACCCAGAAATTGAGCTATTGATACCAGAGCATAAAATAGTTTCCTCAAGACATTATGGGACAATAACCCGCTAACGTGTTAAATAAAACCAGGCAGAGTTATAGAGGTTTGAGGTTTGCGGTACAAAAATGTGGCTTCAAGAAAAGGTCATTGAAAATTCTGATTTGCTGTGTTCAAGAGTACAAATCTAGATTATAATGCAACTTTTCACCCTTTAGAGGCACAAAACTGAAACGATCTATTCGCAGTTTATTCTTCAGGACACTACAGGGTCAATCAAATCTAGAGGTCAAACTTCGACTTGACAAAAAACGCTTTGCAGAAAATTTTGCCTCCGTGGGCTGAGGTACTTTCTCTTGTAGCAAGTCAAATAAGATGTGAGATGGATTATAAATGCATCTTGTTCACTTAAACTCACGCCTTTTTTAAATTTAAAAGTTAAGTGACGTAAAATATGATAAAAACGACACATTGGCAATCAAAGGCCTCGATCATTTACTTTGTACCTAAACTTCTTTCGTCCTCCTCTTGCAAACTTTCAAGAAAATTACATTTTTCTTCCAAGAGCAAGAAGAGATAACAGATACAAAGTCAGAACAGTGTCACTCAATGGTCCAGTAGAAGAGCTGAGTATTTTTTAACTTACCAAAATTTCTGTTGTTTGTACAAAAAAAATTTCATGATCAAAAGATGAATCTTTCCCCAACTGCGCTTCAACTAATTCTGTTAGTTCTCCGATACTCAGAAGCGGGCAGGATCCATACAGAGCATATTTGCACGCCTAAAATGAAAATTGCAAAAATATCCTTAGAGCCTGCATTAATTCAATAACTGCAAAATACTGGTTATAAGTAGAGTCCCTTCATACTGAGAATTAAGGCATGAGGAATCCATTTCTGATTAGATCCTGTGTTTCAGTTCTCCACAGTGTCACAAACGGGAATAAAGATTACTTTTTTGCCAATTGCAAAGATTTTAAACTGGCATGGACCAGGAAATCATACGCCCTTCCCGCCCACAACCTGAGGTTCTTAAACTGGCACTAATTCTTTTATTTCTTAGCCATTTCTGCACGGAATTCCTTGAAAATCTCAAGTTCTAAACTATGATATGTTTTGGACACATTGGTTACCTTCAAAGATTGTCTGCGCCGACTTGCCTTAACTCTCTCTATAAAAGGACTCTAGTTAGGAGCATCTCCTTTTTTTAACAAAGTGTATCAATATAATTCAGAAGATGAAAAACCCGAAAGGCTTTGATAAGTTGCTAAGTACAATGGATACTTACTTCAATGACTGGCTCTTCATCCTCGCTTAAATGCAACAGAAATATTACGATGCTATTGATGACTTGTTCTTTAAATGCATTTTTCTGGGAGCTTCCTTTGCTGGCTTCATGTTTTGCGAGTTCGCCAAATAGTTTAATGGCACTGCTGCGGACTGAAACATCATCCTGAAAGAAACAAACTTGAGCTCAGCTTGTGCATTTTGGAACCATACTCAATCTTGAAGATCATGGACAGGTCATTAGTTTAATCATACTTCATGGTTAATAGTGAGGAAGTTTTGAGCAGCGGTTGAATGGGTTGAGGCACCCACTTTTTTAATTCACTTTCTGGAAGTACGGAGGTAACTAAGCTCCTAGGAATTTGTTCAGATTTTTTTTAACCTCAAATGGCAGAGAAACCCCCTTTTAAAAATGCCAAAAATGGGACCTGTCTATAACGATATTTTTGGCGAGCACTGATGACGTAGCCAGGCTGAGGAAAGACGCAACGTTTTCTGATTGGTGGAACTCATCTTTAAGCACTGCTTTTACTACGTCAACTCAACTGTTTGCTTTCGATTGGTTGGATTGTCACAAAATTTTACTACAACCCTGCAAAACTTCCTTGGCACTGACCTATTGTTATGTGTTGGGGTAAAACGGTAGGTTTTTATTTTAAATTTAGAGTGACACCTTCCTTGAAAAAATCGAATTTTCATCCAACCCGGACAAAAGTACATTTTAAACAGTAAAAAGCGCCTTCACTACGAATTTTGGCAAAATTAAACTACTTTCACGGATTGCCTTCCCCACTTTTCATATTTTTGTCTCATAATTGGAGAGAGGACTCCAATACATTTTGTTTTTGTGAAAAAGAATTCATAAAAAAAAAATCTTACCTTTTCAAAGAATGGTTTGATTCGTAGAGCTAGAGAAACAAGAACAGGAATAATTAGCGAGGAGTCCAAGTGTGGTAGGACTGATGCTAAACCAGTCAAAGCGGAGCAAGCAATATTTGGATATTCTCCGGCATCGTTGTCATCTAATCCTTCCGTAAGAGCACTCAGTACACTTTCGCCATGTTTTGACATCTAAAACCAGAATTAGACGAGGGTAAGATGTTTCGCAGGATTGAATTCAACAAAATCATCAAGTGTTGCACTGTGCATTAGTATAGGGATCTACAAATTGATGGCCAAAGTACAAAACCATGTATCTTTGCTACGGTGTTTCAACAATTCTGCTCCCATTTTATAGAGGAAGGGAAATAAGCCAACTTTATAGCTTGAAATTTATACAAAATATTCTAATGACAAAGAGGAAAAATCGAGGAAGTTTGCAAGAAATTACATTGGCTAGTTTTCCAACAAAAAAATAAAAACTGAGAAGAAATCTGCGAGTGGCAAAAGGACGTATGAGGTTTTACGCTTTGGCCACCAATATATATCATCATCCAAATCTTACGCGATGTTGCCGACACAGCCTGAGAAAGGCTGCAATTATATTTAGTGATGGAATTGTCAAAAATGCCTGGGATGCGACACTTGACTAATACGGTGTGAGAAATTTTTTCTCAAACTGATTGCGGTGGACGCACAGGTCGTGAGACAGTATGTTAGAGTTTTTTGCCAACGTGCATTAAAATTCAGCATAAAGCTGAAAATCTCAATACAGAGGGAAAAAGTTCATATGAGCACAGTTGGATTGCATTTTGCAATTTGGAACTATAAATTCTGGCTCTTCTGGAAAATCACTTATGTGCATAGGGAAACTAATGGCACATACGTTGTTTTTAAACCGGGCTAAAATCTATAGGTCCAAATTGCAAAATGTAGTCCAGTTTTCCCTCAAAGAGATATGCTGTTTAGTGCAAATTATTTCTGTCAAAAAGGGGAAGTACTTGAACAATGGCAACAAGGAATCTTACTTTGTGGAAAGAAACCAAAAAGAAAGTTGATAGAAATTATTGATATTATTACCTAAGTTCTTACTCCATCCTGTTTTGGCTATCATAGCTAATCCTCATGCAGGTATATCATGGAAAATAAGTCCTTGAAATAATGGTAATATTCGATAACATCACATGTTCTGATTACATTTTTCTAGGTCACTACCGATGCAAGAGATATAACAAGTAGCAAAAGCTACCTGCTGAGGGGGCGCCGCCCCCCCAGACNAGTTGATAGAAATTATTGATATTATTACCTAAGTTCTTACTCCATCCTGTTTTGGCTATCATAGCTAATCCTCATGCAGGTATATCATGGAAAATAAGTCCTTGAAATAATGGTAATATTCGATAACATCACATGTTCTGATTACATTTTTCTAGGTCACTACCGATGCAAGAGATATAAAAAGGGGCAAGTTTGCTGTAGTAATGTTTCTACTCCTGCATCACCGCGTCTTATTTTGTATGTTCTGAGTTCATAATTTTGAATTCAAATTATGTTTCATATTCTGTTTCTTCAATTTTGTATCCTCATTATTTTATTTATACTTGTTTAAAAGAGAGGAACTAGTTTTCGGACTTGTTTTCCTTATATTAAGTCTAGTACATTAAAACTAAGTAGAAAATAATACGGTTATATACTTACACTGTTTGCACTGTGATCGAAAGAGGATCCAAGGCCTTTTAAACTGCAACAACGAACGATGGGAGATGAATCATTGAGAGATGAAAGGAGTAACGCCATCACGGTATCAACTGTTCTGGAATTACATGAACCAATACACTGGAAAAAGAAAATAGGAGATGAACCATTCATCAGTTACTAATATCATGCGGAATTGAGGAAAAGTCACTAAAAATTTATGATGAGGAATATCAGCGAGACTTTCTGTCCAGAGAAACATCAAATGAACCTCATTTGATGGAAGACAAAGAATTGAGAAGTTACATTTTCTCTTTCTACACTTAAAAATGGGTCATGAGAAAATGTCTACATCACCAGAATCAGGTTCTCATTTGGATGTTGAGTATCTGATTTTAACTGGCAAGTAAAAACCCTACCCATTGGTAAAAAGTGAGAAGTGAGTATTACTTTTGGCTCCAATCTGTATATCCATTGCTTTTTCGCTATAGGTGATACTCCATTTTTAGCCTTTTTATTCCAATTTTTTTTTCTTACTAGGGGGCTGCGCCCCCTGGCCGCTCCGCGGTCCATCGTCCCAGAGGCGCTTTGCGCCTCTAATATGCAGGTATCGTGAGATCGTTAAAAGATCATTAAGAGTTAGGGAAAACCCGGTTGGTGGGAAGCGACGGTGGGACGGTGGAGAGTGGGGAGTGGAGGAGAAACCGGTTTGTGACACCCTCAGCGTTGCACGGCACCCTCATGATTTTATACTATAGAGTAAGATATTAGCTAAAAATCTGATGCCTTCCATTAATTTCCACTGTCTCATCAAAGAAAAGAAAAGAGAGAGAATGTATGAGAGTTATCTGTGTGACAGTGTGGTAGGAAGTATGTACAGTATGTATGTATGTATGTATGGTGGAAACCAAACGGTTTCCACTACACTGGGGAATCAAGGCTGACAAATCCAAGAGTTACAATTAGGATAACAAAATAAACCCAAATGAATTTCAGTGCAAGACTGAGGAGGGAGAGTTTTCAGCTCACTACATGTTTACTATTCTGCCTTGCGACGGAAAAACGCCGTACGAGCCTTCAGACGTTGCCAATCTTCCTTTGACAAATAACTAATGTTCGGGTAAATTTATGGGTATATTTTTCCAATTATTCACAGAATTTTGTTCACAATTCTATCTGAGATGTCTGACAATTTCAATGAAAAATTTTCATAATTTTCCTCAAAAATAAGTATTTTCTGATAGTAAATTTGGCAACATTAGAATGTTCAAACGGCGTTTTCCTAAGCATGGCGGTAATTTTTCGATGCATTTATCTGAGCTGATTATCCTCGCCCTCAATCTTGTACGTAACTCAGTAGAGTTTATTTTGTGATCCAAATTGTAACTTTTGGATTGTTTGGCTTTAAGAAGAATGGCCCGCAGAATGGTGTAAACTCAGCACAAATCTCAATTTCCAATCTTACATGAGGTATTATGAGATGTTAAATGGTACAGTGGCTCTCGGTCATTGAGCAACATGCAACAGGAATTGCAAGCATAAGTGAGCCTGGCCTGGGCATACAATAATTTCGTGATGTATTTAGAGAGGCATGCATCAAAGGTTCAGAAAACATGGAGTAAACACTTAAAATACGCAAAATTGAGAGATTTTCCTAACGCAACAAAGCACTAGCCAGATCTGAAAACATCTGGTTTCAGTCGAATACCTAGGCAAATTTCCCGGTATCCTGGATCCAGCTGGATACAAAAAAATCTGTATCTATACCCAATAATGCGGTAAATCTCTTTTGACCCAACTCTAGTTACAACTAATGATTCAAACAGCGATCCAAAGTCTAGCATTTACTCCAGTGCAATATTAGACTATACTAAATGTTAAAATCTTTCATTTCCGTTTCTAACAGGCAAAAAAAAAACGACAAGTAAAGAACAACCATCTAACATGTAAAAAACTTACTTCAGCAAGGAATGCGATTACAGCAATTCTTTGAGCTTCGGAATTACTATTAGCATACTGACTAATACTGTCGACCAAGTCATTAACAAGATGCAGTTTAGCTGCACACACACGCCTAGAACATAAAGGACATTGGATCTTTCATAACTTTAAGGAGGGCCAATTATAAACTCAGCATTATATTCTCAAGATCACTTTTGATGCTATTACTCTTAAAAACATATTTTCTTTTTCTATTAGGGAGGATTATAGCACTTAGGCCCCTTATCTGATGAGAAAAAACACTTTAAATCATGTAACAATACATGCAGGTTGAAACCATCAACAAAAAATTTTCTGACTAATGTTTGCTTTGAATTTCCAGCATTGTAGAACGTTATAATATCAATGGCTAAAAAAAACAAAAAAAACACGTATCTTCGTTTGCAACGAAGCAGACTTCCTGTCATCTTCAAATCTTTTTTGGAAAGCTATTCAACATAATTTCTTGAAAACTTCCTTGATTTTTTTCTCTCTGTTGGAACGTTTTGTATAAATTTCAAGCAATTTTGGCATCTTTTATTCGAAATAATCAAATAGGAGCAGAAATTTTGAAACAGCGCAATGGAGATACATGGTTTCCCACTTTGGCCATTTTACAGGAATGGCACAGCTAATAGATGATTTCGTTGATTCCGCAGATTGTGAGGTACACTTTCTATTGATAACATTCATTTCAAAAATTATTCCGAGCATTGCCTGTGACACACCAACTTTACAATAAGTTTCACTCCCTATTTTCCGGTGCAGATTCAACATTTTGGGGCGAAATCTGATTTAAAATTATATTGAATTGATGAGGAAAAAAACAGTCAAAATTTTCCTTATTCCAGATTTAAAAAATGCTGACTTTTACAGAGATAAATTACACTATCCTCAGGAGAAAATGGACAGAAAGGAGCAGCAATATCGACAGAAACCACATATTTTACTTCCAGGACATTATGTTTCAGCAGCTCCTTCCTAATTTCTTACCAATTGAAAGTAACTATATTTTTTAGTAAAGAGATCACATACCTCACCAATGTTGGCATCAAAGGAATAAAAGCTGTTGGTAAACTTTCACCGAGGTCTGGGCGGGAATTATCAACAAGAAAATTCATGGCTGATTCACAGTTCGTGCACAGTAAAAAACTCTTGAAGCAATCCAAGGCAACTCTGAAAAATAAAAAAATTAGAAGAAAGAACATTGATTCCCAAAAAATTTTATTGGCGCTTTTGAGATAAATATCTAAAATATTTAGTAAAATTTTGTAAAATGATGAATTTGACTTTCGATCAAACTTTCCATTCTTTAGTCAGGTTACTTTTATCTTGATAATCGTACCATTCATAAAATCTCTTCTGATGTTTATGCAATTGAAATTCAATTTTCTCTTATACTGGTGCTAGATATAAAATTGAACCAAATGTTTTTCGAGAAAATCAAATTTTTTATTAGAATATCAGGTTTTTACACAAAAATTCAATTCTCCAGCGAACTTGTGTTTACCACAAAAATTCTAGAACCGGTTTCTTTAGAGCTCCAATTAATTTTCGTCCACGCAGAGGAAGCTTAAGATAAACTAGGAAACAGAAAAAAAAAATGATATTGTAAAAGAACATGACTCACTTGGAGGGGCTTATCTTCCCAACTTCTCGATTTGGAATGAAAGATGAAATCCTACTTGTAGAAACCGATGTGTTTATGGGAGGCAGAGTTCCCACATAAGAGGCCAAAGTTACAAGTAACAAGGAAAATAATTCACAAAATCTGGACTCAGCAATTTCTCCCATTACAGCTACAGAAAATAATTCTTGCAGAGCACTGACAACCTGTAAAAGCAACAATAAATATCAATGAATGAGCTAAAACCTTCAGTTTCAGTATAAAAGACAAAATGGGGAGAGTTTTCCATTCTTTCACTGTGTTTGTCCTCTTATTTTCCTCCTTCTTCCTTCAATCGTTTTTGCTGTGCCTAATTAAAGAGAAAACTGCTATAATTGCATGTAAACAAATTACATTTCATTATTATATCAATTCTCATTAGTTTTTGAATTTGCTTCACAATAGACAAAATATTAGTTAGTAGTGTTATTTATTAAGTTTTCCAAAAGATATGACAACATAACAAATTTTCAGAATTCTTGCGATTTTTTACAAGATTTAAATTTGTAAATTGTATTAGGAATCTTTTACTTTTTCTTGTGAGAAGGATGTATAAATAGACTTTGAAACTTCCAAACCAAGTATGTATCTCGGTTTACAACGCTGCAGAATTCCTGTCATAATTTGTTTTTAAATGAAAAATCACTCGCCGGCACTTCTTAAAACCTGCAGTGATTTTTACTTTCTCGATTTTCTTTGTGCGAGGAAAATTCTGTGAAAACTTCCAGGAATTGATGTTGATTTTTCTCCTTTAAAAAAATAAAACAGGAGCAGAAATTTTATAACACTGCAACAAGATACATGGTTTGGGAGTTTCATCGTGGAAATGCCAAACATGAGGCAAACAACGCCACTTTTATTTTATTTTATTTTCATTTACTCTAGTGAATACAAATGCCGCATGTTGTGGCTCAAAATACTTGTCTATAAACCCCCCTAAATTTACATCTTAATTATCATCGTGGAGATCATTTAAAGAGTAATAGGCCTTTTCAACCAGCAAAGTTTTCCAGCCCTTCAGAGAAGCACTCACTTCCCCATTTTTCAATAACCTTCTTGAAGTCATTTTTATTTTAATACTCACAGCTAGTGGAGCCATTATGGCAATTTTCGTTTTGTCTCTTGCATGTTTTGGAGATTCTTCAAAGAGGTTCGAAGATGAAAGTAATCGGACTAACTGGTCGAGAGTCTCAGAGGACAGCGTGGGATGTGATGCTAATCCTTTCCAAACTTCATTTACTCCTCTGCAAAAATAAAACATGATTGAAAAAATGTTCATAGCACAACACATTTTTTTCCCCTGATTTTGAGCAGAGGGACTATGGCTTGCCCCTATGGTTTTAAGGGTGATTTGACGATGCAGGCATCTGATAGATGACGACATGAAATACTTTTTGATGGATCGGAGACCAGAGTTTATCTTGAGAGGATCAAATGAGAAAAGGACCTCCGTGCCTACACTTATAAAATTAGGATATTAATGTCACTGGTTGGAGCAGTGTATGAACATTTCTTCACAAAAACTGCTCAAATACATTGAAACTGAAAAAGCATATATAAAGGTTTCAAATTCGCGATTCTGAAAACGTTATTTTTATCAAAAGCTATTCGAAGCTTTCATCTGCCATATTTCAGACTTGAAGAGCTTGTATTATAATACATACAAATTTGAGCCCTATAATTGTCGGCCTCCTGTGGTGTAGTGGTTGTAGCGCTGGCCCTATGACCAAGAGGTTCCGGGCTTGATTACCGGCCAGGTGATCTGAATTTGATGGTCTCAGGCAATGGTCACCTGGGACTGGGTTAATAAGCGTGGGATTAGCCAAAGGCTATTTGAAATTGGTAAAAAAAAAAAAAAAAAATTATACAGAAAAGAACTGAACCCTTCATATTTAATTCTGTAGGATACAAGAGAATCCTTTGTACACAAAGGCCTCTTTTCTCACGCACTGTCACAAATACCGCAAATTGTTTTGTCAAAGGATATTTCTTTGCCTTCCCTCCTTTTTTTGCTTTGACTTATCAATGATTTTTAAATCAATCTCAAGTAAATCAATTATGTGCGCATTCGTTTCTAATGTATTGATTTTCAAAACAAATCTCTTTGAGATGTATCAATTTTTTACTTATCCAAACCCGAATATACCAGTTTTTGCATCAAAAGTATCAGTTTTTAGTTTACTGGATTAACACAAGATTTCTTTTGGGTCCCAATTTAATGGAAGGGTAAGAAGGACTAAGAGGATAGGAGAAATTTACTGAAAAATTGCAATATCAGTCATTGTTCATGATTTACTTTGTGAAGACAGTGATCACTAGAGCTCATTTTTTTGTCTTGGTGTTTGAATTTCGAGTTCAATTATGTTATGAGATTCCATGTGATTATTCAATCTTAAATGCATTCACCGCAAAATCACAAAAATGTCACTTCACTTCCTCAGTCGTAATACCCTCAAATTATTCTCTAGGGAAAGCATCATCCATGGAAAGGAGGTAAATCTCAGGTCAGCAAATAATTTTTATGAAAGGTCAAAGGTAATTTGTCAACCAAATGAGGTTACTAGTCCCCGCCCCACTAACCAATCACCGACTTGTGTTCAATGTTTGAGACTTTCAGACTCTTGGACTTACGGATGAAATGGTATTGGCTGATTTAGAAGGGTGTTGATGAGAATCTTTGGATGATGACGTCCGAACTCTATGACGGCAGTAACAATGCTACCTCTTACTTCACCAGGGGTTAACTTCATGAGTGCAGACAAAATTCCATCTGTGACAAGACATAAAATTTGGGTTAACACAAATAAAAAATGACACTAAAATATTGGCAAATATTATTACTAGATAAATACTACTTACTCCCTACCAGAAAAAATGACACATATTTTTAAGATATTTACAATCATTATGATAATTTTTACGCTACGTTCACAAATTAAAGTTTATAAAACTGAAATTTAATTTCCAACCAAATAAAATATGAGTCGTCAACTTGCTATGGTCACTTGCGTTGCTTCAGGGATAAACTAGGGATAGGCTATAAAATAATGGGTTAGTTGCGCTAAACATAGATCCATGTTCTGATGGTGTAAGTTTATAGACTAGCAAAATATAATAAGAACCATTCAAGCGCCAAATTTCTACGTTCAATGTTAATGGAGATATCGCTCATCACATGAGACTTCATTCACCCCTGTTATGTATACCATGATTTCTTCCATCTTGGTTTCTTCAATTGAAGAGACACATATTTACACAGGTCGCTTGACATAAAACAAGGATGAAACCAAGGTGGAAGAAACCACCGTATGCATGGTATGCAGTGGATGACGTCATACATTGTGTGTTTTGAAAAGTGATATCTCCGTTGATTTTAGATGCAGAAATTTGGAGTTTGAATATATTTTTTGCTAAATTATATGCAGAAATAATCAGAACTTGATTCCATGAGCAGTGCAACTGACCCATTTGAAATGTAAAATGAGCTAGAGAGAATGACAGATGAAAGCTGTCTTACCCAAGATTTCATTGGCACTATGATAAAGTTCTCCTCCTTTAACTGACAGTATGCGATATAACATTTGACTTGCGCCCAGAGAGCTCAAAAACTCGCTGTCGGTGAGACCATCAATTAGACTCAAAACCAGATGTCCTAGTTGATGATGCGGAAGTTTATTACATATCATCTAAAAACCAAACAACAGCAATGTATTTCTTATCAGTAAAAGAGCATAATGAGAATAGATGATCATTCACAGGTCAGAGGCGTGGCATTCACGACAGCAAAGGAAGCACTGCTATCTCTACCTTAATTCACCCAGTGAGTGGAAGGTAAATGTTATGACTTATTAGTGAGAAATTTCAAAAGGTCAAACTTTCAGATTAAAAAAAGTTTAAATGTAGCGTAGTAGCAAAATGTGAGCAGTGACAAAAATTCGCCCATGGAGCAGAGAGACATATTATTGGCATCGCTTTTTCACCAAGAACTCAGAGATATGTCTGGTCATGTTGAGTGTGAATGTCCACAACAGAGGGGACTGCCTGCAGTTTTCTTATTACTAGAAACAAGCAAATTGCAACTTATTCAGGCAGCCTCGGTGGTTACCGGTAAAAACAAGTTACCGATTCGTTGTTATTGTTCGTTTGTTTTATTTACGAGCAAAAAGTAATCTTTGATGGTGGTCCATGCCTTGTGAGAGCAAATCATTGATCCCAAGGTTGTGTTCATAAATTCTATGTTTAGAATTGTCGGTTTTTGCAAGTCGCAATGTGCCAGGAGTTGCTGTTGCTTGTTGCAAACTATCCTCAGATGCAGGGACTTTGAAAGAGCGTGTTGCAAACTACTCAAAATGCACACTTATAAGTGGTTTTTAGGCTATTTTAAAGTGACCATCATGACTTTTGTGCCATTCTACTCCTAATGAGTTCATTTACATGGCTGTATCTCTTGAATTCAACCCACCAATTCAAAATACAATTGAATTGGCAATGGGCCTGTCGCAAACTTTTGCTAGAGCAAAACTAAGAATTGTTTCTTATAGATAATGTCTCAAAAATCATGATGAGCACATTGGCAAAGTCTAAAATGCACTCATAACTTCACAATCTGCATTAGAAATTTGTGGTTTTATGAGCTTCCCGCATCAAAAACGATACTAAGGCGTAGGTGAACATTTGGTTGGAGGAATAGTTCCATTGTCGGCGATACTCATCATGGCCGACGGCAATCTGTCAAAAACACATGTGATGGGACAAGATAACACCTGACCAGGATAAGACCAGATAACAATCAGCGTGTTTACGTTCATATTTTCCTCGCCTGCCTTGATTGACCTTGAACTCTCCTCGAATTACGTGTGAAACTGCGGAAGCGTCAGTCATGATGAATATTGCCGACGATAAAGAAACTCCTTTAACCCTGTGCCGTAGTATCGTTTTTGAATCGGGAAGCTCAAAAAAACGCAAATTTTTTGCGCAGATTGTGAAGTTATGAGAGTATTTCAGACTTTGCCCATGTGTTCATCGTGATTTTTGAGGCATTATCTATGGGAGACAACTCTTATTTTTGCTCTGACAAAAGTTTGCAACAGGCCCATTGTGAATGCTGATTTTAACTGCAAAATCAATAGAAAATGATTTAAAAATTCAGCTAATCCAATAACGTAAACTCAATGTTTCTAAAAACTTGATTCTTTTTTAAAATATTACTTACTTTGGATAAAGTCTCTGAAGTTATGCTGAGTTCTGGAGGTGAGGCGTTCTTCAAATTGGAAAAAGATTCTTGTAATTCAAAATCATTACCTCCGCTATGACCTTCAAAGCGTGAGCAAACAACCAGTACAATGCGAGCACAGTCCAAAGCGATGGTGAAAATTGATAAATCAGTTTCGCAGGATCGAATGCAAGCTGTGCCTAATATTATACCAGAGTGGCCGAACTTGCTGGCATCCTTTAACAAATTAAATTAGAATGATTGTATAAAGGTAAGAAAATGTAAGGAGACTGAGAGATTAAAATTGCTCTCAAGAGTAATTTGAGTATTGTAGCTGATTTTTAGTCTGATGAAATGGTCATAATTTTTAATAACAAAATAAACCACTCCAAAACGTTTGAAAAAATCTACAAAAATTTTACTCTTCTCCTTCAAACCAACAGTACATGAAAAAGCAATTCTTTTGTATATCAGCAACAAAACTTAAGAATATGAAATTAATAAAGCACTTCACATTGGAGGACCTCCTTTTGAGGATACCCTTGCCAAATTTTTTACTTTATAATTACTTTTTTTCTGCAATATCAATTATTGGATACAATTTTCTCTCAAATTTATTTAGATTAATGAAACTCCCATTTTGTCCTTATTTTCAGACATTCAGTTTTTCCTTCAAAAATGTTTGCTTCCTAAGCCTCTGGCTTAAACAAAAAAATACCGATTCAAATACCCTCTTTAAAAATGAAAACGTATACAACTGCATTAACTTGAATCTGGTTGAAAATATAAATTTATTGATAAGTAAATGTGTAAAGCTCATATTAATAAAGTTTGAATGATTTCTTTGGTTAGAATCAACGAAGGTTACAACAGTGCTAGGGTTGGTTCAGATGCCCCTAAAACGGGTTTTCTGAAGAATCAGACTTTTCACAAAAAACAATTCTATAGTCAAAGGAAATGCTGTTGCTCCTGTTGTTGAGGTGGATGATAGTAGGTGTGGATATTTTCTACTCTAGAAAAATAACAATACTACTGCGCCAAGTAGGAACGCCCATGGACCTTCAGATGCTGCTTTACTTTGTCCGATAAAAACCGAATTTACCGAGAAAATTGTGAATATTTTTGTTCACATATTCAAGACAATCTTTTTCACAATTCAATCTAAAATATCCGCAAATTTCAAGGAAAAACATGCATAACTTGCCTCAAAAGTACAAGTTTTATCCCGGAAAATTTGCCAACTCTCGAATGTTTATACAGCGTTTTTCCTCAACATGGTAGAATAGTTAATACGGTATGATTCTGTATCCTGTAGCTGGCTCAGAAAAGGTGGTTTGCATAATCCCACCTTCCCCTAAACTAGACTAGGAGAAAGAACTATTTATCAAAGAACAAGAAAAGTACCTCATAAGTAAATTTTACATGTTCTTGATAACACTGCAGTGTTGATCGTAGGACTAAAAGCGCTGCAGATCTATGATATGGTGATTTATGAACAAGCCATGGCTGTAAAAAGGAGACAATTTCATCCAAGATAGCAGGGGTGGCACATTGGATCAGTACCTCCTCTAGGAGATAACCTGTTCAGAAAAAAAAGAAAAAAAGCATATAGAAAAAAAGAATAACATGGGTGCCAATGGGCAATCCTCAGCAATATTTATATTTTGTACCCCAAAAAATCAGAAAATTAATTAAGATTCAGAAATGTTTCACTGCGCTTGAGTTTTTTTCACAGCAAACAAAAATTGAGGGGCAGGTTAAAGAACATAAAAAATAAATATTGTGTAATGTGCACTTGATGAGCTTAAAAAGTAAATTCACAAGCTATGGAATTTCTTTGCTGGTAGACTTACTTAAGTCAATTAAATCGGTTTCTGTTGACGGATGTAAGTTCAAAAAATCATACGCCCTGGCTTTCCTTGATCACGCAGGACACTAGGGCTCATGAATTTTTGGACTTACCCCCATCTAACAGAAACCCATTCAATTGGATTTCAAATAACATTCAACAATGGCTACAAATTGACAGAAATTTTTCAAAAACACATAAAAACTCAACGCTAACGAGTAAAAAAATTAGTCCTATATTGGATCACTCATATACTCCATTGAAAATTTTATGCTGTTTGCAAGGCAATATCTATCTCTAAAATCTTTCCTTAGTTTTCGCTACAAACATCCTAACTTATATCAATAATATAAAATTTTTTGACTAAATAGATAATCCCCTCTATTGATAATATATTTTAATTTACATGAGGTTATTGATGATTTTTTTAAAAAAAAAAATTACCGTATACACCTGCAGATAACCTGTATCTATTTATCTGATTTCGGTGCTCGAAAATCAGGGTGCGGGTTATCTGTGAAACTCACAGAAATTTTATACCTAGCAGGCGCTACTTATTGCGAGCGGAGCAGACCACCGTGGATGCATGTTATCTGCAGGTGTATATGGTAGACACTTCTGTTGATGAAATGGATCGCATTCAGCAAAAAGGATCCAACACAATTACAGTGTTGTAAAAATGTTGCATAATTATCTAAAAAATCTCCCACAATAGCAAATAATTTTGCTTTTCCACCAAAAAAATGGTAATTTTAAAGTAAAATAATTGTGTAAATTTTAATATTGTACATGTATTTGGTATTTTGATGAGAAAAGGAGAAGATGCACAGTTTTGAAAACACTGTACTTGCGCTAGTTTCTTTTGGCTAAATGCGATCCAAATAAGGTATTAAAATTGAATACGACGAAAGATAATGTTAAAGCCAATAGACCACTAGACAAGGTGCAAATTTAAGCATTTTGATACATGTTCTCCAATCAAAATTTCGTAGAGCACGATTTGTACAGCAAAAATTACTGACAATAATTCCTAACCAAGATATTAACATTTTCCGATGCATAGATAAAAACTACCTGTTTGTGAAGAAAAAAAAAAAACAATAATGTTATTGAGTTAAATTGCACACTACATGTTACCATAATAATCTTTGCAATATGAAAATATGGCAACCTCAATCTTGGCGCTTCACCTGAGCTATTGCACTTTGTTAACACTTTGATCAACACTGAGTGGGAGAGAGCACTGCTTATTAAGAAGCTTGTCAAAACCATCTTAGTGCAAGATTGATTCAAGTAAACTCTGGTTTTTCTTGTGAACAAAAAAATTATATTTTTTGGAACCAATGCTAAATAAAAACCTTAATACATATCTTGGTTAGGAGTTCATGTCAAAGTTCTACATGCAATTTTGAAGGGATGAATCAGAATGCTTAAAGTACCTAGTCCAAAGGTACATGATGACAAAATGAAAACAATACTCCATTGAACAAGGGACAACAATATTTAGATTTTGATGATAATGTGAATATGAAGTTAAGTTTGCTTCTACTTACACAAATTTTTTAACGCTATCCTTGGAATATCTGCAAAACCTGTTTGGAAAATTGCATTGAAACAAGTTCGCAGAATTAAAGTTCTCTCTTCGTCACTAACGGCAGGTGGAATTTTACTGAACTTACATTAAGGAAATATATACAAGATTACAGAGAAAAAGGGAAGCGAGCTTCAAGGAGCATATCCCTGAGCCTGCTAAACAGTCTCCCTGGATCTCGTCAACTTGTTTTGAAGGATGAAGGCGCCAAATTTGATAAAATTTAGAAAGGAATTGAACTGCCCCCGATATTCTTTAAGAGAATTCATGGATGAACCCATTACCCCACCAATTCTATCTCTGATTTTTTGAAACTGACTAATTTGTGAGTCTTCATTGTATTTACTTGTATACTATTGTTATTCTTTTAAATAAATTATTGTTATTGACCTGTACCAAGCCTGAACCAAGATTATTATATTGACATAAAAGGAATTTGAATTTGAGAATGACTAAACTTTGCGGTTTTTTTAGGCTTTAGAATTCCGTTTTTTTGATTGTCACTTTATAACGAGATGCATCTAAGAAAACTGTAAGACTAAACAATGACGGATCACCAAAAACTCTGTTTCCGATTTCTTGACACTTAAGCCTTTTGAAGAATGACGAATTCAATTTTGGGTGCCTGTCTTTGAGGTAAAATGTTTGGAGGGAAAAAAAGGATACATTAAAGACGCCAAGACTTTGATGTATAATGGATCAGGAGCAGACCCAAGTTGCTTCAAAGCTAAGGCCACTAATTGGGATCGACATGATGCTATATTACTATTTGGCACATCCTCTTCTTCTTTCTTCGTTTTGGCAGACAAATTGGCAATATGTGAGACAGTCTCAAATCCAGCTTTTAAAACTTCGACATCCTGAAATGAAGATGAAAGTAAAAAGTTCACAATTTTTTATGCTTACAAGCAGTATTTTCAACATAAAAAAATACTATTCATATTTAATACTTATATTGTCTGTGACCGATATCAATTTCTAAAAAGGACTAGTAAAATGGTGCACATTAGGAGAGTGACTTACTGATGACTTGAGTGGAGACTTAACTTTAAACAGGATTTACCTGGACGACGATAAGTTTATAATTCTTTAAAAAAAGATTACAGTTTGGATACTGAATTTGACTGTTTAGAAAGATCTATCTCCATTCACATGATTTACATGAAATGAATTTCTTCCTTTAAAATGGGTCAGAGTCACGAGAAAATTTTATTGCTGCAGGTGAAAGAATCAAATGAGCTGAGTTCAGAACATTTTTCATATTTTTTTTCCGATATGGGATCAAAGAGAAAAGAGCCTCCAAAAAAAAGTGCTCATTTTTGCCCCTTCTGAGAAAGTCGATTCGACTGATGAACCAAGGTTTAAAGGGAAGCTTATGACGACATGAAACTCAGAAAATAATTTCATTATAGGAACCGTTTTTGAGTTACCGGGGGGGGGGGGGCAAAGGGGCCGAAATCTTGCCGAATTCTTTGCCGCTTTCTTGTTGAAATGATGTATCTACAGGGTTCTTATCGTTGTTTACACTGTTCAGTGTATCAATTCCTATGTATTTATACATTTAGAATCGATTTTTAACGTTAAATATCGATCTGTTCTACCAATTTCTTGCCATTTTCTGCGGAAAATCAATGATTTTCAGAATTGAAATTGGTTGTTTTCAATTCGCGAATGAATAAATGCACCTAACATGACTGTAACATACTGATACCTATGTATTTTAACCTGTGGAATCGATTCTCAACGTTGACGAGTCGATATATTGATCGGTTATAGAGACTTCTTGCAATTTTTTACAGAAAATCAATGATTTTCAGAATTGAAATTGGTTGTTTTCAATTCGGGAATAAATAAATGCACCTAACATGACGGTATCAGTATGTTACAGTTATGTTAGTAGCATCAATTCATTCATGAACAGCAAACAACCAATTTCAATCCTGAAAAATCATTGATTTTCCATAAAAAACCACAAGAAATTGCTAGAACAGATCGATATATCAACTCGTCAACATTGAAAATCGATTTGACTTATCAAATTACATGGCATCAGTATGCTACAGTTATGTTAGGTGCATTTATTCATTCATGAACAGAAAACAACCAATAACAATCCAGAAAAATTATTTATTTTCCCTAAAAAATCACAAGAAATTGCTAGAACCGATCGATATATCGACTCTTTAACGTTAAAAACCGATTTAAAGAGTAAAAATACGTAGGAATTGATACACTTGACAAGTGTAAACATCGATAAAAACCCTGTAGATGTATCGATGCAACAAGAGCACGACAAAGAATTAGGCAAGATTTCGGCCCCTTTGCCCTTTCATAACTCGAAAACGGTTCCTAAACTCATCTTGGCATTTTTTTCTGAGTTTCATGTCATCATAAACTTCCCTTTAAACCTTAGTTCGATGGTCGAATCGACTGCCTAAAAAGGGGCGAATTTTGCAGAGGCTCTTTGCTTGTAAGCTGTGAAAGTGAATGGACCACCTTAAGACGTCACTGGACAGCATTCTCAATTTACACCTGTGTATTTCGCGGATCCATGTATTTTGTCATCTCTTTTAATAGTTGTCTGATTGAAAAACGGAGGATGTTTTCTTTCTTAGCTCTATTGGTGATTTTATATTTGAATAGAATATGCAAACATTTGTACCTTGCCACTAACCCATCGAGAATTTCTGTTTTTACACCATGGCCATGATGTCATTTCAAAATCTTTGTCCCTAATCTTGGAAGTGAAGACCTCAACAGTTTATTCAAAAAAATATAAAGTTATAAGTATATATAGTTTAATGTATGTAAAATAGCTCTTGAACTTTTTTTTTAAAAAAAAAAAAAGTTGCTTCTTTTTCCTATTGCTCCCTTTGGGAGTAAAACTGACACAGCCGGACATTGCAAGCTGAATGCAAAAGTGAGGAGTAGTGGCAAAAATGCAGGAACTTAGAACCGTCAAGAGGAGCTACACCTAAAGTAAAATTTGCTGAAAGAATCTTAGTTTCTCTTTATTGAAAAGATTTACCTTTGTCATCCCGAACTGTGTCAGCAACCAATTGGTGATTGTAATTAAATGCGGAGAAGTATCTTCAGCAGGTGCTTCCAGAACGAGCTGGCCGTAACATAAAAATAAAGTTGCTCTGGCCCTCTCTGACTCCACTTCTTGTTTCCAGTCTTTCACGAAGCCTAGTAGCCTAGATGTCTTGCGAGTCAATTCATTGTTCGATGCATTTTTCAAATACGATAAGACAGTGACAACATGCTTACGGGAGATAATACCGACTGCTCTTGCACAAATCTGAAATTAATGCAAAGTGATCTTGTCAGAGAACCATTGATAAATGATCCCTCAAAAGGATCCAATCAACCCAGGGAGGATCCCAAGGAGGGGTATAATAAGAGCCATTTCTGGGCCCACACTAGATGAATTTCCTCAACTCTACAATTTTTTCGTCATTTAAATGTCTATATTTTGAGGAACGTATCTTAATTTGGTCATTTCACACCTCTCTATGAGCCTAATACTGTCTGAAACATGGGTCCAAGGGCCTTTTTTGGAGAAAAAAAAATCCGAATTTTCCTGTATGCATCTGCGCGCCAGCAAAACCTGCATTTTTCACCAAAATCGGCCTTTAGACCCATATTTAGGCCAATATTGGACTAAATATAACCAAATCATGATGCGTTCTGTAAAACATTGACCTTCAATGAGCTATAAATTGTCGAGTTTAGAAAATTCAGGGTGGACCCAAAAATGGCCCTTATTGACACCCCTCCTTTCAATATTAGTTATATTAACAAAAGTATAATTTTCAAGAAAATAAAGGATAAAAAACCGGGACTATTTATTTAGAAAGACAATCCTTAACAAATTCTCTTGTGTTCTGCAGAATTCTATTGAGCTTTCATCCGTTTCGATTTAATCTGTTAAACTTAACTAGAAAGAAATTCTTACGGTGAAATCTTAAATTCCGATTAATTGCTCTGCAACCGCTCAAAGGCCTCTGAAGTCGCAAAGTTAACAAAGAAAGGGGAGAGGGGAGGACCTTTCACACTAGGGTGACCTACACCTAAAGTGAATACTTGCAAAAGTCCAGGCGCATGCCAAGTCTACCTGGAATTTTGGGTACATAGCTATTTTTTGGCCTACTGTATGTTCTTTGGGTTACTGAATCCGAATCTGAAATTTCCTTGCGCATATCTGGTGTGCATTTGCCGCCATTTTGAAAAAAAATTGTCTAAAAAGGCTTTTTTTGGCGGTTTTTTTAAAATAGCGGCTAGCATGAGTAAAGATCCCGGATTTAGTTAATGTTTTGAATAGCTGAAATAAATTGGAAGAAAACGGTATATACATATGCTAGGTTTGCTAAAAAATTGAGGAAGATACAGCATCGTGAACATTGCGCCTATTCATGTTTCCGCGGCGCACCTGTCAACGCGCGGTCCGGCTTGCCGTGGTCCGCCAAGTTCCAAAGCATTCCAAAGTTCCTCAATTTTTGAGCAAACCTAGCATATTTACACACCATTTTCTTTCAAATTACGTCAGCTATTCAGAACATTAACTAAGTCCAGGATTTTTTCTCATAAGTAGCCGCTATTTTAAAAAAACCGCAAAAGGACTTTTTAGACCATTTTTTCAAAATGGCGGCAAATGCACTCGACAGATACGTGAAAGGAAACTTCAGATTTAGATTCAGCGACCCAAAAAAACATAGTGTAAGGCAAAAAATAGCTGTGAACCCGAAATTCCAGGTAGCCTTATTTTTAGCTACCAGGCGTCTGGACCATAAGTCGACCTTATACTGAGAAGAAATCTACCAATCAAGAAATGGACTTTCCACAAAATGTATTCTGTGATCGCTACATGAAAAAAACATTGGAGCTGGGTAGTCCACTTTATGATTTTCAATACAAAAACACTTCCAGGAGGAAAGCATTGGAGAAATTTCCCAGGATAATTTCACTAATTTGATTTTGCTGAGACCTTGAAACTCCTCAATTCAGAACATCAAAATGTTAATACAATCAATAGAACATGAAAAAACTGACCAAAAGTCAAGGAAAACAAGACTGACAGCAGCAGCATTGCTCCTTCAAATACTTGTGATTTTGAACAATCAGAACAAAAGGATAGTCCACTTCCAGTCAAGTGAGTACTCTCGTTTGTTAAAGGTTGCGTTACTTTTGGCCGTAAAAAAAATAAAAAAAACCCCTCTCAAAATTCTATATTGTCGCACAAGGATACGGTGAGTTGCTAGCCTCCCCATTTCAAAAACACCGATTGACTCCGTTTTCTAAGCGGAGACTTTTTTTGGTTCCTCACTTGTGTTTTAGACAAGCTTCATTCTCTGATACTAGAGCAGAGGAGTCTTACCTTGGCATCATTCAAGCTGTAGGACCTAACTGGGTTGAACAAAACATCCAAATGAGCGTTGACAGTGCCAACATCACTGATATGATTCAATGTGATTGCCATGGATTTGAGTAACATTGCCCTCTGTTCACTTGCCGCAACTGGTGGGTAAAGGGATAGCTGAGCGGTGAACTGAGAGACTAGGTTTGTGGAAAATTCTTCTGAGCTCACTCGAAGCGTTTCGTCCAGAAACTCCAGCATGAGAGACTCCCATTCGGACTCGACATACTCGGATACTGCAAAGATGGGGTAGACTTGTTAGAATTGGACAGGGAAAAAAAGGAATGCGATACGGAAAAAACAAAGATATACATTCTGTTCCACTTTTTTAGCATATTAGAATCACATCAGAAAGATCCATATCGAAGGCTAAGGAACAATGGGACAACAAAGAATACAATATATTGCAATGTATTGATTTTTTCCAATTCCAATCTACTGCTAATTTAAAAGAAAAGCAAAAAAAGAATAATTGAGGGGCTTGGAGGACAAGGTGCATAAGAGCAGTTTTTGCTATTCCGAGAAATACATGTTTGAAGTTTTGAAATTACATGGATACTTATGGCGGAGAGAAAGTTCAAACTGATTTCGATGTTTAAAAATTGGAATTTGGGAGCAAATTTTTCAGAGAATATGCGTCAAGACTAACTCTACTTGGAATTATTAATACCTCAATTTTTTGAAAACTGCATTTATGCACCTTGTCCTCCAGGCCCCTCAATTCAGAGGTATATGGTTGAAGAAAACACCGTCTTGTTTTCTAACAGGAATGATTAAATGAGCTACCTGATGCATTTTTCAGAGAACATTGAAAAGGCCTTAGCACAGTGCCTATTTCCTCTTGGATCTCAGGAGAGAGAGCGACCAAGGCGAGCAAATTCAAACAAGCAGACTAGCATAACTTTTAAATGAAGCAATTAATTAACTTTGACCCAATTTGATCTCGAGTAAAAAGTTGATCTCTGGATAAATAGGTTAAAATTTCATGCAGCTATTTCTGATGTAAGATAAGTCAAAAGGAGATGAATTGTGATACTTTATCAAATTACTCACATTCTAAATAACTAATTAGTTGAGGAATTTTCAACTTCCATAGGGTAGAGACATCATCACTGATATGTGGTGAATAGCGAACAAGAAAATTTAGAATACTGATACCACGATCTGTTTCTTGAGGTGCTCCTAATAGACCAATACATCTGGTTATTACAGCTTGAATGTTGTTAGATGGAAATTTTTCTGAAAGGCAATGGAAAATTATTAGAGTAAAACATTAAGGCAACATTAAGAGTAGCTCGTCATGAATGATTTACAACAAATCATGAATTAAAATCATTGATTAAGAGGCAAGCAGGTCGAAATCTGTTCTTTGATAATGGGACAAGAAACACACAATTCAGTTATTATTTTACAGCAGCATTGGTTGATACGATGATGTTATTTTTTCATAGCGTAGGACTCTTGATTAGTGACCAAGCAATTCAAAAAATACCAAAGGGCTTGTCGTAGATTTAACTCCACATGAGCACTGACCTGCTATGGGAAAACGCTGTACATATAAACATTCAAACGTTGCCAAATTTCTCCTGATGAAAAATTCATTTTGGAGGAGAGTTATGTACATTTTGGTTTGACATTTCCAGATATTACAGATTAAATTGCTAGAAAAATTGCCTGGAATGATGGAAGAAAAATATTGAAAAGTAATTCTCCTACATGTTGATACAGAAATCAATTGGCATACCTGTATTCAGCGGTTCTAAGTTACTTTTATCTGCAATCTTTGTAAGAGCACTGGTAATGACGAAAATGGCTGCCGTAAATTCAGGCGCAAGCAGTAAACGCAGAAGAACCTTCCAGCACAATGGAAAAACCGTTTTAACAGTCGAACTCAGCAGAGTTATAGTTGAGCAACAAACTTCACGTAACTCAATCCATTCTGGTCCCTATAATGGAGAGAAGAAGATGACAAAAGATGGGAAACTAAAACTTTAGATTAGATTTTTAATTACAAGCAGTAAAGTAATTTAGCCAGTGTAATGCCTTCAGAGAGAGGCCCATGTCATTTCAAGTAAACTCAAGCTTTTTCAACTGATTTAATTTCATTTGAAATCATCTGTTATCATTTGAAATAAACCTCAACAAATTCCAACGAATAAGGAGGAGCTCACCTCTTATTAAATGTATATAATAAGGAAATACCACCAATAATAAGAACCACTGCACAATGGGAAAAACAGCCAATCTAGCATCGAAAAAGTCTTGACGCCCTGGGCGTTCACTTTCCCATTGGTTTTTCACACTTAATCGGTCTTATATATCTAGCCATACACTATGACAACTTAATGTGCCAGTTTTTTGTAAATTCAAGAGTTATTGAGTCAAATTTAGTCAAGAGATCAGCTACAATTTCCTTTCCTTGAGATTTTGTTTCGGTTTGTGGTCTTTAATCAGCTAGCAGAGTTAAAATAAAATATTCCTTGTCGTTTATACTATTGTCAGTTACTTTCTTCATTATACTGTGTAAGTCTCTTATTTTTCACTTTTTTTTTTGAGAAGTTTGTGTGCCTATGTGTGGGTGTTTCAAAGTGAAGTTCTGAGTGAGAATGAATGTAATCCGCAATGTATTACTAAAGATATTAATGGATTAGACTGACATATTATTTGGCATGTATTCAATATTAAAAGAAAATGAGGAGGAAAAACATGCTTGAAATTTTAAATTTCCTAAAAAACCGTTGCACAATGGAACAGCTTTTCCTAATCAATAGATAATCACATGTCCTGATTTTTTTTCCAATTTTGGTTAGGATAACAGTTAAGTTCCGAACATTTAATTTATCATAAAGTGTTGTCAAACAGGAAGTTTAATGGTAGTTATCCATATTATATCAGTTTACCAATACACTTTATTTTCATAAAGGTAAAGTGAAGTATTGTCATTACTCGGAAATTTTGGCAATTAATTCCTTACGCTCAATGCATCTAATTTTTTTCTTCTCAAGACTTAATGTGAAATGAAACCATTTTTAAAGTGCAGCAATTGTGAAGTAAAACATGAAAATTTGTACGAAACTATTTAATGATTAATTAACAGCGGTCAGGATTGAACTCTCATTGGCATCAATGAAAATGGCTGGAATCGGTGTGTATGTGCTCCTGAGGATCTACTGATCAAGTATCAGCTATGTTATACTTCATAAGGTCGACCTCATCAGAGATAATGGTAAGAAACGCAACGGTTAGCGCGGAGCTGATGGAGGACCGCCTCTGAATGTTTATATTCAATAGCCTCCTATGTTCATTAGAGAGCGTCATGTGGTTCCTTTTAATTTTTTTTTCTTTTGGCAATGGCTGACCTTTCTAAAAGGATGGATACCATTTTTTTTTTGTAAATCCACTTTTTTAAATTTACAGCAATTTTTTGAAGTTAGCCTCCAAAATAGTAACAAATTCAAACTTCTAAAGACAATATCTTTCCAGTTCAAGACAGTTCAAGTGAGATTTTTATATCCAGTTACTCGTCATACTATCAAGAATACAATAATCCTTAGTTTGAGTGCGCATCCACACGCCATTAGGAGATATTTGATACAAAGAAAGTGGGCATGAGCTCAAAATGAATGCAAAAGAACGTTGTGCATGGCGTCGAATTCCAGAGTCACATAGGGGGACAGGAGAGTGCGTGCACAGTGTGCTGCGCGCGCAACTAACGTACGTTTAAGGACAACCGTTTCAGCGGGTCCTCAGAGCTGAACTGGTAGCTGAGTTGGTAGAGTCTTTTACCTTCAGGCGAAAGGAGTTGCGTTCGGTCCTACCCGATGGTCAATTTTTTTTTTTTTTTTTTTAATCAGCCCAGTGCAAATTTTCATTTTTTAGTTGATACTTGCTACACTACACACTCTGCATTCTTGCTCATTGCAGCATTTGATAAATGGTTTTACCTTTCTCCAGAAAAAACAACATCAGACGCATCAAGCGAAAGGAATTAATTGCCTTTTCCGAGTAATAACAATACTTCACTCTACTCTTATGAAAATAAAAAGCATTGGTAAAATGATGATTTACATTTCTACAATTAATATCCTGTTTGACATCACCTAATGATAAATTAAATGTTCATAACTTATTTGTTATCCTGACAAGAATTAGAAAAAAATTAGATCAAGTATTAATACATGAATACAAACATTCAGAGGCGGTCTTCCATCAGCACTGCGCTACCTGGTGCGATTCTGATGATTATCACTGATAAGATCAACCTTATGAAGTGAGACATGACTGAATCTTGATCGGTAGATCCTCAGGAGCACATACATACCAATTTTGGTCACTTTCATTGATGATGATTTTTCAACTTTTCCGGCGCTAGATTGGCTGTTTTTCTCACTAAGCACTGAGCTACTGAGCCACTTTGTGCTTAGAAATTCAATTAGATTAGCTTTGCTTTTCATCTATGAATCAAGCTTAAATATAATCAAGTCGTTCGAGAATCGCTAATGCCCATTTTTCCAGTTTTGAGTTTTTTTTGGGTTGATATACTTTTCGGAGATAGATGCTACCATGAGAGGGATGTTGATGCTCTTTTTAGGGTTGTCTCACTCCCAAAACGAGTCTTGGCATCACTTTCATGATTATATCGACTCTTAAAAAGTATTATTGACATAAAAAAAACTGATAGCTGGCAAAAGGGCTTCGACAGTTTTTGCAACACACATTTCAATTTAAATTTAACTTTTTCAATATCTCTTTATTGAGTTTTTTCAAAACTTGTACCGTTTTATTGGTGTGCTTTGATAAAGTTATGAATTTTTCGTACCAAAAAGAAACTAAAATCTATAAAATTGAAAGCCACTTACATTGCAAGATACTAGAGGGCAACAATGTTTCACAAGGAATTCAATGAATAATTCATCAGAGGAGCCTAAAAATTCTTTACAAGCTAGAACAACAATTGTTCTAACTAGAGCCTTCTTCACCTGAAGAGAAAGAAAACAGTTTAAAATAGAAGCAGTCAGATGACAAAAAATAAAAAATAAAAAAAATTAGGATGAAGAATTAATTTACCACAAGGTGAAGGAGAATTATTTGCAAGAAATACGGTTTTTCTGGGCTGATGTGAGGGTTTACTGCGATCATTTTTGAAAAAAGAGTGTCCTGTTATTCTCCTCTTTTCCTAATTTCATAGCAAGCAGCAAAAAAGACACAAAAAAACATACACTAAATTTACTTCATAGTTGCCTAATTTTTCTCGATTTTTTTAGAGTCTTCTAAAATTATTTGCAGTGCCCTTTAAACCACTGTGAAAAAAGAACAGAAGTTGCATTCAACTTTTTTTCCTCATTTCATTCAATCTTTATTAAAATGTACAAAAGCAATGAATTTAAACCCATACAAGTGAATTATTTCACTGACTTAAAAATGCCCGTTCAATGTTTTTAATTTTTACATTTTCAAGAGAGGAAATGACATACCTTCACAGACGCATCAGATAAAACATGCAGAGCATTGATCAAATCCGACATTCTTAAGCTTAAAACAGAATCAGAGGAGCCAAGAAGATGCGAAATTACAGTGAGAGCAGCTACTCTGTCAGCTTCACTTCCACCCCGTACTTGTCGAATCAGTAAGTCACTTAGTCTTTCAGGAAAATGATACCCTGTGAAGAAATTTGTAAAGGTTAACAAATGAAAGGTACAAAAGAACATTTTAGACATGGCATCATTAATTATTTTATTCATATTTTTGATGATACTGAGAAAAGACCTACCAATTTGATCATAGCAGCGCAGAACTTCACCATGGTTCTTCACTGTGACTGGCTCCCGATAATCTGGTTGCACCCAAACCTGAAAATATAAAAGAAATAAGGAGTGTCAAAGAGGCAATTGGTGATTTAAGACATCTCAGAGAGGCCTTACTCCGTTCACCAGAAAGGGAAAATTCTGTGACCTTAAAACTGGTAAAATCCTATCAAAAAAAGTACTACCAGGCTGCAAACTTTAATTCCATTTGGCTCTTAACTACTCCCAAGATCAGAGTCTTCACCTGCACAATCTTCAAGATCTGTAAAGAAAATTTATCATGAGCTGAAAGAGCACGGGTTCCATCTCACTATACTATTGAGAGGGGGAAAGAAGCCGAGGAAATATCAAACTCAGAGTAAAATTTCAAAACGGAACTCATGTAAATTAAACTCTTTGAGCACGTCTAGAGGTATCGGGGTAAAACTGGGGGGAAAGAACTTTCAGCCTGGGTATATACGCTGAAAATTCTTTGCTGAGGTGCCACAAGCATTATCACCACCAAATCTGCTCTTATCAAAGTACATAAGTCTCTGCAGTGTGGCAACCTCAATCTTGGCGCTTCGACTCAGCTGTTATCATTGTTTAAACTTGGAACAATACAAAGCCGGGTTTACACATACTGCTTGATCAAGAAGCCAGCCTAAACTATTTGTAATGCGCAATTTGAGTCAAGTTGGTTGTCATGTGACCAAAGAGTTCAAATATTTTGTGACCAATGCTGATTAAAGCCGTTAATATCTTGGTTAAGAGTAGCTTTAGGTTAAGTATTTTCATTGCTGAAATGGTGTTTTACTTGAAATTTCGAAGAGGAAGCATGAAACAGAATGGTTAGATTAATATTTTGTCCAGTGGAATTTCAATGATTTATTAATTTTAAATCGGGAGAGAGACTTAGCATGACTACCTACCATGGCATGCAACGTATGAATGATATTGTCAAGCATTGGTTCTAAAGGCACAGGTGGCGCAATTTGGAGAACTGTTGAGAGAGCTTCTGATATTTTGTAACGAGGGGGATGAGGTGAACGACGGTACAGTCCAAGTAAAAAATTAACCGTTCTTGGAGTTTGTTCTACGAGCCGATTTTCTTCCAGTAAGCTGAACATTGGACCGATTGCAGATACAACACCCTCGACAGTCTGACAACACAAAAGATAGTTTATACTTTAATTAATAAAAAATTGTAGAATTGTGAGGTTTTCCCCTCAAAGTTCCAGGGTATGTATGCAGCTGTGACGTCAAATTACAGTTGCAAAATAACACAAAAGCCAAATAGTGTACCTGCACATATTGATTGTTCGTTGGTCCAAAAGTCTTTATATTTCCAAAATGCAAATTTAGTTGAAGATGAAATACTAAGGATACATTGGAATGAAGCAGAATAAATCAGTCTAAAAAAGGCTACATTAGATTAGTTTGACATTAGATAAATCAGAATTGACTAGAAATTATCTTGCTAATTGGGATGCATCAGGAAAAATATGCCGGAACTGGAATAAATATTGTTAGCCAAGATAAATTGAGATGATTGTAACGCTTCAACACTAATTGGAATTGAAATGCACACATTGTTCAAACTAGGACAAATTACGCTAATCTGAGCTAAATCAGGAGAACACTTAATTAGCTGTAATAAATGGAATTCAATCAGTCTAAAATGGATAAAATCAGAGTAAAATGGGAAAACTGATATTAATCGAGACAGTGCGATTCATCCATGGGATTTGCTCTAGGTGTAAAAAAGAAAAATGCGCAAATAAAGAAAAATGTAACAGGGTACCTTCACATCCTTCGATGCAGCCCATTGAGTTATGAATAAATCATAAACAGCATGAATTTTTTCAGCACATTCTGATGAAACCTTGGAGATTTTTGTATCTTTGTCCACGTGGTTCTCCAAAACAGACTCGCACAGTTTCTCCATTGCTATAAAAAAAAAGAAAAGAAAGTATAATAAAGTGAGAATTCTATATTCTAATTTACAGAGAAAGGTTGGAAATAAATAAAACAAAAAAAGGTCCAAAACGGAGGTGAAGGAGTGAGGGGATTGGAGAACAAGGCCCATAAGAGGAGTTTTTGCTATTTCAAGAAATATATCTCAAATAAGATCAGTTTAAAATTTCTCGGCAAATGTAGAGGTTTATTTTTGCTCACCAATGTTGTTGATTGCTTCATGTCATTGTTAATACAGACAGGATACACTCGTGAGAAGGTGATTAGAATGTATCTCTGCCAGTGGACAAAAGTCAGAAAGAAAAAAAATTAACTGCTTTTGGGACAAAAACGTGGAAAAGCTGAAAGAGGTAGTTATGAGGTTCGATTCTTTAAACATACCAAAAGTTATTAATTGGCGCTGTGAGTCATTTTTGATTGCTGGAATAATTGGGCGAATATTGATAAGAACGGAGTTGACATAGACTACAAACTCAGGGAGGTTGCAGCTTGCAATATTTCCAATTGCATAGAGTAATGACTGATGGGGAACTGCACCAGGCTGAAGTTTTGAGAGGAGACAGTCCATTACCTGCAAAATGTGTTGCGATAAAAATTAGTAATTCATTATTTTCATTCATTGGTAGGCTAATATCCTGATTCAATAATAATAATAGATGAGTGCCTAGTAAAATGTTTAAGTAAAGGAACACGGATCATTTTTTGCTGACTAAAAAGCTGAAAATTCCTCATTGGAACATTAAACCTTTTCTAAATAATTTAGGTGTCTTACCTTGCACCTATACATAAATAAATAAGTTAATCGTTCATTCATACATGAAAGCCTTGAGGAACTGTGGTACAAGTCAGCACAAGAAAAAAACAAAAAAATGAAAGAACAAAATTTTGACGAGAGAACTGTATATGAAAAGCAAAGAAGAGGAAGTACAAGATAGGAGGCTGACAGCCCGCTGTTCAGTCCTGTAGGAGCCACTATGGACACTATGATGAACAGCTTATTGACAGAGTAAAAGGCTTCAGAAAGAAAAGAACTTATGGAGGCTGTTCAGGAAAATAGTTGATTTCCCCTCTTAGGTAAGAGAATTTTAATCTCCCATGAGAGGGCATTAAATATCTGGATGGATGAAAACTTGACATGTCACATTGTAATGGAAAATTGGTGGGAGATATCAAAGCCTAATTTATCTACTTATTGTATTCACTATGTTAGCTTGATTTCCTTTTGTGTTATGAAGTTATCAAGCTACATCACTTGGAGGCACGATATTGAAGGAGCAAATGTGATTCTTACATCTCTGCAATATTTAACGCATATTGCATTCAATATATCCGCTGCTGGAAAGCTGGTATATGATGTGTTTTTCATCATTTCGTCAAAAGAGAAAGTTATTAGCTGTTTCACCAAGGTTGGCTCTAGATCGCTGATACAGTTTTCACAAATTCGCTTGAGGAGTTGGAGAACATGAGTAATGCTGGCAGATGTTAACTGAAAACATGGGAAAAAGTAAAAATCACATTGAAGGCAAATTTGGCTTTGAAGTGAAGCACAGAAACTTGGAAAATTGATAAAAATTATGTATGTATACATACTGAGTAACATTGACGGATCCAGCACATTGGCAACATTGCCTTTTCTCCATTTAAATCCATGGAAATGTATCAATTCTTGGAGGGGCCAGGTGCTTCGACAAGATTCGATTATTTAGCATAGGTTTAAATGGAGGCAAACCGGTGTTGCCAAATTACTGGATCCGCCTCTGCTGAGTAAAGCTCAACTCGTGCTCTTTCTCTGGGTAAAGCAAGAGTTTCAAAAAAGGTGAATATCCCCCAAAGCTTGCACCAAATAAAGTTAAGGGCAAACTGGAACCAAAAATCTGAACAAGACATTGGATCTGGGACCAGCCTAGGAGTAGTAGAGGCCCCTGGTCTCTCTTCTACTGAAAGATAGTCCACCAAGAAGAATCATGGTGAGGACAAGAGACCACATTATCATAGCCCAGGTTCCATAATTTATACTGCCATGCTAAGGAAAAACACCGTATGAACATTCCAGAGTTGCCAAATTTCCCTTGATACAAATGTTTATTTATGAAGAAGGTTATGAATATTTTTCCTTGTGATTTTCAGACATTATAGGTCAAATTACGAACGAAATCATCAGAAAAATCGGAAAAGATATATAAACATATTTTCCTAAATTTTTGCGCTTTTACGAAGGAAACCTGGCAACCCTCATAAAGCGTTTTTCCCTAGCACAGCAGTATAGTGCTGACTAAGAACAGATGTAGACGGCACATCGATGGACAGAGTGTGAAACCACATACCTCTATGTGTAACATTGTAGACTTCCTGTCATGCTTTACTTTCTCTTGGAAAAACTACTGAATGTAAACTTCTTGAAAACTTCATTGCTTTTTATCATTATCAGCAAAATATTCAGTATAAATTTCAAGCTATGAGGTTAGATTGTAGGTATTTAGCGGATTTATAGGAGCGGATATTTTGAATCATAGCAATGGAAGAAAAGAGGTTTTGCACTTTGGCAGTTGATAACGCATTTAAGATGGGAGAGGTTATCAATTCGATCTTCTTTTTCTGCAAACCAGGACAGCAAATACCAAGAGGGGTTGTCTCCCCCAAATACATGCTACACTGACTCACTTTAAAAATATTGATGGATAAATATCCTAAGGTCTGTGCTTGAAAAAGTTGAAACATTCAATTTGAAAGAAAATCTTCTGAAAAAAAGGATTCTTGCAGAAAAAAATTTCGCAACCACAGTAATTGCTGTTGCTGTTTTGAGGTAGATGAAGTCCTTGCTAAATAAGTTCATGCACATATAAACTGGGACAGACGATTGTCTGATGTTGATTTTGCATGGTAAGTTAATGCAAGAATAAAGATGGCAGACCATCTGCTGCAATCTAAAAGTGCAAAAATCTTATTTGGCGTCGACTTTTACATCATTGACTTGTAATACAATCTAGACCGCGCACTAGGCCCGACTTTAAGCGGGGGAGGTAAGACAGCTAGGGGGGTAAATCATGGTAAAGACGCGCCATCAGCATAGTTGATACAGCCGGATATACGAAATGTACCAGGCAACGGCACAGGCAAGACTGGCATTTCCATTGTCTGTATTGTATGTATGTACGTATTGCAATCTGGGTTGCCTATCGTCTCGCCGAAATTTCCTAATACGCGGTCTAGATTGTATTATACGTCAATGTTTTATATTAATTGAGGATGTTGATATGGTCTAATTCTGTGGCTTATAGAACTGGGGAAAGAAAAGAAGAGACAAAAGTCACATCAGTCTGGATGCATCAATCATCAGTTGGCCCATTGGTTGGCATGTAACTATCTGTTGAATGGTGCATTTTTTGGATGGGACATTTGTCTGTTCTTTTCTTTCTCCAGTTCTAGTTGACTTAGAAAGCAAGTATTTTACTTAATCCCACCTGCCTCTCCACATTTCTTGAATAAAAAATCCTCTTTTCTCATTTTCTGTTCACTGCTAAGTCATGAGGAAAGCCCCTCTTAGATGTACAGGCTAGGCTGATAGTTTAGTCATTTGGGCTTGAGGGATCCAATTTCTCAGTGCCTGTAATTCGCAAAAATACTCACCACTCAGAAAAATTTAAAATTTTGATAACATACCTTTGAGTTTTTCCTCCGATAATTAAGTGTATATTTGACCACAATGTTTGGCTGGACTTTTGAAATTTTCCATAGTGATTCACAGACCGCTTTTCGGACACACTCATCACGATCAGCAGAAGCCTCTAAAAGGCTATTGACAACAACTACAGGCAAGTAAAGAAAATACGGAAGCAATGTTATTATGTTTTAATCATATTGTTCTTTATGCAAAGGAAAATTCAATTTTGTTGTGAATATAAAAACCCAAATAAGCCAAGTACGTGTACTTAGTTATGGTTTCGGTGCCACAGCCCGGCTGTGCTGTATTGCCAATTGTCGTAGGATAGGTGTCTTGCCCAAATGTGGCTACCGCCACTCATATTCAAATACTGAAGAAACCTAGACTCTCCCTTTTGAAAACTAATTTTCTATTGAAATTTTTTAATTTATTAGAGTACTATTTGAAATAATTTTGATTTGTTTTTATTTTTAGTTTCACTGAAAAAGCACTGCGTTATTTTGTTTTGAGAAACCAGGGATTTTATGTTCAATTCAGAGAGTGCTGGACCGTCTCAGAAACTGTCAAAACTTTGATAGATGATTCTCAAAGGTAAAACATCGTAAAAAAATAAATTCTTTCTATTTTCAGTTTGAATGGTCAGAACGTAACAAAAAAACTACAGCAATCTACGATAAAAAAGCATTTCCGAGCAGATTAGGGCTTCAAAAATACTGTCAATTTTTAAGCACTTTCCAAACATGGTACCTGAAGAAGGCAGATCACAGGCGTGTGTACATTCTATAAAATGTATAGGTCTCCAAATCACCCATTCACTCTCAAACTTGGAGGGTATCAAAGACGATCTAACTCCCTCAGGATCTTAGAAGGTAGAAAAATTTTCAACATAAATGAGTTCACAATTTCCTTCTCAGTAAGATCTTCAGAACTCACGTCAGATAAAATGACAGTTGTTTACTTCCAACTATCACACGCAGAGGACAAGTTTAGCAATATCTCCTCAGAGGTAGGTAATGGTTTTCGTAATTAGCGCACAACAGCAGTTTGGTGTCATTGCCGTACGCATTCAATTCTCGATTGCTTGTAGAGAGCAGCAGCACCATTGCTTGCAAACAGAAAGTGAACAACTTCCAACTTATCTGACGCAAGTTCAAAGTAGGTTTGTGACTCTGAAAGAATGCATTGAACGAGTCTAAGAGATGGTAAGAAAAAGCCAAAATATAGGTACAGGGAGAGTTCCTGCTAAAGACAGAAAGAAGCATGGCAGAGGGAAATTTAATACAGTAAGCAATGGGTGATAAAGAAGCTCATAAATTAAAATCAGAAAAGAGGCTTACTCAAAATCTGAGCTTCGTTGACGTTATTTTCCATTTTCAAGAGGATTTACAGACCAGAATTAAGCATGGCATTCTCTTATATTGAAGACTGAATATCCACGTTATTTGTAGGGACGTCGGATGAAAGTCTGCGAATATCCAAGAGAAAATCACTAGTGATTTCACAGAGCAACGAAACGGTTGATAAAAGCAAAACCTAACCTCAACTTTCAAACAACTCACCAATGTTATGTAAACACGAGCTGTGAATTTACTTGACCAATGAACATTCGTGAAAAAAGGCGGGCAATGAGAGATGTTCAAATTGGCGGAGAATGATTATATGATTAGGTTGGTTGCTTCTGTGAGCGAGAGAGAAAGAAAATCGCCTGGCTGAACGCTTATGTGTGCGAGAGAGACGGAAAATCGCCCAGCGGGTTGCAAATGGGTGCGAGAGAGACAGAAAATTGCTAGACGGGAACAAGCGGTCTTCTCCGTCAAAGGGGTCAAAAATCGCTTTCCCCGCGACCCTCCGAGATAGGTTACACCCTCGGTTGCCCGTTTAGTGGCGGCCACTCACCGCGTGCATGTCGCTTAAGTGTGCGACACTGCGACAGCCCTAGTAGCAGAACTACAGAAGGAAAAGATAAATATTATGTACGCAAGTTAATTTTTTTTTCTATAATGCATGCATACAAAAGTGTTAAAAGTGCGAACATTTTTATGTAGGTAACCATTGAATAAAAAATGTTATAATTTTCGTGAGCTTTTCGCGAACATACTAAAAATTCCTCTGATTCGCGAAAAGCTCACGAAAATGATGACCTGTTTTTTTATATAATCGTTACATAAAAATGTTCACTTTTAACACTTTCGTATGCATGCGTTATATAAAAAAATAAAAAATGTGTGTATAAAAAAAAATTACCTTATCTAGCTTTTATCATTTTTCATATATTACGGTCAGGTCTGAACTTTGATTTTTTTTTTTATATAAGCGTTACACGTTTTTTATATAAAACGATCATTTAGATAACAGATATTATGTTTTATGTTTCTATACTTTTTTTAGAAAAACAACATTTTGTTCTGCTACGAGGGAGACGGAAAGTCGCCGAGGGGGTGCGTATGGGTGCGAGAGAAACAGAGAATAGCTAGGCGGCTCGCTTTAGTGTGCGAGAGAGAAAGAAAATCGCCTGGCTGAACGCTTTTGTGTGCGAGATAGAAAAAAAATTGGCAAGGTGTGGCATGGGCTGGCAAGGGCTGGCAAGGGCTGGCAAGAGCTGGCAAAGGCTGGCAAGGGCTGGCAAGAGCTGGCAAAGGCTGGGTAGGTCTGGCAAGGGCTGGTAAGGTCTGGCAAGGTGTGGCATGGGCTGGCAAGGGCTGGTAAGGTCTGGCAAGGTGTGGCATGGGCTGGCAAGGGCTGGCAATTAAGGTCCAGACCAATCCGTTAGCCGTCTCAAAGATAAATTAATTGTGCTCAACTGTGTTTGGTGACGATTAATTCATTATCTTAAGGAAGGTTTCTCTAAGGTGGTGCGGAAAGAGTTCCATTGAACAACTAACTACAAGTAGCGGTTAGCTATACGTCGTGAGAGTGCCTCTTGATATGTTCTGTGACAAGTTCCTTTTATTGAAGCAAATTGATACGACTTATGTTTTAAACCTGTCGTTGGCGGATTTTGATCATTTAAAAACTGGAAAAAGAGTTTCACGCTTACAATTCTTTATCAGAAGCTTTAGATTGATCTCATACGCGGAGCTGGACTGGTCATAAGGCCAATCTGCCATTGGCAGATTTCGTAAATTCATAAATTCAGAATTCATAAATGAACGAGAGAAGAGAGGGTAAGAGTAAAGCCTGCCTACAAAAATGCTGGAAAATTGATGTTTTGCCTTGTTTGTTTTTTTTTTTATTATTATTATTATTATTATTATTATTATTATTATTTGCTGAATTCAGATTTTGTAGCCGTAGCTCAATATTTTGAAGAGGAGAATGTGAAAAATTGGGACACACTGGCTTAATAAAGTTGTAATGAATAACAATTATTTCACTCACTGGCAGACATCCGATTAAATAAAGTGCAAACTTACGCTATTGCACTTACACTTTTAACGTTCGCTGTTACGCGAAAAATTGGTCACTCTCCGTCGTAAAATTAGCTTTGAGCCATTGAAAATTTATGTCAATTTTAGTTTTTGAAAAGGGATGATGAGCGTCATTATGTGAGGAAATCAAAATAGCTCTCGAACGTTTGTCAAGTATCAAAATACACATGCATAACATTTCTAAGATCGGTAAAATGTTATTTTCTTCGAAATTTTCACCTTCTTGGTGACATTGAGACGCTTTTTCACCCGCCGTCCTCATCCGCCATGCGTTTAATCTGTCAGAAGAGGTAGCACAGTCAATTTTTAGACGTACGCCCTGTTGATCGCGCTTGAGAGACCTCTTACATTTTGTTTCTACTTCATTTTTTTCAAAGTAACATTTGATTAAGGGCACATCCTATTTACGGTTGTGTTGCTCACGGAGTCCTTGAAAAACCACTACAAATGAAACATAGGTATGAAACTAACACAATATGAAATGCGACACTTAGACAACGGATCATCATTTATGACTCTCTTCTAATTTTCACGATAAAAAAAAAAAAAAAAAAAAAACTATCCAAATAGCTACGATTTAGGATCAGGGACCGTGGCTTTTTTCGGTAAAAAAGAAAATAGGACTCAATTCAAATATCGCGACGAAATTTCCTGTGATTTCAATTAAAATCTTCTTTAAATTACTGTACTTAAATTTTTCACAGAATCTGTGCGTATCTTTTAGTAAATATTCATTGAAATAAAGCATTAACTGGGGTTTGCAACGTTGCGATCGAGGTAAATAAGCTCCTTTACGCGTGGATACATGGGTGAAATAATAATACGCGTGGTAATATGGGTGAAATTAGAAGAGAATCACAAACAATGACGCGTCGTCTAAGTGTCGCAGCGATCATAGCGTTGGTCCCGGCCGAGAGGGTCGGCAGGGCGGTCAAAACATCTTCGCAGTTTGACGCGCCTTCAATCCGGCGGAGTTGCAACATGCGTACACCCGTGGTCAAATAGTTATAAGTCACGCCTGACGTGAATGAACTCAAATATCGACGATTTTACGCGTTAATGAGCTTCTTTACCTCGATTGCAACGTTGCAAACCACAGTTAATGCATCAATTTCAATCAATATGTACTTAAAGATACACACAGATTCTCTGAAAAATTTACAATAAATTAACGAACGATTTTAATTGAAATCACAGGAAATTTCATCGCGATTTTGAATTTAGTCCTATTTTCCCTCTTTTTATATTTGCCGACAAAAACGACGGTCCTGATTCTAAATCGTAGCTATTTTTATTGATTTTTATTTAAAAAATTAGAAGAGAGTCATACGTAATGACGCGCCGTCTATGTGTCGCAGCAATCTTAGCATTGGTCTAAGCGGGCTCCCTGGCTGTTTCCTGTCTCCCTCGCACACTCATAGGCGTCCCACCAGGCGATTATCTGTCTCTCTCGCACACATAAGCGGGCTCCCTGGCTGTATTCTGTCTCTGTCGCACACTCATAAGCGTCCCGGCAGGCGATTTTCTTTCTCTCTCGCACAAATGAGCGGGCTCCGTGCTAGTGCGAGAGAGACAGAAAATCGTCGAGGTAGCAAGCATATAAGTGCGAGAGAGATAGAAAATCGCCCAGGTAGGAAGCCTATAAGTGCGAGAGAGACAGAAAATAGCCAGGCGGCTCGCTAAAGTGTGCGAGAGAGACAGAAAATCGCCCAGGTAGGAAGCCTATATGTGCGAGAGAGACAGCAAATAGCCAGGCGGGACTTGGGTGGTTTTTCCGTCAAAGCAGCATCGCGTTCCCCCGCGACCCTCCGAGAGTGGTTGCACCCTCGGTTGCCCCGTTTCAAGTGCGAGAGAGACAGAAAATCGCCGAGGTAGCAAGCGTATAAGTGCGAGAGAGATGGAAAATCGCCCAGGTAGGAAGCCTATAAGTGCGAGAGAGACAGAAAATAGCCAGGCGGCTCGCTAAAGTTAGTGTGCGAGAGAGACAGAAAATCGCCCAGGTAGGAAGCCTATAAGTGCGAGAGAGACAGCAAATAGCCAGGCGGGATTGGGTGGTTTTTCCGTCAAAGCAGCATCGCGTTTCCCCGCGGGCCTCCGAGAGTGGTTGCACCCTCGGTTGCCCCGTTTCCAGTGCGAGAGAGACAGAAAATCGCCGAGGTAGCAAGCGTATAAGTGCGAGAGTGATAGAAAATCGCCCAGGTAGGAAGCCTATAAGTGCGAGAGAGACAGAAAATAGCCAGGCGGCTCGCTAAAGTGTGCGAGAGAGACAGAAAATCGCCCAGGTAGGAAGCCTTAAAGTGCGAGAGAGACAGCGAATAGCCAGGCGGGACTTGGGTGGTTTTTCCGTCAAAGCAGCATCGCGTTCCCCCGCGACCCTCCGAGATTGGTTGCACCCTCGGTTGCCCCGTTTCCAGTGCGAGAGAGACAGAAAATCGCCGAGGTAGCAAGCGTATAAGTGCGAGAGAGATAGAAAATCGCCCAGGTAGGAAGCCTATAAGTGCGAGAAAACAGAAAATAGCCAGGCGGCTCGCTAAAGTGTGCGAGAGAGACAGAAAATCGCCGAGGTAGCAAGCGTATAAGTGCGAGAGAGATAGAAAATCGCCCAGGTAGGAAGCCTATAAGTGCGAGAGAGACAGAAAATAGCCAGGCGGCTCGCTAAAGTGTGCGAGAGAGACAGAAAATCGCCCAGGTAGGAAGCCTATAAGTGCGAGAGAGACAGCAAATAGCCAGGCGGGACTTGGGTGGTTTTTCCGTCAAAGCAGCATCGCGTTCCCCCGCGACCCTCCGAGAGTGGTTGCACCCTCGGTTGCCCCGTTTCCAGTGCGAGAGAGACAGAAAATCGCCGAGGTAGCAAGCGTATCAGTGCGAGAGAGATAGAAAATCGCCCAGGTAGGAAGCCTATAAGTGCGAGAGAGACAGAAAATAGCCAAGCGGCTCGCTAAAGTGTGCGAGAGAGACAGAAAATCGCCGTGGTAGCAAGCGTATAAGTGCGAGAGAGATAGAAAATCGCCCAGGTAGGAAGCCTATAAGTGCGAGAGAGACAGAAAATAGCCAGGCGGCTCGCTAAAGTGTGCGAGAGAGACAGAAAATCGCCGAGGTAGGAA